GTAAATACTTCATATTCCCGGCTAAATTTGACTTTTTAAGGGCATATTATCACTTCCTGATGTCTGATAAAGTGATAGGTCACTGAAATGAAAAATTTGTGATGGCCAGATATGGGAATCTTCCCAAAGATGAAATAGTTTGTTTGTAGACGAGTTTTACTTGCAAAAGTTTCAGAAACCACGTGGTACCGTATGTTCTTTAAATACAAAGGTCAAAGGACGTTCAGCAGCTGAGACTTGCATCATGCGTAATGCATAGGTACGTACGGTACACTACGTACGTACAGGCCTAGTTGCATGCTTTCAGTACGTACGCGCAGAGAAGTGCAAACAAATGTAGACGTGGACATCCCCACTTCTCATCACTGTACCCGTGCTAAAAAGCTAGTGTTTGTGTGCTACTTGGTGAGTAAAATCTTGGAAAATTTAACAGGAGGATTACTAGCAGAAGAGTAAAATTAACTTGTCACAATGTTAGTCGACATGCACCAGCATGACCAGTGGGGTGCACCACTATTTACGAAGTTACGTTAGCGTTGCGGGTGTAGAATTAACTAGTTGACTCAGGTACGAGTTGACTCGGGTACGAGTTGACTCGGGTACGAGTTGACTCGGGTACGAGTTGACTCGGGTACGAGTTGACTCGGGTACGAGTTGACTCGGGTACGAGTTGACTCGGGTACGAGTTGACTCGGGTACGAGTTGACTCGGGTACGAGTTGACTCGGGTACGAGTTGACTCGGGTACGAGTTGACTCGGGTACGAGTTGACTCGGGTACGAGTTGACACTGGCTCAAAAATGAGTCCGATTTTCGGAAAAAAATGTTGCAACCTGACGCCACTTTTTTCTTCATATATCATCTCAATGAACTTGAAGGTCTTGCATTGCAAATATGAGAAATATTTCCAATTTGTTAGCATTAGGAAGTAATTAGCCCATAAATGTGGCCAATTTACTGGACTACCTCCGTAAATAAAGGCCACGCTTCCACCATGTACAAAAACATGTCGAACTTTGTCAAATTTTGATTTTCACATTTAGGCTTGGTTTGTAGTTTATTTTTGCTTTAGAAGCATACTGACCCTCTTTATAGGCTAATCAGAAAGTGCTGCCTTTTTTCAGATGTCTAATTTTCGTGAAATTTCATGTTGAAATTTTGATACGCAAACGTGTGAAAACAAATCTGGAAATTTCACGAAAAATAGACATCTGTTTAAGTACAAAAAACAGTAACTGCGCATGTTCAGTGCATATCCAGCAAGCTAACGTTTAAAAGGTTTGCCGTCTCCGGCTAAATATCTGTTCACTGCAAATTATATATGTTTGTGTTTTCTCTGTTAATTGTTCAGCACATTGGGACCCCGTGTAAAATGCGCTTTATAAGAACGGTTTATTATTATTATTATTACAAGTGTGTAAAGTGAGCTATATAACTTGACGGGTGTACACTGCAGCTTTCGCGAGCGTCAGGAATGTGAAATTTGTTTTGTTTTCCTATGTGGCCTGGTTTCATTTTGAAAATTCCCCACAAATGACTTCAAAACATTTCTTCTTCATTGTCTGAGAAGTAACTAAGTAATTTGTAAAGTTGGTTACGAGTAGTCAACCCCATAATCGAGAGCCGGTTCCTGACAACCCTAACGTACCTGAATCCATCAAAATCCACACGCCTGTTTCAGGGGATTTCGGCGGATTCAGGATACCTCCATATTGAAAACGTTGGGGGATTTTGATGGATTCAGGAAGCCTAGCGGTACCGCAGCATTTTGATTGATTCAGGATACCTCCATATTGAGCAGTTGGGAGACTATGATGGATTCAGGATCTCAACAGATTTACTCCCGGCTAACTGGTGGACTCACTGGCCACCAATTTTTTTTTGCATGGCAAAATTGATGGATTTTGGCAGATTCAGGATACTGTCTAGTAAATATACCCAAGGGGTTAGGGTTAACGGTCAGGTATTCGTGTACTGGGGTACCTGGTTCCGATGCACAGCCCTAGCAAAAATTGTAATGAGTCTTTATATCTAGAACATGTAGGCCTACACACAGTAAAGTAGTAGTCTTTAGACAGACAACCTAAACACAAATTTTGTAGCACTTGAATTTTCAGGGCTGTGAAATCTTAGCTTTAAAGCTGATTTCAGCTTTTTTTTGTTTTGGATTTCAGCTTTTTTTCCTCAATTGCTGTGTACAAAAGTATAGTAAGGTCAGCTTTTTTACACCTTTTTCAGCTGTTTCCAGCTATTTTTATCAGTGGTCACTCACACCCCTGATTTTCCAACCTCCATAAAAAATAAAATACTTTCAAAAATTCCAGCAATTTATGTAGGCCTATGTGTTGTTAAAATCAAAGCTCAAGAAGTAGAACACTCTCTGGAGCTGTTTTTAACCCTTGATGCTGTTTTCCAAAACTTTCACATTATTCCAGCATGTGTACATGTGGAAAGTTTTTTTGTCAATAAGTTTCTTTTCAGGGACTTGAAATCCTTCTGATGACTTTAAGGGTGGATTGTTTTGCTAAAGGATCTCAGCTTAGAATGTCCCAGTGACAGCCTTTCATTCTATGCAAATCCACAGTGCAAATCACAATGAGTAAACATCCTGTCAAAACTCAAAGGTCAAAGTTCATCAAGGCCCAGTACATTGTGCAGTAACTAATAATAGTACATGTAGGTTTACACAACTCTGGTGCATAGTACACGTTTGTGAACACAGAGCAAGTCAGATTTGACAGAATCTTGGAATTAGTGGTTGGATTAAGGATTGTTTTTAAAATTCGGTCTGAATTCCACTATTTGGTTGTGCTTTTAGAATCCCGATATTCGAAACCAACCTTTATAAAATTTATCCTGCCATTTTTTGTGACACAAGCTGGAACATTCCCCCATTTGCTGTGGTTTCTGATTGTTCTGCAAGTTTACTCGCTATGTACAGCATTCTCCTTGGTTCGTGAATAACCTGCCCATTTGATTGATCAGGCAAAACAAAAAATAGTCTTCCGGTTTCCCTACCCTATTCTGACAGCCCCTACCCAATTTTTTATGGGAAAAATGAGGAAAGAACACCCAAAACCATCAATTTTTACCTTTTACCCTTGATTACACGCAGACGCCTCCATGTGATCGTACACAAAAAAAATTGGCAAAAAAAAAAAAATACCCTACCTACCGGTACATGTACAGGTTCTACCCTATTTTCAAATGCCATGTTAGCGGAAGGAGAAGTTTGGGGTTTTTTGGCTTCGGTGAGTTCCCCTGTCATTTTTAAAAACTATTTCAGCTGACTGTAGCTAAAAAAGGTATACGCAATCATTGTGGAGGCCGGAGGGCATTGCATGTAGCACCTCACTCGTATGACCATGAGCTGAATGGGAACTTCTGGTGATATCACATATATAATCAAATATTCAGCTAAAAAAAAACAGGATAACTGGAGGTTAAAATCTCCAATTTCTTCTGATAACTACCAGGAATTGACATGGAAGGGTACTACATGTATGATCAAGTTTTACCAGTACCATGCTTAAAGGTACCAGCCTGAAAAGCTTGAAAATTCCACACATGTATAATTGCTTTATTTTAAAGGTCACACATATTAAGGTCATAAATATGTGCCAAATTTACTTTGGAAGTATAAATATTCAATATCTATAATTAGACTTGTAATAATCACTTATAATCTACTACATTACACCTGTTTTGTATGCAAATAAACTGAATGCGCTTTAGCTGTGTCATAGGACCTACTGATCACAAATTTCTGTATCATTATATTTATGTCAAGTTGTGATATGAAGGCTGTATGTTTCCCTAAATTTTCCAAATGTTTCTGTTAGCTTATAGTGTAAATATGCATGATTCAAAAGTCAGATTGGTACAAACACAGTTTTTGAAGACAACGATTTTCCAAAAAATATGAGGACAATGGGTTTGAAAAGTTATATTATTATTAGTGAAATTTATAATTTGTACACCCCCCCCCCCCCCGATGAAAAATCTTTAATTCAGAAAGGATGCTTGTAAGTAAAATATGACTGCTTTTCAAATACACTGTTTTTGTTTACATGGATCTTTCATATATGTGTACGTGTAAGTTATTATAAGAAAACAGAGTATACACTTCAAAGTAAGCAAGAAAAAAATGTACCGTACATGTTTGTACATTACATGTAGCTCAGATGGTAGAGCACCAGAATGGCAATCCGGAGGTTGCAGGTTCAAGCCCTGCTTCAGTCTATTTCTTTATTCAACCTTAAAATGATTGTAATGCACCTATTCAGTTTTCCTGTGTGGTTCCGAGAAAAAAAAAAGTTCACAATTTTCCCACTTGTTAGTGTCGACCTCTGACCATATATGCCCACGGAGCTACAACCTGGCGAAAACTCGCTGCCCCCCACCCCCCCCCCCCCCAAGTTGTCTCTCATTGCGCGGTCTGTTCTCATGCGCGAGATGACAACATAGACCGGGGGACCCGGGAAGGGTATGCTCATTAACCCTAATTCCCTAGCATGATTTACTCAAAATCATACCCATCTTGGCAAATTCCAACACCATATGAAAACTGTGCACACATATTTCTGACTTTGATTCTGGAGGTGTGCCAACCCAATGTAAAAGACTGTCAGTTTAGGGGTACTGTACCCATCCTGACAGATTCCAACAAAGCATACCGTTGGGGTTTGATGGGTTGAGTTATGTAAGGCTTAATTGTGTGGACGTGTCCCAACCATTTTGCCCAGGATTGTCTGAATGTACATGTATGTACACTTGATTGGATGTGGAGAGGGAGGGTGTAGACCGGGGGCGCTGGGGACCAGGGAAGGATGTGCTTTATTGTGATATGGTATTCTGGCCAGGATTGTAGCTCCCCAACCACAGACGCAGATACAGTTTATCGTAAAAAGTAAAGAATTTATGTTTGACTGTCACCTTGAAAGATCCTTTTCTGTTATTTTTCCCCCAGACGTGTACATGTGAATTGCAAACCCAGTCACTATGAAGGCTCTCATTCTGGTGGGAGGGTATGGCACGAGGTTGCGACCTTTGACCCTGAGTCGCCCCAAGCCACTGGTGGAGTTCTGCAATAAGCCCATGCTCCTCCACCAGGTGGAAGCACTGTCAGCGGTTGGTATTATTGAGTATATTGAGTTTGTGTTTCTTTTTTCTTTTTTTCCGATTTGAAAACTAATTGGAGGGGAGGGGGAGGGGGGTGAGAGGGTTAAGGTGGGCGGCAAACTTATAGCAGGCTGCTACCAGCCCGCCAGCCATAGCAAACATGGGTGTCGCGAGGGGGGAGGGTGGGCGCTTGCCCCCCCCCCCCCCCCCCCCCCCCCCCCCCCCGAAAAGAAAAGAAAATGGGAGAAATAAAAGAAAGGAACAAAAAAAGAAAAAGAGGTGTGAATTCATATTTGCTGTTAATTTAATACACAGAACTAACAAAATGGGCGTCTGCAATAACATGTTTCGTCCTTTATCCATGCTGAAATAATCATTTTGCTTTTTCTTGATTATTTAGGTTGGGGTCAAGGAAATTGTGCTAGCTGTCAGTTACAGGGCAGAACTTCTGGAGCAGGAGCTGAAAGAACAAGCCAAAAGGGTGAGGCAGAAAAACAAATTATTAAGTGTAAATCGTCCAAGATTGACAACCGTTTATGAAAACTGATTGGCCCCTATCGACTGCACAGAGCCCGAACAAAGCGCGGGTAATTCAATTCGCAAGCTCCCATGCATGCAAGCACCATGCGATCGGTTTTCCCTACCGTTCGTTTCGGGCAGTGTAACATTATCACGCAGCAGTTTGGTCAAGTTTGGACAATTTACAGTCTTTGGTAGCAAAAGGGGTATCAAAATGTAGGTAACAATATTCCCCATAAGACGATCAAGTTCAAAATTATGACCTGTCCAGTGAGTCTGGACTTGACTTGAGTGACAAACCGGTATAAATTATTATCTAACCGACATACAGATCCTTGTCATTTGATTGGAGGAACTCACATCACGTGACATTCGTTATTGCTCCCATTCACGCCGCGGCTCAAAAAGTACTATCCGCCCATGGGAAATGGGAAATACTATTGAACAGTTAGGATCATTCTTGTTTCATGACGCGGTATTTGTGTGCAAATGCATGCTGGTGTGTGCGTTCAGTGTTACGCATAGCGCGTATTGTTCCAAAGAGCCAGCGCTACAGTGTTTGGTTCAAACATTTCGTGAAGGGGTGGTTTGGAAGAGAGAAATACATTTTCCTCCAGTTTTTATTGAAATAAAAGTTCAAATATATCAAATGACATGGATCTATTTGTCAGTTGTATAAAACAAATATTGAGTGGCTTTAAATTGTGAAATGGGAGGAATATTATCAGTCGGTAAAATCTGGACTTGTCCAGTTCACTAGGCTTCGCTTCGTGAAATAAAAAAGTCCAGGTTTTACCTTGCGACAATATTCTTCCCATTCCATGTTGAGCCACTCAATATTTGTATACCGGTACATATGTGTGACAATTCCCAGCAGATGGTTCTGCACTCCTTTGGATAACTGAACAATAAAACAATTTATAAAATTCCATGTGTATATTTGAACAGTATTGAATTTCTAAATGATTAACCCTAATCGCCCTGAATCCTTCAAAATCCTCTTTGCCAAAGTGGAGGAATTTGGAGGATTGAGGTTACATGGCAAAAGTGCGTTACTGATTTCGTAGGATGCAATTTGTCAGGGTCTTGGGCCGGACCTTGTGTTGTTTTTGCTCAGCCATGCATAAATACAGGCTTGGATTATGCTTGAAATCCTCCGTACTGCTCCAGGATGTCACTGGCCAAGCCTCAACATATTGACAGTCACTGTCGCAGGATTTTGCAGGATTCAGACAGTGGTCACCCCTCCACGGACCATATTCAAGAAATAATGGAGGAATTTGCAGGATTGAGGCTTTATGCTATTTTTCCGTGAGGCCAATTGGAGAATTTTGCAGGATTGAGGCTACATCCTAGCAAAAAGGCCTAGGGAGTTGGGTTTAATGGGATGGGGGAAAAGGAGTCTGCTGTGTTTCAATTATGATTTTTTTTTGTGGGGGGGGGGGGATGTTGGTGAATAGATAATGCTGTTTGCTAGAGGATTTTTCGTAAAAACACTTCCTTTTCATTTTCTTGACAGCTCGGCGTCAAGATTACAACATCACATGAAGTTGAACCTCTAGGAACAGGTAAAACCCGGGAGTATTGTCGACACTCGAAAGCTCTTTAACGTCAGACATGTCAGATAAAATAGTTGTATTCATATTTTTAGAAACTAAGGTAGATATGTAAGCCAAGTTTGAGCTTTAGTTTTCAATTGTTTTTGAAGATCACAAACTTCTTAGACATGTGTGACCTGCTATGACATAATGAGGAATAAGCCCCATACTTGACTTTTTGAGTTTTATGTACACCATGTAAAAGAACAACTCTTTAGCTTTAATAACGATACCAAATTTAACTCGCTTTCAAATGGTAACACGCAAAAGGTATACACAATAATTGATTCTCTTATAATTTCACAGTGAACTTTGGTCATTTTTTGGTGTTCAGAAGAAAATTACTAACAATTTTTTTAAAACTTCACACTAACACACTTAATAAATCGTCATTTGTTTCACTTTTTGAGATACGGTACTTTGTTCACCATAACAAAATACACTGTGTGAATCTTTGATACCCTGGCTACTCAAAACTTTGAAAATTCCAAAATCAATTCGGACTTGATTTCAACACATAGGCAACTTCGGACGCCGAAAACTCAAAACAAAGTTTTGGGGGGCATTCCTCATTTAGCCTAAGCAGGTCACATTTTTACATTTTTGTTAGGGGTTCAAAATGTACAAAACAAAACCCAACTGCTAGCACATTGTTGGTATTTTTCCCATTTCTGGAGAATAACTTTTCAAAAGTCATGTTCTGTACATCTAAATGTTGACAAAGTAAAACACTGTGCATGTAATGAAATATATTATTGGTTCCTTTTCTTTTAGCTGGTCCCCTGGCGCTAGCACGCGACATCCTGAAAGAGGACGGGGAACCGTTCTTTGTCTTAAACAGCGACATCAGCTGCGAGTTTCCATTCCAAGAAATGATAGACTTCCATAAAAAACACGGCAAAGAAGGAACAATTGTAGTGAGTCGACATTTTTCACATTTTAGGTTGTACCCTTAGAGTTGCATTTCCCATACTCTTTTCAATCTAAAAAAAACCCCTCCTGCTGTTTAATCAGTCACAGACAGTCGAACATCACTTCCACTTCCCCTGCTATACTTTTAACAAAGGCTAGTCACCAGCAGTCAGATCACATGTCAAGCGGGTACTTTGAGTAGTCAAAGTGGGTCAACAGACAAAGCAGGCAAGTTGTGTCACAGCTGTTTTATCACTCACCTAGAGTCAAAGGTATCTGTATCAAGTTACTTAAAGCCAGAGTCCATCCTTTGCAGCTATCCGAAAAAGTAACTGGCGTAATTATTGCTGAAAAACATACTTGGTTGAAAGATAGTAAGGGGACTAAACTCCCTGTGAAATTATTCTTTCTGGCAAGCTGTCATTTAGAAGAAATCAACGAAAGAAGGCATTTCCCACGGTGCTTCTTAAGACGCACTGTATAAATTTAAATTAGTAGTTCGTTTTGTTATTCGGTGAAGCGCGCGCAAGCATTGGCACGACGCACACGCACACACGGTTACTATAATTCGTCGGATCAGTGCGCGACTTCGCGTAGCTGCAATCGGCTCAGTGAGAACGTGTCTCAGACGCTGAATTCAGGCCCAATTCAAAACATGATTCAGCAACTTTTGATTTGAAGTTGAGATCCTAGAATGCTGTTTTTCTCGGAATATACAGCTGAAGCTGAGCTGAAACTTCATCAGGTCAGTTGTTCAGCACCCTTCTTTAGATTTTGAGCACTTCTGTTGCTTCAAACGAACAAAATGCACAAATTACAAATGATGGACTATACCTTTAATCAGTCCAAGGTAGTCAATCCTGCCTTATGTGGGCTGGGAATTCTAAAGGGTTGAAAGTTTAACTTGATTGATTTTGAATGCAAGGACAACTTGGCACAGAATATTTGTTTGCATAGTTGGGTTAATTGTTACTGCTCTAGTAATACAAAAGTTATTCTCTTTTGAATGAGACACCGACTGAAAAAACAAATGGGCACACACTTATTTATTGAATTATTACTTCACAAATTCTGAATTACTTGCAGTCCAACAATAATTCTGTTCTCTCGTGGGTAGGCTGGTTTCTGCCCCACAATCAGTATCGTTAATGTACGGACCGAAACTAGTCTACTTGTAAGGAGGATCTGTTTGTGCCTAAAATAATTTTTTTTTTCCAGAGGGTTGCAGACTTGCAAAAAATTTTTAAAAACAGCTTTTTGCATTGGAATAAAACATACAAGTTGAAAATTAAGTAAGAGAAAAAAATAATTGCATTCGTTGATGAGCACAGGTTGTGCAACTTGCAACCCAGCCCATTATTGTCAATGATACATCTGCTTTGATTGGGACCATTCTTTGGTCACTGTGTTAAATTGGGCTCGTCTGATTTTTGAAGCTTTACCCCTTTTTATCTACGTCTGACATATTACTTTCACTGATTCATCAGGTTAGTAGTTTTTACTCCCTACCTCGGAGTGTAGTTTCTACATTCACAAATTGTGTCAAAATATTAGGAGGGGTCATCAAAGCTTTGTCACGTGAGTGACATCAGACGTAAAAATGTTATCCAGCCCATATCAGAAATTCACACTTTTCTCCAAAGTTCTATGGACACACACCCATACTTATTTTGGAGTCAGACCAGTCTTTTGTGATTTACAGAATGCATAAACAATGTACACCCTCTGCTTCGGTTTTACTAAATGGGAATTGTTCCATGGTCATGTGCGTGACATTTTGATCGGTCACGTGTGTGACATTTTGCAATTAAATTTATGCTAGTGTATGCACGGAAAGACCAACTTATGAAACTTTACGGAATGCATAAACAATGTACACCCTCTGCTTTAGTTTTACTGTTAATGGCAATTGTGCTGTGGTCAAGTGTGTGACATTTTGATCGGTAACGTGTGTGACATTTTGCAGTTTAATTTATGCTAGTTTATGCTCGGAAAGACCAACTTATGAAACATGCTAAGAAATTTGCATCTTTACTTTAATACCAGCAACACTTTTAGTGAACAATAATCATTTGTATTACATCACATAATTTTTCTCCCAAAATTAATTTAGTTTAAATTTCTGAAGAATCACCCATTAATATTATTCCTTTACCGAAGCGCTTAATACTTTTGTATTTTCACCCAAGGTCACAAAAGTCGAAGAACCGTCCAAATATGGAGTCGTGGTCTACAACGAATTGGGAGAAATCCAGAGATTTGTTGAGAAGCCACAGGTGTTTGTCTCCAATAAGATCAACGCTGGCATGTACATCTTCAATTCTGGAATCCTGGACAGGATAGAGGTGAGTGCAAGTTTGAAATTGTGTTCTTGAGCAAGGTACTTTGCGTCAATTGCTTTGACCCATCGAAGAGCAAATGAGTGTCATATTTTATTTCTAAGAGAAATCCAGGGAGTAAATCGTGACAGTCAGATCAGGCGATAGGCACTTGGATAGAGTGTGTTATAACACCTCACCTAAAGATTGTGTGTCTTGATTGGCCGAGAGCGAGTCACATGGTACTTTCTATTTTTGCTATCTTTCTGTGCGCGTCTACAAGTACTATACCCATGGCGCGGTATTTGTGTTCAAATGCATGCTGCGTACGTGTTGAGTGTTGGGCGTAGTGCGTATTTTTCTTAAAAGAGCGCGCCACAGAGTTTGGTTAAAACATTTCGTAAAGAGGTGGTTTGGAAGAGAGAAATACATTTCCCACCGATTTTGTATTGAAATTGAAGTTTATTTTAACTGTGTGCAGATTTAAATAATTTAAAATATTAAAACCAAGCAGAATCTGTGGGTAAAGTGTTATAAAACAAATATTGAATGCCTTATCTTGTGGTGAAATAAAACTAGCCTCCCTCGGTGATCCATGGAGCATTCTATTTTCCCTCGGCTTCGCCTCGGGAAAATAGAATGTCCATGGATCACCTCGGGAGACTTGTTTTGCTACACCACTCGAAGCATTCAATATTTGTAAATTATGCTCATTTTAAACTTCCATTTCAAAGTCGCAAAGATTTTGGTTTCAGAGAGGCAAGCTTGTATGAATTTGATATTGACCAGGGCATCATCTGAAATCAAGACTCTCTAGAATCATTCACAGAGGCTGCAACAGTCGACGTTTTGACGTAGTCAGTGCACACTGATTCAAAAATGTCAAGCCTTTCAGGAATTTAATGTTAAATTGAACCTCCTTTGCAAACATACATTCTGTGACAAGTAGTTCTTTCAGTCAAAATCGAAACAAGTGACTGTTTTCAACAGTTAGGAATTCCAAGCCCACATTAAGCAGGATTGACTGCCTGGGACTGTTTAAGTAACTTGATACAGCTATGCTTTGACTCCGGGTGAGTGATAAAGCAGCTGTGACCACAACTTGCCTGCTTTGCCTCTTCACCCGGTCTGACTGCTGGTGACTAGCCTTTGTTAAAAGTATAGCAGGGGAAGTGGAAGTGAATTTTGACTCTTTGTGACTGTTTAAGTAGCAGGAGGGTTAAGGAATGATTTGATTTTTTTAGGCACGACCCTGGTTGCAACTTGCTGGTCTAAAGTGGGTGAAAGAGGCACACTTTGGTTTGGGCAAAAAATAACCTTGGTTTGGGATGTAGCAGACGATATAGTTCACCGTGCTGTTGGCCTCCGACTAATCCATTAGTTTGTCACTGTGTTTAGTCTAGTAATCACTAAAGGGAATATACAACATTTGCAAACATTACGAGATACTTTACTGGTCTGTTAGTGAATGACAGTCTAAAGCATCCTATAAAATCATGGCACCTGGTTTGCTGCCATTTTCAAAAAAAGTAGTATTTTTGTATTGATTTCCAATGCTGGTTGGCCGACCAGCGTTGGAAAATACTGGCTGTTTCATATACTGGCTTTTTCAAATACTGTTTTTTTCCAAATACTTCCCTAATTTCCCATATTTAGTTAGTCCGCGTTTTGTTTGCAATCGATTACACACCTATGAATGGGTACAGGCTAGCTAGACTGATTCCCTGACCTTACAACTCCCCCACGTCTATAAATTGCTCGATTTCATCTTAAGTGGGGTCAGAGAACCAGACTTCAGGCATGTCAGGAACATGATTGTTTTTCTTGCTTTTTTCAGCATCTACAAACACAAAACTTCAAACAAGTCAGTGCAACAATATTTGCAATAAAATATGAACCCCCCCAAATCCATCCATTTTTGAAAATTACAGCAAAAGCAAATCTGTATATTCCCTTTAACTTATTTGTGTAATTCACATACTTGTCTTGCAGTTGAGACCCACTTCCATTGAGAGGGAAGTCTTTCCACAGATGGCTTTGGATGGCCAACTCTACGCAATGAACCTACAAGGTAAGCACTGTCTTGATAATTCTGATTTGAAAGATACAATATGACCAAGCCTTCACATCGGTCCATGCTCAGGTGAATGGATATGAGGGTGATTTATCGTATACCTTTTCTCCAGTTGGCTCGAGGGCAGCCTCAAATACCAACCCAAATAATGGGTTGGGGGTTCAAATCCAGCTGCTGGTCATATACAGGGTGGATAAAAAAAAACCGAAACCGAGATACTTTTGCTAATTGGAACACAAGTAGGGCACATGTGAATCAAAGGGAGATATCCTCTGTTAGGATTGAGTCTCCTCTTTAAAATGACACCCTGATCATGTCATTACATTCACGGTTGACTGAGCAGTGACCAATTTTATGAAAGGGTCTATTTAGAGGCTTGCGCCACTTTTCAATTGTGGTTTTTGTTGTGTCAATTGTCACAGAGTGAAAGGCTATGGTTGCCAATCAAGGCAGGTGGGCAAAAAAGAGAGATTTCACCATGAAAAGTGGCGCAAGTCTCTGAATAGACCCTCTCTTAAAATTGGTCACTGCTCAGTCAACCGTGAATGTAATGACATGATCAGGGTGTCATTTTAAAGAGGAGATTCAACCCTAACAGAGGATATCTCCCTTTGATTCACATGTGCCCTACTTCTGTTCCAATTAGCAATAATATCTCAGTTTTTTTTTTAATCCACCCTGTATTGTGTCCTTGGGCAAGCCACTTCACCCCCACTTGCCTCTCACTACCCAGGAGTATAAACGGGTACCAGCATTAGCTGGGGAGTAACCTTCGATGGACTGGCATCCCATTCCCATCCAGAGGAAATACAAATATTCTCAGGCATTTGCATCTGGCAAAGGCTGAAAAAGTTAAGTCTGTCACAAGCCAATATGGCCCCTCAGGCTGGCATTTGTCTCCAGTTCCTTTCCATGAAACAGCTGAGAATATTTCTATTTCCCATGGACGGGATGCCAGTCCATCACAGGTTACTCCCCGGCTAATGCCGGTACCAATTTATACTCCTGGAAGGAGAGAGGCAAGTGGGGGTAAAGTAGCTTGCCCAAGGACACAACATATGGCCAGCAGGTGGATTCGAGCCCCTGACCCTCTCATTATGAGTCACATACCCTTACTATTCCACTTTGTTTCTGGCAAACAACGATTGGTTTGAGTCATGATCCCATGATCTTGATCTGGCAAACAACGATTAAGCAAACTTCTCAGTTTAAAAGTGAAGTCAATCTTTCTTTTTTTATGACCAGGTTTTTGGATGGACGTTGGTCAGCCCAAAGACTTCTTGACCGGCATGGGCATGTACCTGAACTCACTCAAACAGAAGAACTCAAACACGTTACACAGCGGTGAAGGAATAGTCGGAAATGTCCTCGTGGTAAGTGCTGGAAAATTGTGGGGGCCCAACATGCCATACTTTGTGTTGCCTCAACAAAATGTCGGGGGACACTTACCAGTCATAAATTCTGTATCCCCGTATGACCATATGATTAAAGTTTAGGTTAAGTTTTTGAAAAAAAAATGCATAACTTTTACATGCTTTTCACCCTTGGGACCCTTGGGTGCGAAGAGACAATTCTTCATCAGATTACCGAGGTCGAAGGACATGCAGGGGTCATTAGATGTCATTGTTCAGATATGCTCCAAATGTTTCGTTGTCTACAGAGGTTGGATAAAACTTGGATGGAGTGATCCTTGGATGGGGGTTCATAACAAGTCTTCCGAAATTTGCGCTGCTATTTGCATTTCTAAGTTAAGTTTGTTTTTGTGTTTTCTTCTTTTTCTCTGTTGACAATCAGGATCCCAGTGCGAAGATCGGTGCTAACTGCAGAATAGGACCCAACGTGGTCATCGGGCCCGACGTGACGATCGAGGACGGCGTCTGCATCAAACGCAGCACGGTCCTACGAGGCACCAACATCAAGTCGCACGCGTGGATAGACTCGTGCCTGATTGGATGGGCCTGCGTCGTGGGACAATGGGTAAGGCCCTCATTTGCATACTGGGCTGTGATTGGTTGGCAGCACCAGTGTGTTTGATAACCCAAACCATTATGGAAAGGAGAACATTTTCATTGTGAATTTGCCTGAAATTTGTTTTGATGAAATATTGTAGTTCACCATGCCAAATTGGGAGGGGGGCTGGACATGCTGGACAGCATTTGATGCTGAGGGATGCTGATTGTTAAACAAAATTATGATACATCTGTGTTATAGTTGTGTTGAAGCACCCTTTACAGAAGTTTCTACAGTTAAATTAGTGTGGAATATTCAATACAGTTTGAACCTCTTTCATTGTTTTGTTTTTTTCCTCCCCTTTTTCGTGCCGGGGGGGGGGGGGGGAGGTTATAGAAAACCCCACCCTTTTCTTGTCATTTCGTTGGATTGAATCCCGTCTTTTTTTCAGGGGGGAGGCCCATCCCATTTTGTCATGGTTGTCTTTTCATGGGGGGGGGGGGGTGATTCCCTGAAACACCCCCAACTCCTTCATATCACAACAGCCGAAAAGAGGATAACATTTTTTTGTTAAAGATGTTCTCTATTTCCCCCCAGTTTTTGTTGTGCGCCTCAAGTCTTCCATCTCTGCAGGAAGCCTTGGTTTAATTGCACAAAAACAAAAAAAATATTAAGCATAAAAACAGTTCAAAATATCATTTGAACTCGGGTTTAATATCTCTTTCGTTTTAGGTGAGGATGGAGAATGTCTGTGTCTTGGGTGAAGACGTTATCGTCAAGGATGAACTCTACATCAACGGTGGCCGCATCCTCCCCCACAAATCCATCGGGACGTCCGTCACCGAACCGCAAATTATCATGTAACGTTTAGAAAACGCTCCCACAAATGATTCCCAGTTATTTTTATAAATCAAATCGCTGTGCTGCTTTTTAGTTTATTTTATATTAGGATCTATTAATAAATTATTGTAATTGAATAAACAAATTCTGTCCATATGGACTATATGCAGAAGTACCTCCTTCAGTGCTAACGAAGAGAAAATTTAGCGGGGGCTACATGTGCTGCCGGTGTGCGCACACTCAAAGAGTATAATTATTCGCGTGTACTCCATGCCATATGTACAAAGGCCAATGCTTTATACAGGATGCCCCCCCCCCCCCCCCCAAAAAAAACAGAACGGCAAACTTCCGCTACCCTGAGACTCAAACAACCTATACCTGTGCATGGGGAATTCTGTTCCAAGAAAAATGACCCAAGATCGCTCGGTCCAGTACAGGGTGAGTAAAAAAAAGCGGAACCCAAACCCCAAAAAATTATTTTTCATATTTTTAAAAATATGTAGCACCAAACATAATAATGACTGGAAAGCCAATTTTATAAGCTACTTTAAGATGAAAAATTACTGTAATTGCTCGATCCGTTCAAAGAATATCACCATTTAAACGCAATGACCCTAAAACATGTTTCATCCAAAAAAGCAGTTGATAGTGTGTTCCGACTGTTTGGGACAACGAAGAAAATGACACAATATTTGTTTCAACAACCGTCAACAACTGTAGTACTCAATATCTTTATTAACAACCATGATTAGGCAACAATATGATCTATAAATCCACTTTTTTTTTAAAGACAGGCCTTCAAAAGGACTTAGTTGAATATGTTTAACTTTTAAACTGAGGTTTTATCTCTGGTGATGTTTAAAGACAATCGTGACAACGATTCTTGAAATGGCATTTTGGACGAAAGAGATTTTAGGGTCATTGTGTTCAAATAGTGATATTCTTTGAATGGATTGAGCAATATCAGTAATTTTTCATCTAAATGTAGCTTATGAAATTGGATTTTCAGACATTAATATGTTTGGTGCTACATATATTTTTAAAATATGAAATGTAATATTTGGAGTTTGGGTTCCACTTTTACGACTCACCCTGTACTTTTTGTTCTAGAGCCTATTTTGTGAAACAAAGTCGGGAGTCATTTCGTTGTGATGAATTACTAAACCGAGCCCGTGAATTTGACTTAATTGGATAGAAAGATTAATGGTTTTGTAATAATACCCACAGGAAAGATGTGTGCTTCACAAAATAGGCTCTTCAGCAAAACCTACTGGACTGAATCAGGAGATCTTGGTATCATATTTCTTCTAAAAAGATTCTCCATCCATTGGTAGAGGTGGTTTGAGACTCAAGGTAGTGGAAAAAGGTGGGTTTTTTTTGGGGGGGGGGGGGGCAGATAGGGGAAACTTTGGGGGAATTGTGCCTTTGATGATACAAGCATGGCATTTGGCACACAGAGTATGAAAGATATTTGGCTAAAGGGCCATCGCAGATTGTCCTAAATATAGGTAAAATAACTAGCAATTTTCAAAATTTTCAAATTATCTGCCATTGCTGTTATTCTACCTATATTTTTTCAAAGGACAAATCTGCGATGGCCCTATAGCCAAATATCTTTCTCATGACATACTCTGACTGTGTGCCAAATTCCATACTTGTTGTATCATCAAAGGCACAATCCCATCACCTATCTGCCATACTAATATAAAGGCTTTGTGTCCAATCTACTGGCGCCCTCATGAGTGGTGATGAAATACTGTGTATTACTCATGCTTGCAAGCAGTCCATAAGCGACCAAGTTCATTAAGAAATGGCTGCAATACCAAGTTTTGGTCACAAACATTATTATCACGAATGTTAATTTCAGTAATTGGCAGGAAGATTCATTTAAATTATTATTTTTTGAAATATTTTTTGGGTTGTGTTTTTGTGACACCTGCCATTTTCTTACGACATTTATTCGTTTCAAATTGAAGAAGGTAGTTGGTCAATCTGAAAAAATCTGGGGTCCACTTTTTTATCTTTCCTTGTTACATCCGACATCTATGATTGAATAATTCTGATGCACTCCTTAATCCAGTCGTCCTCCAACCCAGGGGGGGGGGGGGGGGGTGTGAAATCTCAGCTTTAAAGCTGATTTCAGCATTTTTTGTTTTGGATTTCAGCTTTTTTTCCCTCACTTGCTGTGTACAAAAGTATAGGAGATTTTCAAAGTTCAGCTTTTTTTACACCTTTTTCAGCTGTTTTCAGCTTTTTTTATCAGTGGTCATTTGCACCCCAGAAGAGTGATTATGAATAGCAAACTACCTATATTCCATTCTTCTGACGACGGGCAGAGCATACTGTTCGAAACGTTGAATTCCTCCGGTTCTTTTTCAGAACCACACATACTCACAGTCACATGGTGCTACCACAAAGTTATCTTGTGTTAGTATCTTTCCACCATGCAAACCTTCAAATCTCATCTTACCTATACCCAGATCTGCCTATACCCAGCAATCTGCCTTTCCACCATGCAAACCTTCAAATCTCATCTTACCTATACCCAGATCTGCCTATACCCAGCAAATAACAAAAAATATATCTTTTGAAGTTGTTCTCGATGATACTTAAACTGTAAATTACAAACTTCAGAGGTAAAGGGAACGGAAAAATGTCCCACTTTTGACCCTAAATTTACCGACTGGTATTGTCTCTGGTTCCACTCATGCAAATGTGAACCCACAAAGGCGCCAACCTCAAGTGCAAGTTGAAGACTACAGTAATCAGGCATTGAACTTTTTTTTTTCGTCTGGGCTGATTTCTTCGCTTTTTACTCCACACTTGTGCCATTACCCTCCTGTGTAGGCTTACTTTGCCAAGTTTTCCTTTCAGTCCAAATCAAACGACTGTTTTTAACAGTTAAGAGCTCCAAGCCTACTTAAAGCCAAGTTGTCCTTTCAGTCCAAATCAATCAAACGACTGTTTTCAACAGTTAAGAGCTCCCAGCCTACATAAAGCCAAGTTGTCCTTTCAGTCCAAATCAATCAATCAAATGACTGTTTTCGACAGTTAAGAGCTCCCAGCCAACATAGAGCAGGATTGACTGGTTGTGACTGTTTTAACAGCAGGAGGGTTGAAATTGAAAGACACTGCAAAGTCGTTTAATGCTTGAAATGTCCTCTTTGTTTTTGTGTTACTTTCCAGCAGCCTACCTGAATAATTCATGTACAATTGAATTCAACTCAGGTAATTTTAATTCTTTCAATGACTTAATAAGATGGAATTTTTGCGCCGGGGTGATATAAATTCAATATTAGGTTTTGCCCTTCACAGATATATACGTCGCTTGTTGGTGAATTGGGCAAAACCTTATGTAGAATTTACAACGCTACTAATATTGACTTTACAATGACTTTTTATTCAAAAATGCTTTTGCTTTATTTGTTTATGCTTCACTATTAAATACAATTCCATTCGTTTTACAGAGACTATAATGTGGAAATATTGACTGCTTCGAGTGGTGTAGTAAAACTTTCCTGAGGCGAAGCCAAGGGAAAATAGATGATGCTCCATGGATCACTGAAGGCGGCTAGTTTTACTACACCACGAGATAAAGCAGTCAACATTAGTATATCATTTACTGCTGTATATCAGTTGTTTACAAAATCATTCCATATGTTACATGGAAAGAAAAAACTATGAATTGTCAAATTTGTATACGTTATTTTCAATAAAGAATATATAAAAACAAAAGACATGTCATAGTGTCTATGTGTCAAGTTGCAAGTGGTCTACGGGTAGTCAGAGTAACTAGGACTCTTAATATTTGGACATGGTCGGGTCTACTATCGCCCGACCATGTCCAAATGTTAAAAAAGCAATCCGTAGAGTCCTAGTTACTCCGACTAGTCTACGGGCCACTTAGCATACTGTTTCAGAATCTCCCGCCTCCACGGTCCACCTGATGACGAGCAGAGCACACTGTTTGAAACGTCAAGTTAAACCAACTGGTTCTTCTTAGAGCCAAACAACTCACTATTAGAGAGATATCTTGCTTTCACATGGTGTTAGCATGTCCACCATGCAAGCTCTTAAAGGGAATGTACAACATTTGCTCTTGCTGCAATTTTGTGTAGTAAATGGATTTGGGGGATTAGAATTTTATAGCAAATATTGTTAATAAACTGACTTGCTTCACGTTTTGGGCTTGAAGATGCTGGGAAAAACCAAGAAAAACATCATGTTCTTGTAGTCTGGTTCCCTGATCCCACTTAAGATGAAACTGAGCAGTTTGTTGACTTTGGGGAATTGTAAGGTCAGAGAATCAGTCCGGCAGGCTTGTACCTCTACACAGGTGTGTAAATCAATTGCAAAGAAAATGCGGAAAAATTAATTATGAAAAAGTAAGAGCAGTTTTCTACCTTGTAGAGAATACCTCCAAAGAACACCCTCGTGGGAGTATAACTGGAGGCTTGATGAGGGTGGTATGCTTCCTAGTGGGACTTATTTACTCTGCTGATTAATGATTGGAAATTTGAAGTAGACGTTGCACAAAAGGTTGACTGGGGTAATGTGTTCCACATGTCAACTGACTCAGAAAAGAAGGACTGTTGCACGATTCTTGTATTAACTGGGTTAATTTATGTAACATCAGTTGTCTGTTGTGACACCGTCTAGCTCTAGATGGTTTGGGTTTGCAGTAGTCATCATCATTGATGGCAAACTCGTTTCGGAGAATCTTGTACAATGTGATGAGGCGGGTGTGTTGTCTCATTTCCTCGATGGTGGACCATCCGAGCTGGTTGATCATGCTTGTGACACTTTCCCATTTCCTGTAGTTACCTGTGATGAACCTTGCTGCCCGTCTCTGGACTTTCTCAAGGCAATTTTTTTATTGCTGTTATAATTTAATGGGTTGGGGGGGGGGGGGGTTCTTATTCCTCCATGGGGGGACAAATGGCCAGTCCCTGCCAAAGTGTTTATAATATTCATGTATTAATATATAGAGATCAGTGGTCCCTGCCCACCCTCGAAAAATGATGAATCGACAATATGCTGGAAAAGTACAGGGATTTCGGGAGAAAATGTGCTTTGCCCCCTCTGGAAAAAAAATCACTGGTGACGCCCATACCAAGGGCATAAGATAGGTGAATCAGAAACGAAGCCGAGCTTTGAAAAAAGGGCCGTCAATGTCGTCAGCATTGATCTCCATATACACAGACTGTGTACAGTCGGCTCCCGTTATAACGAGGTCCGGTGGACTTTCACAATACTGTCGTTATAGCCGGAACCTCGCTAAAACCGGAGCGCAGTTTTCCCCATTCATTGTGCACAAGGTACGGTACATGTGCGCGCATGTTTTAATCGTGTAATAACGCGCGTCCGAAGACATGATAAATTGGCCAAATATAAATTTAATTGTCAAAACTTGAACACAAATTTTTCAATAAAGAATTTATACTAAAAAAAAATATCTTTGTTTCAAGTTTAAATATCTTTAAATGTTTACTCTCTATGGGCTCCATGCACGAGTACTCCTTCAACGGCCAGAGAAGGAGAGTTGGGGGACACCTAGACTGGTTCCCGGTCCATCCACTGCGCATTTCAAATGATCCAAAGTTATTGGGGGCGGGCATTGGTCAGGGAGACCATCGCAAGTTAATTCGAACGTGAACGTGTGCGCGCGGCGACGGTGCCTGACGCTGACACAAAGACTTTTTGTACATTCAGGAAGTCGTGCATACTTCGCGCGCAACATTACAGGCAGTACGCTCACGCTGTGTGTACCGTCCAAGGAGCTCTCAAAAGTGGTAGAAACCGCTCTCTTTTGTTGGCGCACAGAGCCCATAAGAATAACGCTACCTATTTCTCTAGTTGACAGATTTTGTCTATTGAAGGAATGTGTACACATTTAAATGTACTTTTCAAAATGAAGATCTGAAATTAAGTATAAGAGTTTCATTGCAACAGCCTGATTAACATATTGATGTAATTCTGAATTAAGGGTATTAACAAAAAAAGAATAAACTTGTGGTCGTTATCTCTGTAGTTCTTGAATTACAAAATTTAAAAACCGTAAATTTACACAAATCGTCTGTAACACATTAAAGTAAGTTTAAATTTAACCTTGGCGTTCAGAAATTAGTTAAAAGTTGAAAATGTTTTAGCGCAATGGTGCCGGTGCATGAATCATTTTGAAGAATAAACTGAATCTAATTCAAGCTTGGTTTGGTTGGATAAATATTTGATACAAATATCAAAGAAATAAAAAACTAGTCATAACATAGAATTTGCTTCGGTGAGATGTAAATTCAATATTAGATTGTTTTGCCCTTCACCGACGAAAAACACTGAATACTCACATAGTTTAACCCCCCCCCCCCCCCCCCAACGTGAAAGTGGGAAAAAATCACTCAGGTGGGACTCGAACCCACGACCTCCTGCTTTCTAGTGCAGACGTCTTACCACTAAACCAACGAGCTTGCCGGGATGAGCTGGCTTGTTCAATCCGATGTACCAGCAGGTACCGCATTTATTAAACTATTCAAAAAAATTGTTTCATCTTGTGAAAACTACCAAAATAACTGACATTTTGCAATATTTCTAGCTTTGAAATAAAATAATTTATATGAATATAAAAATAACTTATGTGTAGTTTTTTTAGACAATTAATTTCAATGACTTACGATCTGCAAAATGATAAAATGAAATCAACTGTCACGAAATATGTTTGACACCGTTTACTGCACTTGGCCGATGGCAAAATCTGAGAGTCCGTTTGACAAATTTACTCCTTGATCTTGCGTCCTTGCGGCAGTGTACTGGGCATGCTCAGTGCCAGCCTCCTCAGGAACACCTTCCCAGCATGCATCAGCCTGCACAGTCTGTCCATGGTGGACTCTGAGTCGGCCATCTTGATGTTGGGCACATTTTCCAGAGTCTAGGAAAGAAAATGACCACAAAAGGTTTATTAAAAGGATATACTGATCACATGGTCTGAAGAACCGAATACGACATGTTCTGTCAAAACAAGATGTTTGTGAGTAAAGCTTGAAATGTAGGTACAAAAAAAAATGTCCATGGTTTGTTTGTTTGTTTTCAATTTTTTTTGGGGGGGGGGGCCAATTTGAAATGTGTCTTAAATATAATGTGAAAGTTTGCAACTGTAATTTTGCCAACAAAGTTGACTTTTTAAAAATTATTTGTAGATGTTCAAGAAACCTTCAGGCTTTTTCTCTGCTTTTACCTTAATGTCGGCATCACAGAGTTCAAACAGGCATAATTTATGGGAAGATCTGTATTTTAACAAAAGAACAGTCCTCAACAGTTTTCTGGTGTTTTTTTGTCAAGAAAATATCACAAATTAAAAAGGTAAATTAAAGACGGGAATTAACTTCGGGGTCGATAAATGGAAACCACACATCATTGCAAAACTCTTAATTTTAAGCCGATGATCAGTTGTAAAAACTGCCAAAGTTTCTAAAAAAGAAACGTTGGAAAGAAATTAGTATATCCTACCTGCTGGAGATTCTGCACGATAAACCTGAGATCCGCCATGGCTCTCCACCATTTTGCCTTTCTCTGACGACGCGGCAGACTACCAAGCAGGAAAGCGAGATGCTCCAACACAAAATGACACTGTAAAAAAAAATCAAAAAAATTAACTTTTGGAAATATATTTGTACATGTGCATCTCAATACCCTGTGACAGATCTGTGTCTAAACACTCTGTTAAAAAAATGAAGAGACACTTCATCACTTAATATGGTAAATCTCAATCAGTGGCCAATTCAGGTTGGCGCATGTGAAACTTGATCAGCGCATTTCAAACATTTGAATATTCAATCAAGTCCAGATTGGAAGAAATGAATACTAGATTATTGGAAAATCCACGGTATCAACTTGATGATTACGTTGTTGGTTTTTGTCAAAATAGTCTATTGAAACTGTAAAAAAAAAAAAATTGTAATTTTTGTCCTACTTACAAAATTGGACCTTTTCTGTATTCAGATCAACCTGAAACTTGGCACATACAAAGACCACCTAGAGAAGATGTTCATTGAGAAGTGACATCATGATGCATGACGTCATGTGTCGTATCAACCTACATCAACCTACCCACAAAGCCAACTTGGTTGAAACTAACTTTGTCATGTTTGTATAGATCGGGCCGTGTTTAGTCAGGCAAAAACTGAAGTGACCTCATGATGACATCACAATGTGCCATGTTGCCATAAGAAAAAGCCCTACTGCAAGACGTTCCCAAGACGTGTTAAACTCTATTTTTGGAGATGCAATTACCTCATGGCAGAAGGCAGCAATCTCAAACGTCTCCTCAGCTCTCCTGTTCATCATCTCGAGTTGCTCCTTGGTCCGAGCCCACGTCAGCGGCTGGTGATTGCCAGCTGATGCGGTTGCCATGACAACATCGATAGTCATCACCTGGGACGTGCGGAACTTAGTCGTGGACCTTTCGCCTTGGATATGAGCCATGGTCTAAGTGACAGAATAGTCCAAAATTGGCAAACGATTAAAACGTCGCTTCTTCGAATTTTGTTTTTCAAATTCTTATTTGTCAATGCCAGTTTGTCAATTCAGTTTTTTTTTTTTTGACAACAAATGAAATGAGGAAATATGGTTGAGTGAGATTTGATTCTCCAATCTTTGGCTTATTGTACCTGCCGAAGCAGCTAAAATCAATCACGATAACCATCTTTGCCTTCAGATCACGGGTACCATTTACTCCTGGGTGAGGAGAAGCAACTAGCGACAAAGTGTCTAGACAAAGTACCTGGCCGACAAACCCCGGTCTGGACTTGAACCCACAACCTGCAGAATTATTACCCACAGATCTTGAGTTTGGTACGCCGGACCACACGAGACCACGACCAGAACGCAGACTCACCGATCGTGAAGCCAACTTCCTGAGGGCAAACCGGCCCTTTCTCAGCGTGCTCCAGCGCCGATACTTGTGGTGCTCAATGGCTAGCTCCAGCAGATAGTCTTTGGAGTGGACCCTGTAGTCGAGTTTGACTGCCTAAAAGTAAAATGTAAAACAAGTAAGTTTCAATGTACTAAGGTTATGACAAGACATTTGTTTTTTTGACATGACGATGCCTCTTCAAACAACTTAACAGAGTCGGCGTATTCAAAATAAATGTCAAGCCAATCACAAAACAGAGGTCAATATAACAACTTGATCACAAGTTAATAAGTCAAATCACAAGTCAACTACAATTCAATCACAAGAGTAGTCGATCACAAGGGTAGACAATTACAGGTCAATCACCAGTCCAGCCCAAGTAAATCACAAGTCAATCACAAGCTAGTCATGAGTCAAATTGATAGTCAGCTTACAAGGCATGTCATAAGTTTTAAGGATGAACAACGACAAGGAAATGCTTCCGTCGCAGTTAATGAATAGCACTGCCACGGTTTTTTTATAACTTGCCAATTGACCGTAAAATTCCTTTTTTAATTCTCCCAAGCATCCTGTAAATATCTAGCAAAATCTACCTGCAAAGATTTTGCAATTAACATCATTCTGCAGCCACGTCAGCCAACAGGTTTTCAGTGGCGATTTCATTCAAGGCTTTGTCATTTGCTTTTAGAACAGAGCCTCCTGTAAAACAGTATTAATTTAACTTAACAGTATTAATTCAATTCTCTTACCTGCAGACCAACTACTGATTTTCCACATAGACTGTAGTCATGGTTGTTATATTTACGAAGACACAGCCAGCAGAAGTTGAGGTTGCACGTGCCGCAGATCATGGAAGGACATCCGCCGTTCTTCTCCCAGCGGGTCCTGCAGCCAGGGCACTGCTTCACTTGCACATGAGTGATGAGGGGTACTTTTTTTTCGCCCACTGGAAAAGTGACGGTAACAAGGGAAAAGTGACATCAGTTATGCTGGTGCTTTGGTTAGCATTTGAAAATTCTCTACACATTCACATACCCTAGATTCAGACATGTCCTCCAAAAACAGGTGTTTTTTTTTAAATTGATGAAGAAAAATGACAACTCACGTGTTTTCTTCATGGCTTTGCGGTAGTTGCTGGCCTGCTGGCAAGAAGCCGGCCAGTGTCCCTCTTCCTTGCACTCTGTGCACCACAGCCAACCGCAATCGCATCGGACTGTCATCATCTTCGTCATCAAAGTTTCGCTGCTTATAGACGATGACAGTGACGACGATGACGATGAGAGCGACGATGACGATGATGATGACGAGGTTGACGATGATGATGACAATCCACTGTCGGACTCCAGACGTGCCACGCGACCACACAGTGCGTTCGGGCACCGGTGGCACTCGGCCGAGCGGGCCAAGGTGGTGTCCCTGGCACGCCTGTAGTGAGCATGGAACAGGGCGGGGCTAAGGAAAGCCATGGTCGTGACGGGGTCCACAAGCGTCTTGCACTTGTACTCCTGAAAAAGGAAAAATTGATACAAAAACAAATTGAAGGAACAAAGATAATAATTTGACATCTGTAAAATGATCAATGTGTAATGCTTATGGCCAGTTCGTATTTCGCCCAAGTACCCCTCAAATAAGTATCCACTTGAGGGAGCCCTTCCCCCCTCCCCCAGCACACCCTCCGCCCGCAAGGGAGTAACCTCTCTGGATCCACCCTTGGGTGTGATAGCCCTTTGGGAGTTGGAATTTCTTGGATTGTCTGCTTATCAGCTTATAAACTTACAGGGCATGTGATGTCTGTGGCTCCCTGCTTGACCCCTGACCTCAGGTACTGGCGCCAACAATCGTTGCAGAAACGGTGCCCGCAGGGGGAGAGGAGGGTGCCCTCCAAACTGCCGAGCGAGGACGGTGTTGCACCAGCTGGAAGAGACAGGATCTCGTAGCAGATTCCGCATTCGTCGGATGAGGTTGATGTTTCCTGGATCTCCTTGTCGCAACTCGGCTAAAAGAAGACATTTACGAGATTTAATTCAAGATTGTTTCAGTTCTTGGTGTTTCAGAATTGAATTGTATTAACAATTTATTGCCTCAAATCACATCAAGTTTGAAAGTGTGTGACAAACATCATACAGGAACCTAAAGAAATGATAATTGAAGCGACATCAAGCTGGCTTTTGGATGTTATAAAAAATATCGGATCATCTCAAAAATATTACCTGACCAAGCCCAACGTCAAAGGTAAATGGGTAATTTCACGACCCCTTAACACTGACTATTGACCTTCAAACCATGTGATATTTGTATACTATATTCCTACCTCAAGTGTCTGTCTGCTAGTAATCTCACTATAAGCCTCATCCGCCGTGCTCAATCGACAGTTCCAACCCAGCGCTTCCCTCACAGTCGGGATGTCTGCAGAATTGTGTCTGGATCGGGAGCTTACAACCTGCGCCCCCCTGAAATGGAATCGTACATTTTCACTTTGTTTCAGGTAAAACGGCATACCAGGTTATACCATCAGATCAATTTTCATATTAATTCAAACATCTGAGTCAATGTTGAGATGAGCAAACATCCTTTCAATTGTTAATTCGATGTTGACGTGTAATTTTATCTCATTTCATTTTATGTTCTCTATGTGGTAATATTTGTTATTTTTTGTTGTTGTGGGGTGCTGTGGTCCACTAGTTAGGGTGTTCGACTCGTGTGTCGTGGTACATGGGTTCGAATGCTGACGGGGAGCAAGGCACTTCATTACGATTGCCTCTCTCCACACAGGTGTAGTAAATGGGTACCTGGTAGGAAGAGATTCCTTCAATGCTTGAGCGCCGCAATGGCAGCCGTGCTAAAGCCAGGGTAATAATAGAGCACCAGGAGCATCACTTCGTGATGAGCGCTATACAAGAAGCCTTAATACTGTTATACGTGTAAAGGTATCACTAAGGAGACACGTTATCGTAATTTCTTCGCACAATGGGAGACATCGGTCATTAGGGAGACATTTTCATGTCTCCCTAATGTCACTGCCCCCCAATAGAGGCACAATTTTACTGTCGCAATTAGGTTATATTTGTTGCTTGTTGTTTAATTAGTAAACATACCGAAATTCGTGGAAAAAGGACAAGGGAATATTGGGTTAGGGCACATTTAAGTTTGAAAAATTCTGTGCACAAGTCTATGGGGATGTCTCCCAAGTATCCAATCTAGGGTAATTAGTATTGTTATTATAGCCTTTTATACAATGATTTCGCTTTTAGGCAAGCCACAGGTTTATCCTTAATGTCTTTAATTGCTGAGCATATCATACACCTGTACTTGTTGTCTTTTTATGCCTGGGAATATTATAAATATTGAGGTCCACTTGCTGAGATTCCAAAGACTGTATTTGATTTATCTTCTTGATATTGCCCTTTATCACCAAGGCCGCTTGACGGCGCTTGCCATTGACCGGCTGTTCAGCAAGCATAAGAATTTTCCAGTCTCGAGCCAAGACTAAACAGAATCATTCAGAACCACTTACGTTCTGCCCCAGCTAGCGGCAGACTTTGTGAGCTCATCCTGCATGTACTTGATGACGTCCGGGGTAGAAATGATGGTATCCGACGGAAAAGAAGCTGACATTTGCTTGGTGGTGACTAGAACTTGATCGCTCAGGCCGTACACTGTCATCCTGGTGAAAAATGTGGCAACAATTGATTTGTGTGCTTCAAAACTGATGCTTGAGTAAAACGGAGGTTTGAAATTTTCCCTTTCATTTCTGATAACAGGTTTGACCAAATTACTGCCAAAGGCAAAATTGTTTGATCCCGTTTGAGCCTAGTGTGCTCTTGAACCTATCGCACTGACTGACTGACTGTCACGTGTGACTAGTACACTATTTACCTGCACAACTATCAGATAGTCAAACAGGTAACCAGTTTTGTTTCCAGTAATTTAAGTAAATGCCAATCAAAACCCTTTTCTAATTATTCAGCAGAAACTTTTTCCATTAGAAAGTCCTTGGACCTCAAAGAAATATCGACTGTGTTTTTCACATCAAAACTGAGGTCCTTATATTTGGAATTAAAAACTGTGATGACCCACCTCACATGCACTCCTGTCTTCACGACTTGCCACGATTCCGCCTCCACTGAGTCTGTGCACTCGACGGTCGTGGGATCATCGTCCAAGCATTCAAACAGAAGGTACACTTTGTTTCTAGGATCGCTTGAAAGATCGTCTTCCCCGACTTGGATGGCAAACCTCCTTGGCCTGCACTGGGCCTCAGCGTATGCCCTGCCGAAGTCTGCCTCAAGCCTTGATGGTTGTACAGACTCTTGGTCGAGTTGAAGGCACGTGGAGGGCAGTTGGCACTTGTCTGCAACCAAATCCTCTTGTAACTGAGCAATGGCTTGTGACTGGGCACCAGTAGTCGCCCTTGTGCGGGGTTGGCCTCTCTGACGTTGCGGCTTGGGTCGGGGCTTATATTTAGCTCCCTCGGGGTCATAGACAACACGACCCTTGTGCTGAACTTTGGCCTTTGACGTGCCCTGGTTGCTATCGACTCCCTCCTTTGACAGATGTCTGTCCATGTCGCTCTGTTTTCGTCGCTTCTTCTGCTTCGGTTTCTTCGTGGTGGCAAACAGAGCATCTCCCAGCGTCTGCCTTGGTCGTTCCTCGCTGATCATCAAGCCACTGTCGATGGCTTCATCTTGGAGATTCGAATCTGCCTCCGAGTGAGATAGGACCTCCTCATAGATGTCATCTTGGATGCAGTCCTCCGTATCGTAGACGTCTTCCATGTAGAATGTGGTGGTGGCTCTATGTCTCTGTTTGGTGCTTGCAGACCCTAAAATAAAGGATAATAAATTAAGGATATAACTTTCTGTTTTAACAAAAAAAAGTTCAAAGTACTGGGAAAAAAATCTGAATCTTTGAATCTTTTAGGCCATCCAGTGTGTAAACATCCAATGTTAGCATCAGTATACCGTATCTTATGTACCAAAGCTACTATAAAAGTGTCATTTCAGAATCATTAACCCAACCTTTCTTGCTCCTTTAAAAATCCACCAGGAGGTTTCGGGGGTTTTTTTGATTGAGGAAGGTACAGCAAAGCCATTTGTACATGTCATGGGGATTGATGCCAATTGACAATTTCTGAACAAAGAATGCACTATTACTTAAGGAGACCCAGCAGATACTTGAGTGGAAGATTTTGCAGGATTCAAGCCTGTTCCTAATTGTCCTTTGGATTGAGAGTTCATATGGTCTAAGAGTGATAATAAAATGATCTATGCTGAAAACTGTTTCCTACTTTTGTTGGATGTCACGGTGTTCATCTTCATCTCCGGCCTCCATGGGTACTTGTTCTCGGGTCGGCCGTACCCGACCTCGTAATGCAGCTGTGGTGTCCTCTCCTCCGCCTCATCCAATTGTTGCCCCTCCTCCCGAATCCTCTCCTCTAGCGCATCCAGCAGCCCCCTCCAGTCCACCTTCTTCCCGCCGCGGTTCTTGGCGCAGCGCAGCTTGTGGATGCGGCTGCGGACGGCTTCAGTCGCGGCGTCGCTGCGGTCCCGTCCACGCAGGTCCCAGGCATGGGCGTAGGTCTGCTTAGGCAGCCGCTCTGGCCGGGAGGTCTTGGATTCGTACACGCCAGTGCAGGCAGGCTTAAAGACATCGTGGGCGTCCAGGTGTCGCTCCACCAGTAGGACCTTGAAGTCCAGCTCCTCGTGGGCGTCCTTGTCATTGCAGATGCTCTCTTTCAAGAGGCTCGGGATTTCCCATCGCTTCTGCTTATTCAGAGAGTAGACCATATCCCCTGTTGATGCAAATTTAAAGTAAATGCAAATCTTACATTACACCCAGAAATTTTAATGATTTAATTTCATGCGCCAACTGTTTTTATGGATGCAACACTTCACTTTGCAAGTAATTAAAATTAATAAAAATAAATACAATTTACTAAATAGATGTAATGAAATCAAATAAAGTAATAAATAATTAACATAAATTAAACTTAAGCTTCTTCTTTTAAAAGCTCACATCATTATTTTCAGCATTATAGAACAAATCAATGTGGTAATTTATCAACCACATCAAAATGTGATTTGCCGCACAATCATACAAAGGAAATCTATTCTACTCACTGGATCCACGCAAGCCCCCATCGCTCACTACCTCCTGAAACTGTCCGTTGATGTCTTCGTATTCCATTCCGCCGTGCGTCCTCTTTGTTATTACAAACTGCTCTCTGAAGTGGTGCGACATGGGACTCCGTCGCAGAGTGTGACCGGTCACCCGGCCAAAGCGTTCTTCTTGCTTGTTACGAGACATGTTATCCTTGTCGTCGACTGCGCTGATGTCCTGATGTGATGAAATGGTGTCAGCTAGGATGCCACTATGGTAAAAAAAAAACCAATTCTAAGGCAAAAAAAAAAAGATTCGGTCTCTAGTCAGACCAAAGTTCCGGAATTGACGCGGCCACGCGGCTTTTTTTTTTTTTTTTTTTTTTTTTCGCATTTTTTTTTTTCTTCAAGCTTGGATTGTACAGACAAGGTGGGTACTATTTTGCTTTTTTGGTGTCCTCATGTACATTGGTTTCCTCCATAATTTGCCTTGGTGCTTTCGATCATTTGCCTTGGTGCAATTTCTCATTCCTCGGTGCTCTTTGGTAAAAAAAATTGAGGAGGTGCGGAAATAGAGGGCGCTGTTGGAGCTACCACGGAACATTTTGGGAAAAAAAAGATCGACGCGCATGATTAAAATCGACACGCGCGCTGACCAGAGACCGACTTATTTTTTTGTTTAGCCTAATAAGGCCAACTTGAGAAGCAAACCAGTTTCTTGCCCCGCCCACTGCCTTTTTTTTCTGTCCACCTCCCCTTTTTTGTTTCGTGATTTTTTTTGTGAAAAGAAAGTTGCATCCTGATGCTACCCTTTTTTATCATATATTATCACAAAGAAAGGTCAGTCATTGTAGAAATGTTGAAAAGACATGAATCTGGGACTGTGATATCCAATTTGGTTAATAATTTTAGAAAATACTTTGAAAATGCAGTCGACTCTCAGTACACATTACATAACCAAAGAGGTGGCTGGTGAAATACGGAGGACCTTTCCTTTGCCGAATGAAAATTCTGGAGAAATTTGATGGCAAATGAGTCAAGTTGGCCTGATTTAGTTTTGCATGTTAAAAATTGTTTTAAGTTCTCAAAAATTTGAGACCCATCTTGAAAACTTGAAAAAAAAAAGAATCCAAAAAAGCCAAAAATCTTGAAACATTTCCCAAAAGTGCAAACCAACAAAATACATTGTATGTAAACCTTTTTACGGTTGTGTAATTTGTATTTTAAATTTGTTATTTTTATTTAGCAGCTCGCTACACTAGAACTACAGTAGTGAGTTTTTTTTTTTTTGGGGGGGGGGGTTTACCAAAATCCAGTAAGTTGGTTTTAATTTAACCCAAAAATTGTACTCTGAAAATTACGTGTATTTTATTTACACATGGTTGTGTAATAATTTGGGTACAACTATAGAATGCAGGGCCACTTTACTCTACATCCACGCCTCCGTACGGCTGCGTGGAGGCGTGGAGCCGCAGTCGACCTACCTCCGAAAATCGATCGTGGAGTCGTGGAGCCGCAGCTCAGTACAGTCGACATCTCCGAGAATTGCGCCCTCTATCGGTGCACGTCTCTGCGACTCCGCGACTCCGCCACTCCATCCAGTGCCCCGCGTCTCCGCGACTAGACTCTGCGACTCCCAGACTCCGCGCCTCCGCCACTCCAGACAGTGCCCCGTCGCCCTCCTCCCTTCCTAATTTGCGAGCCCATTTAAAATGGATACGGATGCTTCGTTCTCAAAAAAATTTCGCCGAGAATTGCGCCCTCTATCGGCGCGAGTCTCTGCGACTCCGCGACTCCGCGCCTCCGCCACTCCAGTGCCCCGCGTCTCCGCGACTAGACTCTGCGACTCCCAGACTCCGCGCCTCCGCCACTCCGATCCAGACAGTGCCCCCAACACATTTACAAGCACGCCCTCCCTTCCGATCCTTCATGAGAAGCTTAGAAGACAAGTGCATTCGCTGTACTTAGCACTTTTTGCAGGTTTGCATATCTATTACTCCTATCCATCCACGCCTCCAAGCAAATTAAAAAACCTTGCTCCGGCGTGGCCCTGCATTCTATAGTTGCTCCATAATTTGCATAGGCTTGACAAATCTTGAAAAAAAATTGCTGATCTTGAAGAAAAAAATATGGAGCGGTGACACTGTTTCAGACATGTCAGAGCACTCCATGCCCACCACAGCAAACTTGAGAGACCCAAATTTTCGCGGACTACATTCATGACATTGGACTAGTCAACACAAAATCAAAGCTCATTAATCGTTCATACTAATAATTAAAAATACAATTGTACCTCAAGATGACGACAGTGGTTCCTCCTCCGGTCGGCACGGTTGCTGCTACGCCCTTCCTTTAACTTTAAGCCTAAAGAACAGCGGCTAAATGTGACTTTTATACTGTTGAGTTTTGCCATTATTTCACCCAAGTTGTGCAACATCTTGCGTGTCTTGTTTTGGTTTTTCAGACCATGTTCAGACTGACCTTTTGAACAGCATATTTCATTAATAAGTAGGGGTTCTACAATAATTTCTTGCACTCAATTTAAATTAGTTGAACTTAGACCTTGTAAATAAATTTTAAAAAAATATTCATTTATTTTAAACTTAATTTTTCTAATATCATCATAACTTATATGTGGTAAGAATTGTCTTTCTGTATAATAAGGGTATTTTGGCAACCCCTTCGGTGGTATCACCCAACTTAAAATAGAACTGCCGTAATCGTTTGATTAAAATGGTTATACCGCCCTCTACTGATTTTCCAAACTTACATCTCAATCTTATTTTTTTTTCTCTGGAGTCCGAGTGGCGTTGGGTGAGGGGGGGGGGGGGGGTATATATGCAGTAGAGAGCGGCGGTTTGGAGATCCAGTTCGATTTATTTTGTTTTTGTTTGCAATGAATGACAAGTGCAGAAGAAGGGAAATTGAAGACACAGTGATTTGGTCGGCTTGGGCGATATTGTTGCTTAGTTGCTCCACAGTTGATGTGGTCAGAATATAAGTTCAAAATAATTACTGCCTCATGGTACATACAGGGCCTAAATTTTATTATTATACACATTAGGCCAAAAAAAAAAATAATCGGTCTCTGGTCAGACCGAAGTTCCGGAATTGATGCGGTGGTTTTTTTGTTTGTTTGTTTTTTTAGTGTTTTTTTTTTTCAAGCTTGAATTGTACAGACAAGGTGGGTACTATTTTGCTTTTTGTGTCCTCATTATAATTTGCCTTGGTGACCTTTATCATTTGCCTTGGTGCAATTTCCCCATTCCTTGGTGCTCCTTGGTAAAAAAAAAAAATGTGGAGGTGCGGCGATAGAGGGCGCTGTTGTGGCTTCCGTGTTCATTTGAAGAAAAAAAATAAGGTTGACGCGGATGATTAAAATCGATGCGCCCGCTGACTAGAGACCGAGTATTTTTTTGGGCCTTACCGGCATACTCTCGCAAAAAGTGGGCCGACCAGCATTGTATACAAAACCTCAATGGCCGGGGATTTGTGCGTAAAACGGTCAGCCGATCACACTCAATTGACTTCGGTAAAACCGCAAGTCCCATTATAAAAGTTAACCGGACCATTTTTTCCAAGAGTGTGTTTTTAATGAGGGTGCGAAAAAAAACCCCGGAACCCAACCCAAAAGTTATACTTCATTTTTAAAGAAAAATATGTACATGTAGCACCAAACATAATAATGACTGGAAAGCCATTTTCATAAGCTACTTTTAGATGAAAAGAAATACTGAAATTGCTCAATCCGTGCAAAGATTATTACTATTAAACACAATGAACCTATTTTTTCCGTCCAAAAATGCGATTTCAAGAATTGTCGTCACAATAAATTGTCTTCAAACTTCACCAGCGAAATATACCTCAGATTAAAAGTTAAAAATATTCAACAAAATCCGTTTGAAGGCCCGTCTTTTTTTTTTAAGTGGATTTTGTAAATCATATTGTTTGCTTAACCAGGGTTGTTAATAAAGAAGTTGTGTACTAGCACTGTTGTCGACAGTTGTTGACATAAGACTAGTATTCTGTGTCATTTTCTATGTTGTTCTAAGTGTGACAGTCACAATAAACAGCTTTTTTGAACGAAAGAAGTTTTAGGGTCATTGCGTGTAAATGGGGATATTCTTTGAGCGGATTGAACAATTTCAGTATGTTTTTTTTTTTCATTGAAAAGTAGCTTATTGGCTTTCCAGTCGTTATTATATTTGGTGCTACATATTTTTTTAATATTAAATATATATGTATTTATTTTTTTTTGGGGGGGGGGGGGGGTTGGGTTCCGCTTTTTTGAATCGCGCTGTGCAATCACTGCCACCACAATATTGGGTGAAAATCACAAGAGCACCGCCGCCGCCCTAGTAGTCTGAATGAGTGTCACCCGTTATCCACGGAGCCAACTGGAAGTCTCCGGTGTAAGGCCCCCCCCCCCCCAAAAAAAAATTCGGTCTCTGGTCGGACCGAAGTTCCGGAATGGACCGATCCAGTAAGCTCCGCCCAGTGCGCACGTGGGCAAATTAACACGTGCTCCTCTCCAATGCCACGCTGCATGTTCCTTCCGCGCGCATCATACGCGCGTGCACGCATGTCGGACTTTAGTGCACGCACGTCGGACATAAACCACGGCTGTGATTGGTCAGAACACTATGGGGCGGTGCTTACTGGATCGGTCCATTGACGCGGGGACGCGGCTTTTTTTTTTTTTGTTGCTTTTTTTCCCCTTCAAGCTTGGATTGTACAGACAAGGTGGGGTACTATTTTGCTTTTTTGGTGTCCTCATGTACATTGGTGTCCTCCATAATTTGCCTTGGTGCTCTCGATCATTTGCCTTGGTGCAATTTCCCATTCCTTGGTGCTCTTTGATAAAAAAAAAAATTGAGGAGGTGCGGCAATAGAGGGCGCTGTTGGAGCTACAGCGGAACATTTTGGGGAAAAAAAGATTGACGCGCATGATTAGAATCGACGCGCGCGCTGACCAGAGACCGACTTATTTTTTTTTTGCCTAACGCCTGATATGTCTAAACATGCAGATCATAATTATGCAAACCGAGCGCCAGCCAATCGGAGTCGACTCTACTAAATCATGACGTCATTTCATTCCCAACTCAGGACTAATGGTTTGATTGGTCAATTCGAATGCAGTGTTTTGTAATACAACAACAACCGGGTGCATATTGTACGGAAGACGGATAGTGCCACTCATATATTTTTTTTGTACGTGTGAAAATATTTTTTTTTGTACAGCCATTTATTTTTTTTGCACAGCAGCCGCCACTTATTATGGCGGCTATGTGGCGGCCGCTGTACCCAAAAATATTTTCACACGTACAAAAAATATATTCAGACTTATTGAGTGGCACTATATCCGTCTTCCTATTTGTGAACTTTTTGAGGCAAAAAAAAATAAAAAAATAAAAAAAAAGTAAGCGACCTGCGCCGGCCAATATTAACAGAAACTCCATTTTTTTCAGAGGATTACAGATGCCCAAATGCCAAATGAATATTTTACGCGAAAATATAACAAAACCCCATACAGATTGAAACGACAATACAAATAATGATCACGTCATGTATATATCGAAACGTATACATGTACATGCATATTTACAGAAATAAAAAGAGGAGCTATAATATAGCCCTGATCTCCGTCGTGCGGGGCGTTTGCGAGATCTATTTATAGATGGCCCTCGCAACTATATATTTGGAGAGTAAAGTTTCGGTTTCACACAGTCGTCTCCCCTTCGCTCAACCAGAGCGCTAGCGGAGAACCGCCCGGCGGAACAAAACTTTATACGGTGAGTCATCCGATCGCCAACGCGCTAGTCTTTTGTCCGAGCAGAGCTATAGGTGACGATATTTTTCATTTTTTTGATATCACTTTTTTTGCTGCCTGTTTTGACATTTAGTTTATCGTGGTTTATTGGCAGTATCCAAAAAAAATCTGAATCCCAGAAATATTGGATTCCAAATTCGCGCCTCACGCGGCGCCTGCCAGGCTCAGCGGACTTTGATACATGATATTCACAAAAATGCAGGGCGTTCCCTTCTTTCTTTTTATTTGGAGACAATTTGAGCCAGCCAACAACCTTTTAACTATTGCGATTTCGAATACCGCTGCTCGTCATAACTTTATTCCCACATTTCAATTTGCGTCTTGGTCGGGTATTTCATTTTTCTTAAAAAGAAAATCGAGATTTTTGGTGTGTTCAAGGGTTATTTACCTTTTCGAGAGTGACGTCAATTTGACGGCACATGAGCCAATCAAATCCGTTTCACAAAATAATGAATAAACATTTTTCCCCACCATGCATTGCACAAGCACTTGTGATGTCATTCAGGGTAGTGAGTAATTGAGCAATTGCCGTACCCCCTATAGGAGCTATTGAGGTGTGGCCATTTTATTTTTTTTTTAGAACCGAACGGCAAATTTCGGCTGTACATGAAGAAGTGTGATTCAGTGTGGTTATAACGGCGTTTCCTGGTAGATTTTGTTCAATTTTTACGGTAAGTTGTCGCTCAATTTTAAATTGAATAACATCGTTGCAAACGTCGAATATTCATTATTTATTTGGTTGTGTGTATATGGGATATTTTTGGTCAAGGAAAGTGGGAAACTGGCGATCAATTTCTTCAATTTTTGTTCACTTTTCAGCTGTTTGTACACTTTGCGTGTGTGTAGTTTATGCATGCATGTTGTTCGTTGTTTGCGGTTAGGTTTAGCTGTTTAGTTGATTGATTGTCATGTGCGTATATTTGGAAGGAATGTAGTACAATTATAAAAAAAAATGCCAGTTTTTAACTTTGATGCATTCTTTAGTTCAATTGTTCATTCATTTCATTGCAGGTATTTCATTGCAGGTAGACCTGATCTGAAAAAAACCCAAACATTTCAAAACAGGCAGGCCGGACATGCCGGACATGCCGGATCATGGAATGTCATTGTGTCAGAACTCGACCGTTGGTTGAGACAACTCGACTGAGACAGTCACACCGTTGAGACAACTCGAGCATTGAGACAAGTCGATGGTGGACAACTCGACCATTGAGACTACACAATCATTTCACAACGGTAGACAAAGTCATGAAAGTAGAGTTGTCTCAACGGTCTCAATGGTCGAGCTGTCCCGAGTCGAGTTGTCTCAACAGTCTGACAGTCGAGTTGTCTGACCCCTGGATTATGAGCCCCCCCCCCCCCCCCCCCCCCCCGTACCATTGAATGAATGCTGGGCATGACTACATCGCATTGTCATGATTGTTCATAGTCATACGAGTCGAAGTTTAGGCAAGATTACCATATGCGAAGTTCACTAATTTTCCTCTGTATTGACTAACAAGCCCCCAGATAGCAATTTCATGTCATCAAAGTCAATTTGAGCAGTGAGAAAATACAAGCATTTTCTTAGAAAACACTTAGAACTTTTCAGTCCACTCTCATAGGGTTTGTACACAGAGTGTTGAGTGAACTCCGTATATGGAAATCTTTCCGAAGTTTAATTGTTTAACGTGTCGGTACTGTATATGAGAGTAAAAAAAACTTTGCAGATAGTAAAAACATGCAATTTAAGAAAATTGACTAGCAGATGAAACAACCAGTCCAACACACGTTTAGTGCTAGACCTACATCAATCAACAGTGTCAAAAGAAACATCTGGTACCCAGTCTGTATTTCTACACACGTTTCCATAGTCATGCCACCAGACTACTGAAGGGTCAATCTTTTCAAAGTGTTGGACATCCTCATCTTGGGCTTCAAATTGAAATCACTTGGCTTCACTCTCACTAGTCTCATGTGCAAAATGTTAACCCTAACCATCCCAAATCCTCCCAAATCCTTTTTGCAAATTGGAGGAATTTGCAGGATTGAGGTTACATGGCAAAAGTGCGTTGCTAATTTCGGTGTACACACTGTGTCAATGTCTTGGGCCGGACCTTGTGTTGTTTATGCTCAGCCGTGCATAAATTTAGTCCTTGATTATACTTGAAATCCTCCGCACTGCTCCAGGATGTCACTGTCTCTGCCTCAGCCTGTTGACAGTCATAGCCGGAGGATTTTGCAGGATTCAGGCAGTGGTCACCCCTCCATGGACCATATTCAAGAAATAACGGAGGAATTTGCAGGATTGAGGCTATATGGTATTTTCCCATGAGGCCAATTGGAGGATTTTGCAGGATTGAGGCTACATCCTAGCCAAAAGGGTTAAAAGAAAAGTTTTGTTTAAAAATTGAGTTGAGACCTCAAACTTGCCCTCTGAAAATTTTTGAGAATTTGGCTAAAGAGTGAGTAAAGTTCGACCGATTTTGTTTTTTTCATGTTTTCTTCCACTCAAGGTCCAAGTCTTGGTAGGGCCTAACTGTATAATGTCAAGGCTGGTTTAGAAAGGCTTTCATTTCAGCTGTGTTGCATTCCGTTGCATTTACAAATGTAGCAGGGTGCCTTGAGAAAACCTGGGGGTTTAACCCTAACCCCCTAGGCCCTTGTTGCTTACAACCATCCTCAATCCTCCAAAATCCTCCAAAATTTTTCAACTCCGCCTAAATTTTTCAAAATTGTCAGACAGTCCTGCCTCAAAATGCATTCATCCTCAATCCTCCAAAATCCTCCTCATCCCAAAACTTTGCACTCGTGTTTAAATGAAGGATAACCAACACCAAATCCTTCAAAATCATCAGACAGTCCTGCCTCAAAATGCATTCATCCTCAATCCTCCAAAATCCTCTTGTGCTTCATTCACCATTCATCCTCAATCCTCCAAAATCCTCATGTGCTTCAATCACCATTCATCCTCAATCCTCCAGAATCCTCATTTGATTCAATCACCATTCATCCTCAATCCTCTAGAATCCTCCAAAACCGCCAGGAGGATTTTGGAGGAGTGAGGTGGGTTAGGGTTAATGATTCGATGTTCATGAAACAAACACAGCCTTACATTGGTCCTCAGCACCAAAGATTCTTCAGGGCCTTCACATTTTCTGGAAGCTAAAAATAGAGACAAATGTATGCCGTGGTTTTTCCATATTTATACAAACACACAAATTAACAGCAATCTCTTTTCTTGTTTCCATGCCCAGAAAGAAGATGGCAGCTATACGAAAGAAGCTGGTCATCGTAGGTGATGGTGCCTGTGGAAAGACGTGTCTTCTAATTGTGTTTAGCAAAGACCAGTTCCCAGAAGTCTATGTACCAACAGTATTTGAGAACTACGTCGCAGACATTGAGGTTGACAACAAGTGTGTAAGTTGTGCAACTGTTTACAATATGAAAGTGGGACAGATAGACAAAATGTAACGTCAAGGGTACAGTATTTTGCACCAAGTTTGGAAAGAATGTTGCAACCTGATGCTGCTTTTTTCTTCAAATATCATCTCAATCAAGGTCAGTCATTGCAAAAATGATGATAAGACATGAATCTGGGACTGAGAAACATTTCCAATTTTGCTAGGAAATACTTATCAAATTTTCTTGATTCTCCATAGACTTTGTACACAACCACTGAAGTAGCGCCAGGTTACAGCATTCTTTGCCCAAGTTTTTGTCAGTGAAAACTTTAAAAAAAAAAAAGTGGTCCTTATTTTGAAGAACGTATCTATCCAAATTGCTGAATTAAAAAAACCTAGAAAAGTTGTCATGTTAGGATGCACTTTGTCAAGGTCTTGGGCCGGACCTTGTGTTGTTTTTGCTCAGCCATGCATAAATATAGGCTTGGATTATACTTGAAATCCTCCGTACTGCTCCAGGATGTCACTGGTCAAGCCGCAACATATTGACAGTCACTACCGCAGGAGTTTGCAGGATTCAGGCAGTGGTCACCCCTCCACGGTCCATATTCAAGAAATAATGGAGGAATTCGCAGGATTTAGGCTATATGCTAGTTTTCCATGAAGCCAATTGGAGGATTTTTCAGGATTAAGGCTACATCCTAGCAAAAAGGCCTAGAGAGTTAGGGTTAAAAGAAATAAATCTACATAAGCCATTCCTGAGGTCAAATGGGCGAGATCAAGAATGCTTAAACACTTGTTCTTGCATCCAGCCTAAATTTGTCACAAATTTAGGTCACAAACCCTGACAATGTCTAGGTGACATCTCCGGTCACAGTCTATTGTGCCTGGTGTATCTAATATTTGCGGTTATTTTGCCAAGAAAATGCCATTCTTAATCCTCAATGTTTCTTTTGCCTTTTTATCCTTGCAGGTTGAGCTAGCATTATGGGATACCGCAGGCCAGGAAGACTACGATCGACTCCGACCCCTGTCATATCCCGACACAGATGTCATTCTAATGTGTTTCTCCATCGATAACCCCGACAGTTTAGAAAACATCCCCGAAAAGTGGACGCCAGAGGTGGGTAATTTCTAGTCCAAACATATCATTTGGTTATAGTCAGAGGCTGACTTGTGCATTTTTGTCTTTACGACCTATGACCTTTGGCACATGGTAAACTAAAATCATGTGAAACTTTGCATGTGCACAAATTGGTACCGTATTGTGAATACACATTTATGCAACAAATAGGCCAGTCAGGCTTAACCTTAACTTTAACCACCCTGAATCCTTCAAAATCCTCTTTGCCAAAATGGAGGAATTTGGAGGATTGAGGTTACATGGCAAAAGTGTGTTACTGATTTCGTAGGATGCACTTTGTCAAGGTCTTGGGCCGGACCTTGTGTTGTATTTGCTCAACCATAACAAATACAGGCCTAGACTATGCTTAAAACCCTCGGTAATGCTCCAGGATGTCACTGGCCAAGCCTCAACAGATGGACAGTCTCTACCGCATGATTTTACAGGATTCAGGCTGAGGTCATCCCTCCAGGGACCACATTTAAGAAATAATGGAGGAATTTGTAGGATTGAGGCTATCTGCTAGTTTTCCATGAGGCCATTTGGAGGATTTTGCAGGATTGAGGCCACATCCTAGCAAAACAGCCTAGGGAGTTAGGGTCAAAAATTGGAAAACACTGTATAGAGTCTTCTGAAGTCTTGGAATTTCCAATTCTTTTGTGGCTTTCATCATCATCATCATTGGGCGGCCGCAGCCGAGATGGATGCAACCAAACCCTTCCAAGACTCTCTTGCCACCCGTGGCCGTGGTGATATCATCAACGTGCTGGCTCACGTCATTGCATATAGTGTCAATGCAGTTGAGGGGTCTCCGCCCTCTGTTGGGGCAAGGCAATCTCCAGCAGATGAGGTCGGAGACATCTTGCTCTTTGGCGCTATAGCAGTGGCCGGCAAGGCGAGCTCTTGCGCTGTGCCACTGTAGTTGAGATAGGTGGGATGCTGCCGTATATTTCCAAATTTGTCTTGTGTTCCTTCCAGGAAATATTTTGCGCTCTCATGAGGAGGCGAGTGTGTGGCTTTACAGTTGCATGTCTGGAACTGAACATAAAAACTCAACATAACTGGCTGTTAGGTTGAGTTTGTCAGGCTTGGGGCAGTTAGTTGCAGTGTTGTGGAGTGCCATCACAGGTCCTCATAAGTCGTCTAATCCCACGCCAAGTCACAATTCTATTCACAAGCTACTGAAATGAGCTGTGACAACAGCATTATTTTGCTATATTCGTCGTGTCCTTTCAACAGGGTCTTATCGCCTAAAATTCTGTGTGACGTCATGTAAGTGTAACGCGAGTTTTCAATGTCAAAAGGTATCTCGCTTAAAATAACCCGGATGTACACACAAAGTCAGTGGACGTGGCGATACGCCTTGTTGCGGACATAACAGGAACACGTCAACCTCTGTGAAATGCCTAACATTTTTTAAGCCTAAACAGTTCTTAAAATATTAGCTAAGCGTTTACAAAATTAAACATGAAGTCCTTCATATTATTGCAAACTTGTAGGAATGTAATATTAGCCTGTCGACATTCAGTGACTTCCTTGTCTGTATACTTCCTTGTTTATTGACAGCACTAGTCCTTGTCGTATGTATTATGAACCATTGGTTGGGTGGGCCACTGTTATCAAAACACTTATAAGTTTACTATCAGGGTTTGAATTACATACATGTATGAATGAGAGTAAGCCATGAATTTAGCATTGGTCTCCTCATGGCAGGTTAGACCCAAGAGTGGTTTCTAGGCCTTGTTTTCTTTTCTAAAGGAAATACAGTATGCCTCTTCAAGAGCTGAACTGCGTCACGCTTTGCAAAGAACATCTGTTGCAGCTGAAATAATGCTACACACATGTTGCAATACATGTAATTAGGCATGCAATGTTTCCTCGGATCTGCTGATTTCCTTGTTTTTTTAGTTCTCATGAATGCCATTACCAATTGAAAAACACTGTACAAAGTCTTGTGTGGTTTGGAATTTCCTCATTCTTTTCTCGAAATTCCCAGTTGCATGCCTGTGTAACGGTCACTAACCTAAGAATGCAATAGACTGCCACACGGATATGGTTTTGAAGTGAAAACTGCATGGATTTGATAATTTACGTAATTTGATTATTTTCCCCAATTTTGGACGTAGGTCAAACACTTCTGTCCCAACGTACCCGTCATCCTAGTCGGCAACAAGAAAGATCTGCGAAACGACGAGGCCACGAGACGAGAGCTGCAGAAGATGAAACAGGAGCCGGTCAAATTCGACGAGGGCCGCGCCATGTCGGAGAAGATCGGCGCCTTTGGCTACCTGGAGTGCTCGGCCAAGTCCAACGAGGGCGTGAGGGAAGTCTTTGAAACGGCCACGAGGGCGGCCCTCCAAACCAAGAAGAAGAAGAAGGGCAAGTGTAGCGTCTTGTAAAAAACAAAGAAGAAAAAAAGCAGATCTCCCTAATATCAACACAGAAACACTTTCCTGCCCAGGGAAGAGGGTTTTCGTTTTCTAAACTAAAATAAATATTTACTTTGTTTAATACCAAGTATGAAGAAAAAGCTGCACTCAGCTGATGGCTGTTGAAGTAAAACTGAGCCGTGTCTCTTAGAAGAGGCCTCACATCAGTTCCCGACAGCAAGTTTTTTTAAGTTCATTGCTCAAATAAGAGATACATACCAGCTGAGTGCAGTTTTTTTTATGAGAGGGGAGGGAGGGGGGGGGGGGCAATTCTTATTCTTCTTTTTTACCTTATATTATGTAGTCACGGTATGACTACATAACAAGCACAGTTTCTTGTGTGATTGGTTATGCCAGGGTGCTAAGACAAAGCAAACGACGAAAGCTGTGTTTCTGATCAGTTGCAGTCCGTAGGGCTCATGGTAATGTCTTGCTGATGACTTCCCGCTCGCACTTTGTATCCGGCACTGTACTATGGATGCAAACACAGTGAAAGCTAACAAAAAGGCCCGTGTTCTCTCCTACGGCCACTTTTCAGTACTATCCTCGGTGCGAAATGCAAGATGTCTGTTCAACGTGATGTTTGCAAATTCCGTCTGGCTGATCAGGCTTTTATTGTTCAAATAATTTTCACTGCTTCAAAGACCCTGAAAATAACACCCACTTTTAATCTAGTACAAGATTATTTAAATTTCATAAGACGAAAAGTACATGTAATGTAACAATCAGTGAAATCATTTTGTATAATTTGGTGCACAAAAAAATTGTCCTAAGTTGGTGAACGTGTGAGATGGATACGCTTAACCTTGTCCACAAAATTACATAAATTTTTTGTACCGTGTGAATATTTAAGCCTGGATATTACTATCAATACAATTTCACGTAACTCCTGGTGTAATGTTACAAGTGGTAAGAAAAGTAAGGAGCAATGTAGTAGAACCAGCTGATACTAAAGAGTAGAGACACAATTTGTATTTACCGTGCTTAAAACTCACTTTGAATATTCACTTCCACATTTCACACCTACATGTAAGCCCAATTTCATAGCGCTGCTTAACAGTAAGCAGAAAAGTTGTGCTTACTATAGCAGAAAATCATGCTGCTGCTTAAGCACTATTTTGTGCTAACGGTTGCGCGCGCATAGAGATTTCTATTGTTACGTCACTGATTTAATCAAAGTTTTCTGCTGGGGTTAAGCGTGCTTTTGCTGTGCTTACTGCTTAACAGTCCCTCGGTAAGCACAAAGTCGGCTGTTAAGCAGCGCTATGAAATTGGGCCCAGATATACGTACAAAAAAACCCTGGAGTTTCATTAAGTACAGTATACATACATTGGTCTCAAGGCAAGGTTTTTCCAAGTCTAAAATTCACTGTTGAATGCATTTTGTAAGGTTATTATTGACAGAGGCTACCATTTGCTAGGGTTGGGCGTGAAACGGTACCTGTCATTGTTACGTGTCTGCCATTCCTTAGGACGTTGCATTTTAACATCAGTAAAAAAAAACTAAGTAGATTTAGATTGTGTACATAGACTAATATTAAAAGGCATCATGGTTTTGAGGGTGTTGAAGTGGACGCAAAATGCAGAAGATGAAATGAACCTGGTTGTGCTCCGAATGCAATATGCGATTTTCCAAATTTGGCTTTTGACTCCGTTCATAATAGTCTATGGCATTTTGTCACCATTATAAGAGCGCTGATGGGAGAGACCACCGCGTGCGCGCATGGTATAGCGCGAAGTACGCACGACTGCGTTTGTTTATGGTGTAAATCGAGGACACACACGTGCAACATCATCGGTGAATCGAGGACAGGAACCAAATCGTGGACGACCTCGATTAGAAAACGTGTACAAAACCAATGAGAGCTGTTGCGAAGAAGTTAGTACAAAGGAAAAGGGAAGAGGAACAAAAGACAATCCTTGATTTACACCATAAACATACGTGCTAGATATTGCGCGAGTCTCAGGCGCGACAGGCAATGCGTTTGAGAGTCTCTCCCAAGTGGTCCTTCCCAACAGTTTGTTTTCAACCGTTGAGGGAGTACTTGTGCGCGGAGTCGGTTGTCATTCAGCATTGCGACAGTGTGTCTCACCATTGTATTTGTTTTCCATGAAATCACGATGCTTGTGTTATAATACTCAGTCATGCATAAGCACAAGTTTCAACTGTTTGTGATGGCGGGAATATCGTACCATGGTTGAGCGACCCTTTGGTTTTGCCCCTGCTTTTGAAGTTGTTCAAACTTAACAAATTCACAGCAGCCAGGGAACACTCCACCCGTACATGTACGAAAGCATGCTGCATACTTGGTTTTAGTAAGACTCTAAGTATGCTGTTATGCAATGCGAGGTACTGCATGTTCTTTGTGTGTTATACTGTGCTCTTAGTTAGCACGTGTACACGTAGTGTAATGGAACAATTTTTTTCATTGTATATTTACGGTCAATATAATGGCTTACCACTATGCTAACTAAAAAAAAAAGAAACTTGACCAACTTAAAAGTTCTGAGGTTTTCTACATATCTTTGGAGTCTCTCGTCTAAAAATGTTATGTCAGCTTTGATTTATGAATTTTTTTTAAAAATATTTCCGTGTAAAGTTTGAGGTCTTAAACCATAGGCGTACAAGCTACTTTATTAATACTTCCCGTTTAAAGTTTGTCTAGGGTTTATTTCTTTCGTGTGCAAAAGGATACAGAAGAATTTATGAATTATAAAAAATAAAATCTAGTCCCATTTCAACAAAATTATGCAACCATACTTTTTCTGTATGTACGTTGAAAAAAAACTTGCTTGATTTGTAAGAACGTTAACAATCAACTTGTATATTCCTATAGATTAAAAAAAAACAAATTACAATATGCACTCATTGTCACCAAACAAATATTGTGTAAAACTTGTTTTCCGAGTTAACCCTTTTAGATAGTCTCGTCAGTTATAATTTGAAATAATGTAATTCCGCTTTTCTTTTTTCATTAAAGGCTTTGTGTATTGTCTATACTTAAAAATCGCACTTAATATCGGAATTATATAAAAGCCAAAAAAAAAAAAAACAGAGAAAGAGATTGAAAGTGTTTTGTGTGTTAGTGTAAAAGTACAAGCTGTTCTTAAATGGAAGCAAATGAAGTGTGTTCAGATTTTCATTTTGTTCACGAGAGAAAAAAAAAAGTGGTTATATCAATTACATTTAAAGATAGTTAAAGCACCGAAGCTGCAAGATGGAGTACTGAGCTTTAACAGAGTGTGCTCTGAAATTTTTTTGGGTCAGATTCAAATATAAAAACCAAGACACGCATGTAAACTTGTGGTTATGTCACCTTAATTAAAATAAAATCAACAAGTTGAGCTACGTTCTCCATCTTGCTGCTATGACGATTTTCTGTCTTGTTCCAAAACAACGTCCAAGAACATATATAAGATAATGCATGCGGTTATGGTGGTTATACCATTTTGTCCTGTCGTTTCTCCACGTAAGATAAGAGCACACTTAAAAACTGAACAAGCAAACTTGTGTTTTTCCTCTGTGTCCTTATTCTGTGTCCTGTATGCAGCATTGTTTTAAAAAGTGCTGACCCCGAATTGTTATCGAGTATCGCTCCAAATAATAGATGTTTTCTGGCGCAGATCCGGGGGAGGGTAGTCTGAGTATCACCCGTTATCCACGGAGCCCAGACTCCTGTCTAACATTCGCCATGGGTCTATTACATAGACTAGGGGGAGGGGGGTGTTTGGGGGTTGAACCCCCCATTTCTGACTAATTTTTGTTTTTCATTGACAAGATTATATTGAAAATAATGTCGACCCCCTGCTCTGACACCCTAAACAAATTGTCAATTGTACCGGTAAGAAAGTTCACCTGTGCACAACATTCGGACTGAGCCAGCTGGGGATACCGGGGGAGGGGGAGGGGTATTTGTTACCTTATTCTATTCTGTAAAAAGTATTGTTCATGATCGTCCGATTTGAACAGCACTCCCATTGAAACCCCCCCTCCCCCCACCTATTGATTTTATGGGGGGAAAGTGTCCGGAGAAAAAAACCTGTATACATTTCAGCATTGATTTGCTGATGAATCCCCCCCTGCAGAAGATCCTGGATCCGCCCATGGTTTTGTGTTTGATAAAAAAAGTTATTAATTGAAATGATGAGAAGAAACAATTACGCCCACGTTTAGTTTTAAAGGGAAATTACAACATTTGCAAACATCAAAAATAAAACTACCAAATCATTTTGAAATACCTTGCTGGACTGTTAGTGAATGACAGTGTAAAGCATCCTGTAAAATCATGGCACCTGGTATACTGTCATTTTCAAGAAAAGTGGTATTTTTGTATCAATTTCCAACGCTGGTCGGCCGACCAGCGTTGCAAAAAACTGGCTTTTTTTCAAATACTGGCCCCAATTGACCATCGCACTTGTTTGCAATCGATTACACACCTATGAACGGGTACAAGCCAGCTATAGACTGGTTCCCTGACCTTACAATTCCCCAATGGTCTGTTTCTTCTTATATGGAGTCAGGGAACCAGACTACAGGAAAATGATTGTTTTTCTTGGTTTTTATAGCATTTTCGAACCCAAAACCTCAAAAAAGTCAGTGTAACTATATTTGCTATATATTTCCAACCCCCCAATTCCATCCATTTCTGAAAATTACAGCAAAAGCAAATGATGTATATTCCCTTTAAAGTGTACATGTATACATTTTGAAGCATGCAACACACAGAGGTGGATCCCCAAATAACACTCCCCTTTTCATAGGGTTCAGAAAAGTTGTTTTCTTTAAAATAAAATATACAAATGCGAAAGTCAAGGGTCGGGGGTGGGGGGAGAATCCGTTGAAAGATAGGGAGATAGCAATACAAACACTAACCCACAGTGCCTGAATAAATCCCCGTCATCTGATTGGTGGGTCATTGATATGTACGATGATTATTCATCCCAACCCACCGCCGGGCCCGGCCGCACGGCAAAAATAAAGTACATTTTTGTGTGTTTACCATCCATACAGTCACACTATGGTGGCTCTGATGAGGATTTATTCAGGTGGTGTGTAAAACAAATAATGAATGTTTCACATTCGCGCAATAACAATAATTTTTTTAAGGTGACTATAGCTGGAGCGTTCCATTTCACTCGGCTTCGCCTCCGCCTCGTGGAATAGAACATTCCAGCTGTCACCTCATGAAATTATTCTTACCATTGCACTAATAAACATTCATTACTGCAGAATATTCCTGAATTAGGAATAATTAAACGGATTTGTGCTTTGTATGTAATTTTTGCCAAGCAACTTTCTGTTAAATATAGCTGTTCCTTGAAATAGTGCGCAATTGCCTAGTATCTGGGTTTGGGTACTATATGAATATCAGCAAAATCGTAACAAATCAAACGGTAGAATTTATAAATGACGCGACGGGCAGTGAATGGATGACACCTACCTACGCAATCCCTGACAATAAAACGCGTCCACCCCGATCCTACGCATATTCCATTTTCACGGGCCGGCATTCAAATTGAGCAGAATACGATGACTCGTGCATTTTTGAAGGCCTCTTAATTATTTCGTCCTTGATCAACAGATTGATGGCAACTTCTAAATCTTTGTTTAAAATGACGAAAATCGAGTTTCAAAAATTCCATTCTTATCCTCTTGAAAATAATGATCTAGTTTGTCCAATTTTAATGGGTTTTCATAACCCCGTTCCCAATATTCCCCTCCCCAAAAAATAAAAAAAAGTAAAAGAACAAATTTTCAAAAGCAAAATATTATATAAATTCGTTCTTAAGTTCTTGCAATTTCCCCTAAAATACACTAAAACTTTACTCAGTATTGCACCCTGAAAATACCTAAGATTTTCCAATATATTTCCAGTATACAGAAATCCGAATTTGATGCAGTGAAAACCATTGCTTATCTGATCTTTCATTCCTACCCATATCAGAACAATGAAGATATTTTTAGGACCAACATTATTTATATGACATTGAAGATACAATTCCAAAAATATAAACCACTCATAAAATTTGCATCGTGATGCAACCAGCAGTACAAAGCATCAGTACAACGTCCATCTATTCTTTACAAAGCGGTGACGTATCACCCCCTAACAAGTCGAAAGTTCCGATCTATTTTTAGCACAGTGGGCCGAGTGGTATAAAAGCGTGCACGCAGTGCCGAAAATGGTCAGTCTATCTAGTCATAAAACACCTGTCGACAGAAACACCCCCGTGCAGCACGATTCGTGAGCAAGCTACGACCGAAATTTCAAGACTAAAAAGGTAAGGTTTGGATACTTGTAGATGAATAACTCTAAATTAACAAGAACTATGATAAAGAGTACTCCTGATGAAGTTGACTTGTTAATTCTGTCAAAGTGTGCTGGTTTTGATTTAAAATCGTCAATCAATTATCTCCGAAAACAGGTGGAAAAGTTCGGATAGAGTACTGTATATAACTTAGGGGAGTGCAGTACAAATGTACTATGAAGTGGTACGCCGCTGGCGCTGGGTTTTTAACAATGGTTCTGGTACTAGCGCCAGTTTTAATTTGGTCTCTATATTCTCTCTATTTAATAAAAAAAATATGAAATTAATATGATTGTCGTGTTTAATTTTCTTGTTCAAGTTGTTGGCTTCCAAGTTCCATTTTTAAGCCTAGCTACCTTTTTAAATAATATTACATGTATTAATATAACAATTAATTGAAATGTAAAAATTTCCAGATAATATATTAAATTGAAGTTTGATATTTGGGCGTCAATTATTTCTTGATGAAATTTATTTTGCGATTTATTTGTGTATTTTTCTTTGAGAAATATACATTTTTTTTAAACTGATAAAAAAATGTGTTTTGTCTTTAATTATATTGTACTCCCTAAATTTCATTCATAAATAAAGATAAACAACTTTTTAAGTAAAACGTTTATTTGTTGTAGAAACTATTATTTAAAAACTAAAAATAGAAGTTTTTTGTTTCAATTTAATATCCAGCAAGCAGATTAAAGAGGGGTACTCTATGAACAAAATGGCGACCATCAGAAAGAAGTTGGTGATTGTAGGGGACGGGGCCTGCGGAAAGACGTGTCTTCTCATCGTCTTCAGTAAGGACCACTTTCCGGAAGTCTACGTGCCCACCGTTTTCGAGAACTACGTGGCGGACATAGAGGTGGACGGCAAATGTGTAAGTTAACTCTGAAGTCTTGACCCGTTATTTTAGGATTCGCTTGGTGAACTTAGAAAGCAACAGAGGACAATGTGGTTGGGATCAAGTCCATCACTAGTCTTGTCACAAGTCTTTTCACTTGCCCAGTTATAAGAAACAGGGATGAACAAGTGAGGAATGTTTTTGTCGCAGTTTATTAGAACAGCTTGTGACTTGAGTTGAGACTAGATGTCTTTTTGTGATGAACTTGTGATGGACTTGTGATGGACTCGCCTTCAACATTGGAAGGCAGCATGGAAACAAAACAAAAGCAAAAACAATGCCCCCATCTCCCCCAACTCCCCCCCCCCCCCTAAAAAATTAAAAATATTGGAAGATTCCAACCCTGGAAGAATTCATACTACCAGACTTTGGAATGGTCCATTCTATAAAACAGTTGGCCAAAAAAAAATATGCCAGTCAAGTCTTGTACAAAATATTCTGGAAAGATGCTACTTTAAAAGTTAAAATTGTAACCTCAAACTTGATTGGAGACATACTCGAGATCTCATTTTTACCTTTTAAATATAGAAATTGTTTTGGCTAAAGAGTGAGTTCACTTTGCTAGAATTGTTTAAAGGATGTTTTTGACACTCTATTTCTCAATCTTAAGTAAACCTGTACAGTTAGCAACAGCACTCAAACAGGTGTGAAGTTCTTTAATTGCCCAAGCCACTCAATAATCTCAGTGTTTGGTCATTAATGAAACATTTCCTGTAGAGTAATGGTCAATTAGTTCATTCTAATTAATTACATGATGACCACACCCACCTCAAGCTAGGAGGTTGTCTCTTCAGCTTAAGACTGAAGCAGATGACGAGATTATTGAGACAGTGACACAAAGTCATCACAGATTGATGAAAAAAAAGGAAGTGTTTAATTTCAACAGAAGTTTCCAACAAAAAAAAGTAAAGTGAAAAAATTGTCTTTAATAAAACCACATAATTACTATACAAATGTTAAATTATCTGTTCTCGCGGATAGACTGGTTCTGGCCACTGTATATCTATATTGTAGTGACCGAAACCAGTCTAATCTCAGGGTTGACCAGTATTGTGTGCACAATTAAAGGGAAAATACAACATTTGCAAACATCCAAAAATAAAACTACCAAACCATTTTGAAATACCTTGCTGGACTGTTAGTGAATGACAGTGTAAAGCATCCTGTAAAATCATGGCACCTGTTATACTGTCATTTCAAGAAAAGTGGTATTTTTGTATCAATTTCCAACGCTGACCGGCCGATCAGCGTTGGAAAAAATTGGCTTTTTTTCAAATACTGGCCCCAGTTGACCATACATGTAGCACTTGTTTGCAATCGATTACACACCTACATGTATGAACGGGTACAAGCCAGCTAGACTGGTTCCCTGACCTTACAATTTCCAAATATATGTAAACTGCTCTGTTTCTTCTTAAATGGATTCAGGGAACCAGACTACAGGAAAATGATTGTTTTCTTGGTTTTTATAGCATCTTCGAACCCAAAACCTCAAAAAAGTCAGTGTAACTATATTTGCTATATATTTCCAACCCCCCAATTCCATCCATTTCTGAAAATTACAGCAAAAGCAAATGATGTATATTCCCTTTAAGCAAACCAAATATAATAGCCTTGTTTCAGAGTGGTACAGTCTAGAAAAGATAAACGTAGTTTTCTTCATTAATTTTGAAATATAAATTGAAAATTTGTCTGAAAACAAAATTAATTTGTTGAACAGCACAGGGAAGGAACTTTTAAGACTCATTTTGTTAGATCCAGTCACACATTTCCAATGGGAATCTACGGTCCAGTGGAGTCTAATGATGGGAGGGAACCCTTTCAGTACTATGAGTCATTGGTGCTCATCCCTTGTATTGTGTTGGGGGTTTTGTTGTGCTCATCAGGAGGCATTTGTGTTGATCCACACTAAAAGCCAACACATCACTGGTCACTAAGGGTGACTCCCTGCATGCCCTGACCCCATACATAGTCACCCTTGCGCTGTTCTGAATGAATTAGTTGATAGCAATCCCACAGAAAAACCTTGGAAGGGAAAGTTGAAAAGGGCAAAATGGCCAAAATACCTGTACGGCAAGGATTGTAGAGGATTTGTACTAGGACTGAATTTGGTTTTGTCATGAGAAACCTGAGAATATTGCTATATAAATCGCTGTTGACTAAGATGTAGTCAAGGAATTTATCCATAACTTTCAGTGCTGGAAAATGCTTGACTTACAAGTCATTATAACTCAAATATTATAAATGTATACATCATTTGCAATGGAATGGGGATTAAACTTTAGTTTGTCTATACAGCTGTTCAATGCCGCCAGAACACCGTTAGGAAAGTTTCTTTCTTCGGGATTCTTTTGTCTGATATTTGCATCACGATGTGAATGGACCCACCAATATTAAAATGGCACTAAATTACCAGTTTTAATACATTTTGTCCCTAAATAAAGAAATGCCAGACATTTTTCTCATTCTCAACAGTGGAATTTACTTGCTGCTGGAAATGTAGTGGTTAAAGTACAAAGATATACACGTTAGGAAAGTTTCTTTCTTCGGGATTCTTTTGTCTGATATTTGCATCACGAATTGAATGGACCCACCAATATTAAAATGACACTAAATTACCAGATTTAATACATTTTGTCCCCAGATAAAGAAATGCCAGACATTTTGTCATTCTCAACAGTGGAATATATTTGCTGCTTGAAATGTAGGGGTTAAAGTACAAAGACATACAGACTTTTATTAAAAAAAATACAAACAAAGTGTTGGCCTATGTTTACATAATTTACATAAATTGTCTCTTACGTAGGCCTACGTCTTTTGATTGCATTTGGATAAGAGTTTTATGGGTCATAAAGACAAGTTTCGAGTACTGCAAAGTTGCATCTAGGACAAATAATATGATACTTATTTGACATAAAATAATTCACGAGTTTCTGTGCTCTTGTGTTTTGGCAGGTTGAGCTAGCATTATGGGATACCGCAGGCCAGGAAGACTACGATCGACTCCGACCCCTGTCATATCCCGACACAGATGTCATTCTAATGTGTTTCTCCATCGATAACCCCGACAGTTTAGAAAACATCTCAGAGAAATGGACACCAGAGGTAAGATTGATAAAAACAAATAATAACAAAAACTTGTGAATGAAAATTAAAGTTACTGGGTATTTTTTAATTTCAATAGTTTTTTAAGCTTGGCTATTTTTCTAGCAATATGAGACTTGTAAAAAAAAAAGCAAAATATGGTCATGTTTAGTTATACATTAAGAATTGCTTTACAAATTGCAAATTATTTGTAGCGGACAATAATTAATGCAGATGTTTGGTCTGAGGTACCATGTTAAGTAACTCAAAATAAAAGCCCGCTTTTCGACAGAGGGTTGATGATGCCCAACAAAGCAAAAGTACTTTTTTGTCAAAATAAGTTGTTAGGAGAAAAGAACTTGAATTTGTTGAAGTGCATGAGAAGGGCAACTTTTAAGAAAGAGCTGCATTTGAACTCAAAATAAGGAACATGTGCAAAATCTGCAGTCGCACTGGGAACTTAAATAACTAAGATAACCAAGACCTAGGATATGGTGCTGAGTAGGATAAATCTAAACTGCTTTGTGGATGGTAGGTCATATACGTACATGTAGACCATAAATTATTTTCAAAAGAAAAGAAAATAATACACAAGGGAAGTGTAATGCTCCAGTCGGTAATCCTGGACAGGGCGTAACGGATGTTTGAGGGGCTTAAGCCGTGATGGCTTGATTGAATCAAATATGACCCTGGGTGCGACACCCTAGTCAGGGTCAATGGCCCATATTCTCTTGACGCACGCTAAAAACAAGCCCCCAAAAAACCCACTAAAAATCAGACACACCCGAGTTACACCCATGCTGCAAGGGTTTCACTTTGCTTGTCTTTGATAGAATGATGAGAGAAAAGTAAGGTTTGTAATTAGTTGCTCAGCAAAACAAAACAAAACAAAAGAAACCAAACAAACAAAAAGTAAAAAAGGTCGGTTGAATTTTAATATCTCAAGACTATAATCAAATCAGGACATTGAAAAACATATGACAGATAATTTTTTTCAGCCCAACTAAATTTAGAAGGATGCAATATTCAAAAACAGAAGTCAGTGTAAATAAGAAGAGGGTAAATAAAAAGAAATAGTTAATTTTCAGTCATCGGTTTGAAATTCCTGCAAAAACCTTTTTGAATTGATTGTAAAAATACCTTGTAAAAAATAAAGAAATGAGTACATGCAACACACCTCATCATACCTACAATTTCCAACTTTCAGCCAGCCATTAAAATATTAAGACAAACTTTGTGAAGGTATAGGACATCTGAAAGTTTGTAAAAAAAGAAGGTTTTTTTTCTGGTCAGACCGGTAGCTGTCACATCATTGATTGAGATCACAGTCATTACTCAAGAGGATAATTGCGGAAATTGGTGTCTGATGCTAAAAGATGTCAAAAGAAAAAAAAGGGGGGAAAAAGGGCTCTAAATGAAACAAAAGTCCCAATAACGTGAGTCACGGTCCTCGACGGTCTGAGCTTGTAGTGGGTGGGGTCCTGGTGTTGTATTTCATGGCCCCCAAGACAATACTAGAGTGGATTAAGACGTCGCATAGAGACAGCGTGACCCCTTTCTTTTAAAAGGCCACATTCAATGACTATTTTGTTTCTCGTGCTCCAAAATGCTGCATGCCACATTGGCAAAGAATATTCTGCTAGTTGTTATTTACCTTTTTATAATACGATGTTGTGCTTATGATTATAGTAAAGGTCTCAAAGCGCTTCACAATTATTACCCCCGTTCATCAGGCCATGAGACCATTCTTTGCGGCAGCAGCTTGATATCAGTGCAATCTAGTCTCTACCTTCACAGGTACCCATTTGTACTTCTGGGTGGAGAACCCACGTACAATGGCACCTAATAATCAGGCCACTTAAACCATTGGACGACGGCGCTTTTGTTCTTTCAGGTGTACATCTATTGACGTAGTGACTCGTTTTTCTATGTAATGGGATATCTGCTCCATTTAAAGTTTCTTTTAATTGGTCCTCCCAATTAAGCAGGCTAAAATTGGTTTGAAAACTGAGAACAACCAATGATAACCCAACAAATTGAAAACTTTCTCTTCTAGTGCTCAGCGATTTAATAAACAAATTGAATATTTTTCCTCAAACAAGTGTTCAATTTGCATGTCTTTGCATATGACACAAAACTAAGTTTCTAACTGGGCAACTACAATCCTCTGAAAAAAAAACCCTTTTATTCTAAAGTGAAAACAATGGCTGAAAATGATTAGAAATTGGTAATTTGAGCAATTATTTCGTTACGAAACGTGGGCGAACTATTTCATTAAATGTCAAAAGCACAACTCTGTAACACTAAAAAAATTTAGGAGATTCAAAGAAAGAGAATCTGAACATAAAGGAAAAATGTGCCAAATTGTCTTTTTTTTTTTTTAAAACAAACTTTCATAGAGCAATCTGATGTTAAATCAGTTATGAAAACAGAAAACTCTCTAATCCTGAGAAACATAATTCTCTTTTCAACAGGCCCTTGCTTCCCAAGAAATCTCAAAATTTATTGCCTGATGTGTAAAACGTTAAGCCTTGGTCCCCCTCCCCTCCCTCCATATAGCTATAGGTGTTCTCTTGGGAAGGGCGGGGCATTGCTTTGCTGGGGGGTCTGGGTGGGGTAGGCCGTGTGCGATTAGGCGTAACTGGTTAAGCCCTATAGTCTGGGGTAGGCTGATTGTAGCAAACTGCACCTGACAACTAGGGGATTATGGGGAGTGTTGTAAAAACGAGGGCTGTGTATCGGAGCCGGGTACTCGGTACCCGACCACTGGGAACCGGTTCCAGATTATGGAATCCTGTACCTGTTGCCGACTTTACGTATTACTTAGTAACTTCTCAGACAATGAAAAAGAAGTTTTTGAATGGTTGACATTCAAGGTTTTGAATGTCATTTTATGGAGAATTTTCAAAATGAAAACCTATAGGCTACATGTACATGGAAAAACACAACGGACTCATGTTTATATTGACGCTTGCAAAAACGCAGTTTGTACCATGAAGCTACATGTGTTTATTGAGCTCAGTGTAGGCCTACACACTTGTACCTTGCTCTGTATATTGACACACCGATGTGATACAATTATCATGCGGACCCGTGTTTTTTTCAATCCATTACCCGATTCCCATACTGCCTGTACATGCAAACCCCTGGTAAAAAGGTACTTCCGGTACATGGAACTCCTTTCCCTATATATGCCTTTCAAAGTTTTGCCGTTAATTTAAAGGTTGTACATGTACATGTGTATTATATAACCTTTTCCAGGCAAAACTTTGAAGGGCGGAACACATGTCCAATGTAGTTCTCATTAGAAAATAACATGTGGCTGAAAAAGAGCCCAAAATTGGTGGGAGGGGCAGCCCACAATGTAGGTGATTTATTTCTATTCATGGAGGTGTTGGCAGTTGTACAAATAATATTTATGTTTTGCGGTCGGTCCTGTAGTGGGCGAAACCACAAAATGCCATGGACTGATTTACCGTAACATATCATTGTGCCTTTTTTGAAAAGGGTATTGCATTGTGTGGGTGTTTGAAAAGCAGATGATTTGTAATATGCACATACATGTATAGTGTCAAGAATGAGTTGTATGGTTCACATAAAAGAAGAATTACATTTTCATTAGTGAACAAAAGTAAACAAAGGTTTTTTTTAAAGTGAAACCAATTTGTTACTTTAGTAGTGCTAAGCAAGATCATGTCAGCATGCCTAATTGACAGTTGTACTGACTCAGCAACTCTCTCATTTTTTTGTTGAAAAGAAATTAATTCTTTGAAGGAAAAAACCCCAGGTTTTTATTCAAATTCAGGATATACCGAATATTTGGCCATCAACGGAATATTTGAATAGCTTTTTACCAGTTTGAATATTCAAAAGAAGGAATAAAAACACGCACGTACACATCTAGGATGTTATTTTAAACATAGAGTTGCGGCGTTTATTATGTCAGAAGTAACTTGTTCGTCGATTGCACTTCATTTTTCTCATCCTTTAAACGGGTAATTAAAACCCTGGACAGTTATAAGAAACTGCAAAACACTCCAGGGGCCCATAGCATTATACCGACGAGCCTAGTTGCAGCTGGCATGCGTAAACTTGCGAGTTTCAAATATTTGAATATTCGGTCAACGCAGTTTCAAATAATCGAAAATGGACAGCCTGAATTAGAAAATAATTTCAAAAAAATGCCTCATATTTCTGAAGCTGAAGCATAAAATTAACAATCGTGATATCTCAAAGCAGAATTAAAAACTTGTTATTCAAATATAAACCCATTATTTTTTGTCCAATTTGTCAAAAATGCATCCCATGCGACTATCATAAGTTATCAACCCATAAGCTTGAAATGGAAAAACAACAAGATTCGAAGTCCATTTTTACATGTTAAACACAGACCAAAGTTTGAATACAACTGCATACTGCGATTAAAAGGCAGAACCGCCCATTGGTATGGAGAAGTGAGCTGGAAAAATCACAGGAATGTTGCCGAACAAAAGACAAGAAACATGTGCGGAATGCTCAGGAATGCGTGCTTATTGTTCCTCCCTTTCACAGTCATGGACACTGAACAATGGCAAAGTTGTGGGAGTTTTGGCATGTTGACAAAAGTTGGAACTAAAAAAGGCAACTTATAGACTGTATTTACTGCATAATAGTTCTTCCTGTTTTGATACTTTTCTTGCCGAATGGCTTATGAGTACTTAGCACGTGCATTTATTGATGCGGGGAAATTGTTACAGACGTCCATTTGTCAAAGTATCACCTGTTGGAATGCGGGGTAAACAAACAGAATCAAAACAAAAATATTTTGGGGGCGGCTGTTAAAATTATGACTAATAGAAAGTGGTACCATATTGGTTTGTTGTGACGTCTGTAATACTTGATTCATTGGTCACGCCTTTTGTCCAAAGTACAATTTGGGTTTGTTACAATTTTTTTTTTAAAGCAAAACAAGGAAGTAAATTCAGCTTAATTTGAATGTTTCTCCAAGTACATATGTACATTTAACTGTTTCAAAAATTTTGAAATAGGAGAGTCCAGCTTTAAGACTTAATATTATCAATAATATATATTCTTGCAAGCATTACAGGGTGGTGCAAAAAGAAGAAAACCCACTTTTGACAGCAATTTAACATAAGTGACAACATAAGTGATGATTGCAAATGCACATTTTGTCTCTGAGATATGGCAGTTTAAAAATTTCATGTGCCAATTAAACCTGTTTGTCCACGGACGGCTTTATTTCATCCGGCCCAACAGGCCCCCTCCCCCCTTGGTGACGGGCCTGCACTAGACTTACGCGTGAACAACAGTGATTTTGGAGACTTGTATTCATAAGAATAATAACACTATTCTTGCAATTTTTGTAACAATTTGTTCACCCCCTATGGCTGAAGAGCTATATACTTCCCTATGTTATAAAACAAAACAGTTCAAATACGTTAAGTAAGTAGGTTAAAATTCCTGTCAAAAGTGGGTTTCCTTCTTTTTGCACCATTGTAGTAAATAATGAAAACAACGTTTTTGAAAAATCAACTAGAGTGCAGAAAGTAAGGGTTTTTTTTGGTTTGAAAATGTTTCTTCTTTGTTCTTCACAATAGTATAACAAGTGCCAAGTTGTAGGTAGGCATGAATTTCTGAAGGAGTGCACTTAATGGGTTTCAAATAAATACAATTTTAATTTTGCCTTCCCACAAATTCTGAGCTTGGGGGGGGGGGGGGGGGAGGGAAGGTGGAGGGGAAGGCACAAAGGGTGTCGGGGGGGGGGGGGGGGGAGAGGGGGAGCCCGTGACAAGGGGTGGGAGTGCCCATTCTTTGTTATACCACTGATGCTTAAGCATAGAAACATCCACAAATATTTTTTTTTCTAGCAGACACAGATGTACCATCTTCAAATTTGTTTCTTAATTTCTCTTTTCCTTGATCCTTTTCTTCCCAGGTCCGGCATTTCTGCCCCAACGTTCCCGTCATCCTAGTGGGCAACAAGAAGGACCTGCGCAACGACGAGGCCACGCGGCACGAGCTGGCCCGCAACAAGCAGGAGCCCGTCAAGACGGAGGAAGGCCGGCAGATGAAGGACAAGATCAACGCCTGCGCGTACCTGGAGTGCTCCGCTAAGACCATGGACGGCGTGCGGGAGGTCTTCGACACAGCAACACGAGCCGCGCTCATGACCAAGAAGCAAAGGCGACGAAGGTGTAGGATCTTTTGAAAGTCGTCGCGCGCCTGAGGTATTCCCTTCCATGGACTCTGTATGTATGAAACATCACGGTGAAATTTGATCATGTGTGCTTCCAGGAATTACATGCGCTTGTACAAGTGTGGGTTCCTTACGTGTCCTTCCTGTATGTTCATGAGAATCGGAACAGCGCCACCTGTTGTTCCTCAATGGAGTCCATTAGCTAGTCTAGTTCCCTGACCTCATTGTCCTTTGGGCTTCAAAAATGGGGACAGGTAACTATCAGTTAACTATATGCATGACGTGCGTAGGTGTGAAAGCCTTGTGAATTCTAACAACAGTAATGTTAAAAAAAAAGCAATAGGCCTGGCCACGAATGTGCAGTTTCGGAGGTAATGAGCTTCGATTTTTGCTGCATTTGAAATTATCCTCTACTAGCCATATTTAATAGAAAGTTAGGCAAAATCTTAATTTTTGAAACTTGCGAAGAAAAATGAAAGCAACTTAATTTATAATAAATTCCAGTCTGCTTCAGTGAATAATATAAAAATTTGTAATTAAACATTCCCTACTGTTTTAAGCCTGTAAAATAAGGCGGCATTATGCCTGCATAAATAGTCTGGCGCCATCCCATTCAACAGTTAACTTTTAATGAAATACATTCAGGGAACTCGACAAAAATGGCCAACTCGTGAATAAAGGCCCATTCACCAAGAACCCATTTTCGGTTGTGTTCCCTGAATCTATTTTATACATTGTAAACTGTTGAATGGGAAGGTGCCAGACTATTCTATGATTGAAGACTTTTCCAAGCCTCACTTTAAGTTGTTTTATTTTATGTGGCTTAAAACATAAGAATATGTTTAATCACAACTTTGAAATTATTCATCAGAGCAGACTGGTATTAATTTGTAAAGAACTTTGATTTGATTGCTTTCATTTCTACTCTCAAGTTCCAAAAATGAAGAATTTACCTCGCTTTTAATTTAATATGGCCGATTCGTGAATAAAGTCTATTTAGGGGTCTTGTTATGCCATCTATATTGTACGTCAAGTCAAGGGCTAATGTCCCCTAGTAAAGAAAGTTACGCAATTTCTTTTAAAATAATTAAAGGAAGCATTGTTGTATTTTTGTAAACAAATATTACAATTTTTGTATTGTCCAAATACAAAAAAAAGATTGTGTTGTTTGTGTATAATCTGCATTGTCAATAAATTGTGTGTTGAAAACTAGGTAAAAAAAAAGTGCAAATGGAACATGATGTAATTAAAATGTATACATTTTAAACAGATAATAAAGTTACCGGTACAGTAATTAATATCTTCACTTTCAATGTATTTTAATCACTGTCAGTATTCTTAAATATATTTTAATATTCATTATCAGCTTTCAATTTTATTTTCACCAATTTATGTCATGAAATAATTAAAGGAAGCATTGTTGTATTTTTGTAAACAAATATTACAATTTTTGTATTGTCCAAATACAAAAAAAAAAGATTGTGTTGTTTGTGTATAATCTGTATCGTCAATAAATTGTGTGTTGAAAACTAAGTAAAATAAGAAGTGCAAATGGAACATGAGGTTATTAAGATGCCTTTTAAACAGATCATACAATTACCGGGTACAGTTATTAATATCTTCACTTTTCAATGTATTTTAATAACTGTCAGTATTCTTAAATATATTTTAATATTCATTAACAACTTTTAAGTTTATATTTTCACCAATTTATGTCATTCTATGCAAAGTAACACTTTTATGATGCGGCGTTGAAATTTGTATATACATGTACATGTAGTATTGGACTTGTATGGCAAAGGTTGTATATAACCGAGATTTTATATTAATGCGAGGCTTTGACGAGAAATGTATTCGTGAAGCATACATTTGATTTGTATATCATTATGTTTGTCCATTTTTTGTGTCTTTGGCGGATAGGGCTGTCCCAAGTATACTGAATATTCAAATATTTGATCGTCATTGTTGGAATTTTTTTTTGGCTGGTTCCATATTCGGGTAAAAAAAACCCCAGCGGCCTATAATATCAACGCAGCACACAATTAAGTTTACCTGGCGTGCTTTGTGTACGACTGTTAGCCAGCGCGGTACGCTGTTGCAACTGGCAATTGTAAAACTTGATCAGCGAACTTTGAATATTCCAGTATTCGGTCCATGCAGTTTTGAGTAATCAAATACTAATTTATTCGGAAGTGGACAGCCCTACTTGAGGACAATTCTAAAACTGAAATAAATTTTGTTATTTTGTTATTCTGACTGAAAAAAAAAATATGCAAAATTGTGTAACATACAGGAGTATGAACTGGAGTAATTCAATTCAAAAATAAAACTGACTTTTAGTTAAAGGGAATGTACAACATTTGCTTTTGCTGCAATTTTCAGAAATAAATGGATTTGGAGGATTAGTATGTTATATAAAATATTGTTAAACTGACTTGTTTCATGTTTTGGGCTTGTAGATGCTGGAAAAACCAAGAAAACCTATCATGTTCTTGTAGTTTGGTTCCCTGACCCAACTTAAGATGAAACGAAGCAATTAATACACTTTGGGGAACTGTAAGGTCAGAGAATCAGTCTAGCAGGCTTGTACCCCTTCACAGGTGTGTGATCAATCGCAAAGAAAAGTCAGAATAACTATTATATGAAAAGTTGAGAACAGTTTTTGAAAAAAGCCAGTTTTCTCCAACGCTGGAAAAATTACAGTTTTTCTTGAAAATGTCAGGCCACCAGGAGCCAGGAGCCAGGATTTTAAAGGATGCTTTAGACTGTCAGTCCCTAACAATTCAGTAAGGTATTTCATGATAATTTGATCATTTCGTTTTTTGATGTTTGCAAATGTTGTATTTTCCCTTTAAGGAAGGTATAAAAGGAATTAGAAAAAATAATGTTGAAATCGAAGAGAATGGTTACAATGAAGTCTTAAAACTTACATAGGTTTGTTTGTAAAAAATTATGTAAAAAGAACTCATATTGGTGCAATTTGATTATACATTTTGTATGTGGACAGATTTTTTTTAAAAGCAATGTGAAGGTTTCGCATGAACGAAGAAATAAAGACAGGAAAATTATCTCTCTTTTTTTGTATGAGTAAATAATTTATTCGTAAATGTATTATGTTTTATTTTACATTTCTATTCTGTACACTATCTCGTACGTCCCACAATAACACGTTACCCGAACATCTGTGTTTGTATAATCAGCTACATCCCAAAAAAACCAAATTCACCAGTTTTTTTCCGTGTTAAATACTCTTGTTTTAAAACTCATGAACACGTATAAATAAATAATTCTTGTTTCCGAGCTACAGGAATATATAGAAATTCAGCTTTAAAGAAACTGAGAATTAAATTCAGTTAATACAGCTTTGCAGAATAAAAGAGTTTATCCAAAAACTGGCAAACGTATCACTTTACAAAAGATTTACAAATCGCATTCTGCAATTGATTTACAAATATTGAAAAAACAACAACAATTATAACTGATTACAACTGTTTTCTAGGATTAAAGATTTAATGCACAAATTAACAATATACAAGTCTATCTTCTATAAGGGTCGGGAAATTAGATAATGAGCATAAGGCCAAAAAAAAAAGTCTCTGGTTTCTGGTATGGAGCTTGCCCAAAAAGTGGTGCGGTGACGCGGCTTTTTTTTTTTTTACCTGACTTTTTTGCTTCAAATGTCGGCTGATGACTGCAAATAGTGCCCGACTTAGTGCAAAATGTACGGGAGTCCAGAGAGTCCACATAAAGCTTATTCTCGATCATACCCCCATCTAAAAACACGTTAAAATTGTGCTGCAGCAGGATTCCAGTCAAACCAGTGAGTTTGGCGGTTTTGAGACATCATCTTTTATTGAAAAAAAAAACCTTTTTCATTTTGCCGACGCGCATGGCTACGGCGACGCGCGCGCATACCAGAGACCGGAGACTTTTTTTTTGGGCCTAAAGTCAGTATTTTTAAGAATCAAGATACTTATATATCTGGATTTTGCAGATAAGAGATTTTCAATGGTATACAACATTTAGGAGTACTGAGTTCACTCATGGAAATACGGACCACCAACTAAACTGAATTTGTGAAAGTAAGTTTTGTTGTTGAGAAAATGGCATTTCAAAGTTCTGCTGTCGTGTTGCACTGAATGAACATTCAAGTAAATAAAACGGCATGCAAATAGGTTTCAACAAAGTTTGTTGGCATAAAAGCAATGGGAGACTTTTGAAACAGTGGAGGCAGCAAACATAGTGGGCCTTCTTCCATTGTTTGTGTCATATTGAACATGCGTGCTTCAATAGCTTAAACACGATATACACACTGGAAAATAATTGAAAATGTATGGACCTGTGTGTTTGCTGCCACCAACGTCTCAAATGTCTCCCATTGGGAACGGTAGCACAGGATTTACAGATTGAGGCTGACCTGAAAACAAACAAATCGACCACCCTTTCATATTTTTGGCTTTAGTCTGAAGTTTTGCAATATGGTAACTTCCGACTTTATGTTCATTTAGTAGTGGCACGCCTCATTTATCACACTTCATGCAGCTTAAAAAAGTGTTAGAGTCCAGGACCCCCCCCTCCCCCCCCAGTCTATTTCCATGGTCGGGGAAGGTAACAAACTATGAGATTTAGCATAAAGGTTCCTTCTGCCAAAAAATAATCTAAAACAATTTGAAATTTCAGGCTGGTTTGAAACAAATCTCCACTTTCACATTTTCCATGTGACCAATCCCTTCTGTTAACAATGGCTGTGTTGCTCTCTTATTTAAAGTTGTCCTGTATATGAATCGGTGGGAAAACTTGGCTTATTTGCAAAGATCTTCTGATAAATCAGCCACACAAATGCAACCCTGGAAACTTCAGAAAAATCAAGGGTGGCAGAAAATAACAGCAGCCGACTCAAAAACATAAAATTGTTCAGTTGTTTATGGCTATTTTGTGAATTTAAGACAGTGGCATTTTTATGCCACATCCAACTTTAAAATTTCAAGTTTTTTTTCCTCTCTTTTGAGGAAATAAATTCATTTTTTTTCTCTCTAAATTGAGGAAATTCAAGTCAGCAACGCTATATAAAATACTGCTGTTCCATTTCCCCGCAATCGACAGAAGGAAATGGCAAACACGTTGTAGACTTATTATCACTTCCTCGTGGGGCTGTCCCGGCATTTCCTAATGCAATATCCTGCTGACAGAGCAGGGTGGGACGGGCCCAGTGGGCTGGGTAATTGCTCCCGTGTATCCACCAAAATCTATTGGTCCGAGCATCTGTTGTGTATTTCTTGCACTGACTCATGGGAAATTTACGAAATCTAGGGTTTTGTCGTCAGTTTTGGCTCCGTCTCTGGCTTGTGATGCACGTCCAACTGAATGGAAAGGCTGTCTCATTATTACTGGATTTGACTTTCCTGAACATGGATCCAAGCTGAGCAAAGGTCAACAGTACGAAGCCAAAACTGGCAATGAAGTCAAGATTTCGAAAAATGCAATATTTGGGCAAGTATGAGCAAAGTGGACACATGGGTGAGCTTGAAGAAAATGAAAAATGCATGGAAAAAATTAGCTTGGGTTTGGGTCGCCAAGAGCCCCAGAACAACGTAGCGTCTATATTTGTATTTGCCTCAAGGCATCCGTTACTATACCCATTTCGTTTGTTCTACATGGTGGTGCAAAAGGAATCAAACTCACATTTGACAGCAATTTTCAACTACTTGTGGAGCATATTTCAAAAATTCAAATCAATGGTATTAAAATATTGATCTATAAACATAAGTGACGAAAAAATGATAGCAAATACACATTTTGTCACTGAGTTATGGTAGTTTAGGAATTTCACGTGCCCAACCTGTTTGTCCATGGACGTCTTTATTCCATCTGCTTGACTGAGCTCCGGAGCTTGATTTGAAGACAAAAAACACTTCACTAGAATTACATGTGAACAACAGTGAATTTGGAGACTTTTTCTCAAATTACCATAAAAACACTATTCTTGCAATTTTTTTAAAGATTTTTTTTCACCACATAAGGTTGAAGGCTATACCTCACTACATTACAGAAGAAAAGTTCAAATAAGTTGGTTAAAATTCCTGTCAAAAAGTGATTTTCCTTCTTTTTGCACCGCCCTGTATATAAAATTTCACATTTAAAAACAACTTTACGGTAAAATCTCAGGGGTCCCAGATTTCGAAAGGGATTCTTAAATAATCCTGAAAGCAGGAAAAATGTTGACAAATCTCACCCCAACTTCAACCAGCTAGTACATGTAAAAAAAAAATTGGCAGAACCAAAAAACCCATGTGAATATATGTATTTATGGCACCCTTGGAGGGTAACCACATGATTAGGTTCATTGTATCAGTAGTGTGGGTACTGGTACCTCGTTTCATGGAAAATAACTCTTTCAGTCCCTGGATTATAATAAAACTCAAAGCATGTGATTATTACAACGTAAACACTTCCACAACTGAAATGTTTACAGGAAATTTTAGGAATTACCCAAGAAAACAGACGGCAATATTTCCTTTGCTGATACACTTGTACATGCTCTATAGCCCTTTGCACACTAGAGCCTCTCAACCCGGGTTGAACTCAACCCTGGGTGAACCCAGTGCCGCCCCGGGTTGAGTTTTTGATTTTTCAACCCCGGGTTAAACTCCGCATTGTTTCACACTTGTTTCATGCAAATCAAGCTTATCATGCTCAGTTACTACTGTTTTCAACCCTGGCAAGAATTTCAACCCGGGTTGAAAATCTCAACCTTAGTCTGGAGCGAAATCAATCTCGGGGTTGACGCAGGGTTGAAATTCTTCAAGTGTGAAACGATGCATGTTTTCAACTCTGCGCCAACCCTGCGTCAACCCCGAGATTTGTCTAGTGCGAAAAGGGCTTATGTTCCGACACCCCTATGTTCTGACAACCTGCACATAAGATTGTGTTACTCCCGGTTAGGGTTAGGGTTAGAGGAATAATAGGAATATTTGCAGTAGGAACGTAGGGATGTCGGGAAATAGGGGTGTCGGAACATGGAGGTGTAACCTTCACCAGTTATGAAACAGAGTCCGGGACACTGCTAAGTAGACAAACTGTGGAGTACCAGCCACGACCAAATAACTTTACATGCCATTTTGGTTGGTAACATTTTAATTTTAATTTTTTTTTTTGGTAAGCAAAATAGTTCCCTGCTTAGCAAATATGTAGGCTTTGCTTTTTAGCGTACCGGTACATTCTTCAACCACATTTTGAAAACCAAGAAAAACAAGGCAACAAGAGCGCCCAAAAGATAAAAGTGAGTTTGTCAACTGTATTTTGGAGGGAAAAATATTGGGTTATTGAAACTGTTTCACTTCTTTATGTTATTTATGCATTTTGTATTTCTAACCCAACACCCTCATTTGAATAAAATCCAAACCTCCTCGAAAACAAAAAACTGTTATCACTTTGGTTTTCAGGTAGACGTGGTAGCCACCAAACTTTTGAACCAACCAAAAAAAACCCCAAGGTTATTTCAATCAAGGTAGTTGCTAGGTTACACCTTTTGCAAATAAACACTTAGTCATGGTATAAACATTGCACAACAAAAGGCAACTATAAAAGTGTGAATTTTTCCCTTCAAAACCACAGAATAGCAAACAGGGAAGTATAGCCATTCAAATATCAATCAAATGAAAATTCCTCAAAAGCAAAAATGTAATTATTGTTCTCTAGTTTTGCAAATTTGCTTTTTAATCAGAGTTGTTTGATATTTTTTTTTCATTCTAAAAATGCACTTTGCCAGTTTTTGGCATAAAAAAACATTCTCCACATATGCATGCAAAAAGGCCCCCTAGCTTCCCAAGAATTTGTTCTTTCAATGTTTCATTTTTCATACTATAAATAGAAAGTCTACCCACTAGAAAACCGTCCCTAACTGTAGCAAAAAAACCCAAAAACCCAAATCCCTTAAAATTGATGTTAATGTTTGAAGATATCGAATATTAAACAACTTTCAAAAGTTGTTGGAACTCCCGAAATGATTTCCAGTAATTTTCCATGCTGACACCAAAACTGGTAATTTAAGGTTTTCCCGGCTATTTTAAAAGAGTTTTTGTTCAAATTCACAGATTATTCGATTTCGTCCATGAAAATTTTCACATGCTTTTAGCAAATTGTTTTTAGTCATTTACCATTCAATTTTAAAGTTTGGTCACCCTCTTTAGTCACCGGGTCGACAATATTCGTCATTTCACATCATATTCATCTAAGCTGTTGTCGATTGGCAGCATTCAGAGATCGAATTCAACTGATATAAATCAATTGCACAAATTTGATTTCTGAATAACAAGGTTTGGCGTAGACGAGACGAAATCGAATAACCCCGGATGAAAACGTGGGCTCATTGTTTGAAGTTGCTTGAACTGAATTTGAAATTGTCTGACAAAAGACGAAATTAAACATTGGAAGTGGACTAAATCGATGTTGATGGCTGAATTTGAATATTAGAAACGGTGAATTCAGATGATAAATATTTAAAAATAGCCGGGGAAAACCTAAACTAAAAAAAAAACAATATTGTTTAATTTTATACATAAGTAGAATTTTTTTCAAATTTTTGGCCTCCGTCAGAAATTCCATGCAGGAAAACAAAGTCCGTTTTTCATCCCTTTTTGGGGGTGGGGCTGCACAGGTAGAGTGGGGGAGGGGGGGTTGGAGGAGCAAGCTGAGTTTATCAAAGGCTGTTCATGGAATTTCTATTTTGTGCTAGTTTTTACAGAGTTGCAATTTTTTTTAAGAGGGGAACCTACTAAAAAGGAAAAAAAACCAAATTGCCAATGTCATTAAAATGTTTACATTTACATGTACTGCCAAATTAACAATCTTAAATAAGCTGGTATTTAAGCATCAACCCTTCTGAATCTAGATATACCGTAAATCTTTCCAAAATATATATGGTACAAATATCTATGCTGTGTTCTGGTTTGTTTAACTCAGGAGGGAAAACAAAATTGAGGATGTTCTCACGTGCCGTTGACGAGCCTGTTGCTAGGGGCAACCAGGAGGTCTTGGTATTGGCTGAGGGCCTCCTTGAGCGCATTGCACACCTGCGAGGAGGTACAAGTGGTACAGTCCACCAGATAGGGATACAGGTCTATCACCTGGCTCCAGGTGGCTTGGTCCACTGCAAAATAGGGGAGACCAGAGATATGAAGATCTGTTAAACAACATTTGAACCGGGGATCGTTTAATTCATAGCTCATCTCGTTAGCCTATAGGCTACTGCGGCAGCTCAATGACTGCCGTTCTTTTAAATGCTTTACATGTAACTCACTGACTTCATAATAACATTGCTGTGAAATCATTGTTCTTTCCTCATGAATCATGAAGTTACTGGTACATAAACAGTCACAGCCAGTCAATCCTCCTTTATGTAGGCTGGGAGCTCTTAACTGTTGAAAACAGTTGCTTGACTGATTTTGACTGCAAGGGCAACTTTGCAAGGAATGTACGTTTGCATAGGAGGGTAAATGGAGCAGAATTGTGTGTGCTCTGGGACCAGCTTTACCAGACTCGCCTACGAATTCTTGTCTTGAATAAGGGAATAAATGTGTGCTTGAGAGGTGTTAAACACTATGTTTAAAACTGGTTGGAGTCTGGACTCCAACCAGTCTTAAACATCCAGCTCGCCAGTAAGACGTAAACAACTCCCTTTATGGAGATTGGCGCGCACGTCGTGCGTACTGCGCGATCACACGCAGATGCAGCTGTGGTGAGTGCGTCGAGAGTTTAGGACTATGAAATATTGACTCACTGGTAGTATTGCGCATGCCTACATGAGGATTGCGAACGTTCAACCAACAAAACAGGAAAAGGCACTGGATTTCATGGGAGTCAAAATTTCACTGGAAAAGTGTTTAAGACCAGCTAGCCATGTCTTTATCAACCGTGTAAGACCGGCCACGTGACGGGCTCTCGACCAATAGGTATTTATGAATGCAAAGTCTGAATGTAACCTATGGAAAATTTTGGATTAAATCAAAGGAAGCCGGAATTGGAGACTTACCGTTGCTGCTCTTAGCTTTCTTTAAGGAATGTATCAGAGTGGTGACGGCTTGCAAGACAAACGACATCTCAGCCATCCGGGATCTGTCAATTGGAGAAATCCCAAAGTCAAAAGTCAACCTCCAGTTTCATGCTTGTGACCTGTTGTCCACAACAAGCTTAACCGTTTCCTTACCAAGGACGACCTTTGTCGACAAGGAAGTACCCCCTGCTGATTACCATACGTGACTTTAGTCGCCCAGAAAACCAGACACAGAACACCCTCCACACAGATTTATTCACTACTTTTCTCTGCCGGCATGTTGGTGTGTTTGGCTGCCCATACATCAAGCATATACCAGCAGAAAGAGTGTTTTCGGATCGTTCTAATGGTGCACTATTACTTTAAATTAAGAGTGCTTCAGAAGTATCCATGCACAATTCTGAGGTATGGAGTGCCAATTGGTCATGTGGTGAAATGGCTTGCAGTTTGATAAACTGGGACCAGATCAACAAACAGGCACAACATTCTTATATTTGCACATATGGACTTGATATTCACATCACATGAAAGAGTTCAAGGAACAAACTTTACACACAACACCTATGATTTTAATCACTCCTTGGCAGTGAAAATCTGGGTTGCAAAAAGTGAGTTTTCAATTGGCGGTCCATTTTTCACGTTCTAGTAATTTCCACATGACTGAGCAAACAATTTGGTCCTGGAGTGAGCCAAGTCAATAAACAATGTAGTAATGAAAGGGTTAACCCAGTCAATGCAGCGCCGGTGTCACGGTCTCACTTCTACGGCGTGCTAGCTTCTCCAAGTTGGAAATTTCGCTTCAACACGCATGCACAAAATTGCTCAGTAGTGTTCACTTTCGCCAACTTTATGTGTGTGTTGAGTTCTTTGGGGTTGTACTGGTTCACGTAAGATTAAGTTAGGATGTTTGTATGTATACGTCACAGGGTACCATCGAATCCAAACCTAGGCATGGTGGGGCGCGCAGTTAACTCCCAACATCCTAATAACCAAAAAGACTTGAAGGATGCACATTTATTTTAAACCGTGGTTGAACGTGGTTGCAAATTGGACATGCATGTGATGGACCACGACCAAGCAAGGAACACAGTTCTTAATTATTCCTCAACACACACGCAATGACAATGGGAACACAACTTCAGAATGCTTGCAATATGACTTGACCCACAGGAAGTGTTACATAACGCATTCTTGGGTGTCCCTCACTGTCTGTATGGACCGGTAGACTTTACAACAACAACAACACAGCCCAAGGAAAAGTTAGCACAGCGGACACATGAGCATGTAGCGTGCTCATGTAACGTGCACTGTAACGTGCTGAATTATCTGCCGAATCCACCCGGAGAAGCTAGCACGCCGGAGAAGTGAGACCGTGACACCCGAAAACAAAGCGTGACATTCATGCTTCAGGCCTATTTAGCACAACATGTACTGACCTTGGCAGTGGGCACTTGCCGCTGAGCCGCTCGTCCTCCACGTACTTCTGCAGCACCTCCTGGCATCGCTGCAGCAGAGCCGACAGAGCCATCTTGGTCAGACCGCCCTCGTCGGTCATCTTGCTCAGGTCGTGGGCGATGAAGGAGAACTGGAGCAGGGTCTCAAAGCAGGACTTGGCAAACTCCTCCCGCAACTGACGGTTGTCAACGTCTTTGTGCACAAAAAAAAAAGGAAGGAAAAAGACGAACATTGCTTCAGCGTTCTCTCTAGGTTTCTTCAGGTTTGCAAGCTACAGTGCCTAGTGGACTAGAATGAAAAAATCCTTGGTTTCATTTCTAGAAAAAATTGGCCAAAATTGGGTTGGGTAACAGTGGCTGGGACTGTTATAGGTTTAAATGGTCGTGTCTTGTTCTGTAGACAAAGAAACATTTGAAGCATTTTTGAACAATGACCTCTAACGACCCATACATGATCTTTGACCTCAGTAATTCGATGAAGAATTATGTCTTCCCGCCCTAGGGTTACTGCAACCAAGTTTCATCAAAATCAATGAAAGCATGTAGAAGTTATAATTTAAAAAAACCCCAACTCAACCTAAACTTTAACATAAATGCGGGGCTACGGACATCAGTCATTTAGGACTGGTTAGTGTCTCCCTAAACTTCATTGAGGAGACACAAACAGCCTTCAAAACTTAATTTTTCTTTTAATATAACCAACATGATTCAGGTCTGTTTTTTAGCAGGCAGGTATTTATTTGCATCTTTTTAATCTTTTTTGCAATTAATATAATGCTTTTTGAAAACGAAAGAGTTTTCATGAAAGACTTGTTTAAGATAAACAAAGAATATTTAAAACTTCTAATTCTGGGCACTTGGGCGACAGAACTAGGCTACTTTTCCTCCTAACTGATCTTAGAACATAATTGAGAGCCAAGTTACCTAGGAAACTTGCGGTGTTTGCAGAGTGAATGGACCCCCTATTGAGCAGGGTCATCACCCTAGCCGTGAATGACTCCGGAGTGTTGGCCGAGTAGGGCAGGACTATCTGACGCACCATCTGGACCACCTGCACGTCGATGGCTTCCACTCGCTGCTGCTCCTCCACGGATAGAGATGTCGGGGCGGGACTGCATGATTGAAAGAGATGTACAGCAAAACTTCACATTTCCGAGAAACACTGAGGTGTTGGAGATGTACACTGTTCTGTCTACACCATTTTTCTAGTTTTCACAACAAAATTGTTTGTGTTTAAAGGTATAGTCCATCATTTGTAATTTTTGCATTTTGTTTGTTTGAAGCAACACACCTACTCAAAATCTGAAGAAGGGTGCTGAACAACTAACCTTATGAACTTTCAGCTCAGCTTCAGCTGTATATTTCGAGAAAAACAGCATTCTAGGATCCCGATTTCAAATCAAAAGTTGCTGAATCATGTTTTGAATTGGGCCTGAATTCAGTGTCCGAGACACGTTCTTACTGAGCCGAATGCAGCTACGCGATGTCGCGCACTGATCCGACGAATTATAGATGGCGCGCGTGCGTGTGCGTCTTGTCAACGCTTGCGCGCACTTCGCTGAATAAAAAAACGAACTACTAATGGAAATTTCCAAAGGTGTGTCTTAAGAAGCACCGTTGGAAAGGCCTTCTTTCGTTGATTTCTTCAAAATGACAGCATGCCAGAAAGAATAATTTCGCAGGGAGTTTAGTCCCCTTACTGCCTTACTATCTTTCAGCTAAGTACGTTTTTCAACAATAATTATGTCAGTCACTTTTTGGATAGCTGCAAATGATGGACTACAGCTTTAATCTCCTTGACCATAACTAGATGATGGATGTATGAGACTTGAAATATACATTTGCAGGTTTATTCACCAAGCTCTTAAAAACTTCTTTCAAGGACATTACAAAACACTGGAATCTCCCAGAGGCTGAACACACATTGCCTAATGAGATGGTACTTCGTTTTTATGGTGGTTGTCCTTGACCTCAATCCTTCAAAATCCTCTTGGTGGTTTTGAAGGATTTTGGAGGATTGATGATGAATGCATTTTTTTTGAGGCAGGACTGTCTGACAATTTTGAAACATTGAGGCGCTGGGTATCCTTCATTTGAACATAAGTGCAGGAAGTTTGGAGGATTTTGGAGGATTGAGGATGATTCCTAGCGAAAAAATTCAGAGGGATTAATTTACAAACATTGTGTTATGTCCTTATAACCTTTTCAATACTAAGTGAAGGCGTTTAAATGACCTGCTTCAACACAAACAGTTTTTTACTATGATTATCCACAAACCAAACGAGGCTGAATCTATTTACTACGGATACGCTTCCACACATTATGCACAAAGAACGTGGCATCCACTTCCGACACCAATATAGGATTTTGAAGGATTCAAGAAGGTTCTAGCTTTAAATTAAGGAGTTAGAGGTCATGAATCTCTTAACTTACTGGTCTGAGAACAGGAACAGCTCCAACGCCGCGGCTAGGTCCGGCCACATCTCGGTGAAGTGCGCCGACGATGCGGGTTGCCTAGCGACAGGCAGCCCCACCGGGAGGATCTCTAGTAAGGAGCTGATGGCTAGCTTCCAGGTGGAGGAGGAAGGACACGCGTTCTTCAGGCCCAGGGGGAGTTGAAGGACCTGGGGAAAGAAAAGAGAAAGCTTTCGTGATCCAGAAATTACAGAACAAATGAAGACGACGATCAGGAGGTTAAAGGAACACACTCATCTGGAGATTGCCAAATTTGAGTGCTTTTCGGTGTTTACTAACCATATATTCAAATGCCTTGGTTGCAAGAAATGCTCATGATGTCTAACTCTTTAAAGGGAATATACAACATTTGCTTTTGCTGTAATTTTTAGAAAAGGATGGATTTGGTGGGTTTGTATTTGATGGCAGATATTGTTTCACTGACTTGTTTGATGCAGGAAAAGCCACGAAAAACAATCATGTTCTTGTAGTCTGGTTCCCTGATCCCACTTCAGATGAAACGGAGCAATTTATAGACGTTGGGAAATTGTAAGGTCAGGGAATAAGTCTAGCTGGCTTGTACCCATTCACAGGTACGTAATCGAACTAAATATGATAAATTGGGAGTAGTATTTGATAAAAGCCAGTTTTTTCCAACACTGGTCGGTCGACCAGTGAACAGATTCACTCAACCAAAAAAGAAAGTCCCCCCTTAATACTATTTTTGTCTAACTCAACAACTACTGGGCACATCTTGCTCAAATAATGACTAATCAGTACCGAAATTCCTTAGCAATCCAGCCATACTCTTTGTTTGGCCAAAAACAGTGATAATGTGTAAAAAATTATGCAATTCATGACAAATGGTGCCGAAAAAAGTTGCAAAAATGTGTTCACATTATCACTGTTTTGGGCCAAATAAAGGGTATATGGCTGGATTGCTAAGGAATGTCTGTACTGACATGACTGAGTAGTCGTTATTTGAGCGAGATGTGCTCAGTAGTTTTTGAGTTAGACACAAAACTATTGGAAGCGGGGACTTTCTTTTTTGGTTGAGTGTATTTTAATGATCTTGCAGGATTCAGGGAGGTTCCTTGCAAAGACGACAAAAGGAGTGAGAGCAATTTCTAAGTAAGCTGACCATGCAATGAACCCACCTTGAGTACGTTCTGCAGCACGTGCATGTGCACCACCTCAGGGTGGCTGGCAGTGGTCTTATACAGCGCTGTGGTCATCTCTAAGGCCTTCTCAGCAAACGGCACGTAGTTCATGGACACCCAGTCAGACTGCAGAACCAAGAAAAAACATTTCAAAATCCATTATTCTGTGTCCACATAGAAGCCTGTTTCACAAAAAATGTGTGTCTGTTTGTTAAATGTAAATTCAACCATTTTTTTTTTGTGGGGGGTGAAACTGAGTTGCGCCCCATGCTCTTAAAAAAATTCAATTTTTCAACCCTATGAAATAAAAAGGTTTTCGTTTTGGGCATGAACAGATCCACCTTGTGAGCAGACTGGCTCCCAGTCCGTTCATTATCGATACTGATTGTGGGGCGGGAACCAGCTCACCCCCGGGGGAATGGAATTATTGTCTGGCCACAAGCAATTCAAAATTTGTAAAGTAATACTTCAATAATAAAACACTGGCTGATATTTTCGGTCGATGATATTTTTCTGCTAGAACAAATTCAGAAAAGGAAATTCGAAAATAGCACACGGAATACAACTGCTAGCAATACAAGTGAATCAGAATAAAGCAAAGATGCGATAAAAGCCACAAATCCTGTTGTGACTTGCAGTGAATCACAGGAAAGCGACTTCTTTTTTTCAAATGGTGTTTATTATTATTATTATACGGCAGTTTAAAGGGAATATACAACATTTGCAAACATCGAAGAACAAAACTACCAAATTTTTACGAAACACCTTACTAGGATGTTGGTAAATGACAGTCTAAAGCATCCTGTAAAATTATGGCATTTGGTGTGAAATCATTTTCAAGAAAAGTGGTAGTTTTGTATAAATTCCCAACGGTGGTCGGCCGACCATTGTTGGAAAAGCCCAACTATTTTTCAACTACTGCTCCAAATTTACACCTTTTTTTCCAGTTCAAATTGTGTTTGCTATTGGTTACATGTTCATTAACGGGTGCAGGCCAGCTAGACTGGTTCCCTTACCCTACAATTTTCCGGCATCTTTAAATTGATCCATTTCATCTTAAGTGGAGTCAGGGAACCAGACTAATTGAACACTTTTGTTTTTCTTGGGTTTTTCCAGCATTTTCGAACACAAAACTTCAAACATGTCAGTGTAACAATATTTGATCTTTTACACTAACCCTTCAAATCGTTCATTTCTGAAAACTACAGCAAAAGCCAATGATGTACATTCCCTCTAAAGATATATTGGGCTAGGCCTGTCCCGAATATCACACTTCTTCATTTTTTCAAAATGATGACAGTCCGTATAAAACGGATCTTGATGTTAAGCTTGAAAAGAAAAGTTAACTTGTAGGAAAAAGAAAAATGGTGAAATCTGACTGATTCGAGGAAACGTTGGGTGCAGGTTTATTTGCCTGAAGGGGGAAAAAGCTCTGGTTTAAAATGCAATTTAGCAAATTGCAAGAAAGACAGGTCAGATACAAGTTCAGAGTAGTAGCATTCAAGATTTGAAAGAAGAAAATGACCAATGTTTGATGAAAAGATATGTTTTGAAAACAAGACACATGACTGCAGGGCAGAATAGAAGCATAACAACTTCAGAAGTACCAAAATTATACCACATCGGGGCCTGTTATTCACAAATTTGAAATATATGAAAACACATCATGATTTTTGTGTGCGACTGCAAACAGACAACCAGAGAATGATGGGAACAACAAGATATATATGGAAAACAAGCGCAATCGGAAATATCTCGGAAGCTGCGGACCAACGAATTCGTATCCATGCACGAGTCACGTGATTGTGCCATGTAATTTCTGGAAGGAGTAGTGTTTTAACCCTAACCCTAGTGACCCATGATGACCTTTGACCCGAGTTTGGTAATGTGACATGTTGGCGCTGGGCTAGTGATGGTAGCAGACCAGTAAATAAACTTCCATAGACCCCAATGGTAAATGCTCCCACTTAAAAAATTCGGGAAAAATACTCACAACTCTCCAAGGTGTTCGAGACACACATCAAATTAAAGTTTATTTCATCATCTTTCATTTTCTTTTCAATTTTCGGGGGTCAACTGATGACTTTTAGGAGTAATTTCCATCTGAAGATGATCACCCCTGAAAATAGTCCTGAAGCCATTTTGAAAAACGATGCCTACACTCCATTGCAAAATAGAGCGCTTTTAGGGTCCAAATTACATCCAAATTACACAGAACTGCAAGCTCCCAGTCCTGTGCACGGCTTCCACCCATATTTTTTACAAACCCTCAAGTTCATGGCCCACAGCATGCTCAAATACTGAAGATTTTGAGGGCATGCAAATCGTGATTTGGCCGGCGTAGGCAATTTCGGACCGATTTACTGGTCTGCACCCTGATACTTTTGACAAAGCTTGGTTGAAATCTATTGAAATATGTCGGAGCAATAGAAAATGTCAATGTTTGTTACTAACTAACAGACTAATTGAGAGACATGATGACTTGTTGAGCTGCTATCCCGCGGATAAAAAGGCCAAGAAATTTAGAATGTGAACTGTAGGCATCAAAAGACATACATGTACATGGACACAAATGTATGTTTTGATGAGAGATGTGAAAATGAGGTTGTGATTTTAATAGGCACTACACATCATAGATTTTCAAAAGGGGGTCCCTGGGTTTCTGAATTCCCAAGTTTTTTTCAGGGGTGGGGGTTGAGGTAGTCTATGTTCTAGACCATGGCGAATGCCGTGGTCTTTTACGTGTGAACAGATTTGCTGATTAATTAGGCAAGACCCCGCCTCTTGACCTCCAAGATTTTGACCAATCAGCGGGCTCTTTCTACATCGAGTCTTCGGTCATTCACCTGTTGCGCGTCACATAGACAATGGATTAAAAAAACCCTGAGTCACTCGCTCTGTATCATGTTACGTGATATGGGGCCAGTAGTTGTTGTATTACAAAGCACTGCATTCGAATTGACCAATCAAACCATTAAGTCCTGATTTGGGAATGAAATGACGTCACGATTTAGTAAAGTGGACTCTGATTGGCTGGCGCGCGACTTGCATAAATTTGAATGTCAGGAGGTTTCAGACGTTATACAGGATTTGGCTCTGTGGATAACAGTTGATATTCAGGCTACATGTACATGTAGGGTTGAGGAGACATTGTATTTAATGCAGAAAACACCAAAATTTCATTTTTAAAGTTATTTTTATGTAAGGGTTACAAAAGATTGAAGTTTAACAGCAGACAACAGAGATCATAAGGTTTATTCAGTTTGAATTTCAGATTTTTGGGGGGCTGGGTTTGGGTAGGGTTTCCATGGTAACATACCTGAGCAGTGCCTCTATAATTTTCCCATTTCTCCTGCAGGTTTACGTAACGACAGATAAAGAGAAAATAAACAAATCCCATAAATTACAATTTATCAAATTTTTTTGTTCAAAAAAAAGAAGAAGCTTTGAAGCATTGAAGCATTTCAGAAAACAGAGAATTACGATCAAAGAAGAAAAAAGAAAAAAACATGCTCAACGCACCACTCTTGGACAAGAAGTATTAGTCTTCGGCATATTAATTCAAGAATTAAGTACTTAAGTAAAATGCCCACAGAATTCCTGAAGTGAATGCATGCTTTGCCCAAAACTTTAAAAACAACGCCAACACCAAAACAACATTAAAAAATTAAGGGAAAAAAAAATAAAAAAAATAAAAAAATCTGAATACATTCTTGAAATATTCACAATGCAAGGCATGTAATGGAAAGTAACTGGTATGCGAATCTTGCGCTGAAAATGCTTGATAGCTGAGCTGTGACCATAGAGCTATGTTAAATTACTAGAGCGCTAACTCCTCATTCTTGCGCGCCGAGACGCTTTGAAGCCGTCCTGGGTGCAGACATTTTGAAATCATGTGCGTGTTTGTAGAACACAATGAAATTAGATGGAGTGAATTTTGAAAGTGTACTCTAAATGCAACGCGGAAGTAGAACATAGGCAAACAACTTAAGCGCGTCATGACGGTTCAAAACACAGCACGGCAAAAAGCATCCTCAGCGGACTCACGCACGCACTGTGCTGTTTGCGATGAGTTTGCGTGGCGCAACATGACACGCTCATTAGCTGATCGTGCATTTCAGCTTCGATAACGCACCTGTATGGAATACAAATGCAGATATGCAAATGTAGATGTGCAAATAGCCGTACAAAAGATGTATACAATTTCGAGTTTCCCATAGGTTTGTGCACAAACACGGATGCGCCCAGCAGGCATCACTTTGTACATGAGTCAGCGCTCTCGTAATTTAATATAGTTCTATGGCAGTGATCAATTTGATATGAGCAGTGAATGTGCATGGGACAAGTGCGTAATTCCTTTTATGATGCATTTTGTTCCAATCATTCAGAAAGATGGAGTCTTGTGGGCTCCAATGAAACTGTGCCAGGCAACAAACTACGGAAGAGCTGATTTCTTTAACCCTAACCGCCCTGAATCCTTCAAAATCCTCTTTGCCAAAGAGGAGGAATTTGGAAGATTGAGGTTACATGGCAAAAGTGCGTTACTGATTTCGTAGGATGCATTTTGTCAAGGTCTTGGGCCGGACCTTGTGTTGTTTATGCTCAGCCATGCATAAATATAAGCCTGGATTATGCTTGAAATCCTCTGCACTGCTCCAGGATATCACTAGCCAAGCCTCAACATATTGACAGCCACTGCCGCAGGATTTTGCAGGATTCAGGCAGTGATCACCCTTCCTCCCTTAACATTCAAGAAATAATGGGGGATTTTGCAGGATTGATGCTACATCCTAGCAAAAGGGCCTAGGGAGTTAGGGTTAAAGCTCCGGTATCTAGAAATTTTATGGAAACTGTACAAACTGTTTTCAAGAAAAGAATGAAAACGGTGGTTTCCATGACAATTGCAATATTGGAAAAAAAACAGCTTTGTGATAAATACCGAACAGCAAAAATGCAGGGAGGATTACTTTTGACACCACAACTAACACGTTGTAAAAAAAACTGGAAAAAATAAAATAAAATAAAGAAATTCATTCACACTTTTTGTTCAATCACGAAACTACAAAAAAGCCACATTTCACCACATTTAAAATAAATTCTGCAACATCCAACCAGAACATTAACAAGCACTGAAACTGAACCAATCAAAAGCAGAAACACATCAAGATGCAAATGTTGTTTGCGAACGTTAGAAAGCAAACGTTGATGGAAGCAAACATGACAATGTGAGCCAAATTATTCCTCTGACAAATGCATAAAGGAGAAATCTTCTAGTTTGAATGAGACATTGATGAAACATGAAAAACTGGAGCCGATTTTTTCAAGGACCATGTAGTCTAGTGGTCAATTTATGACCCATCGTCCATCTGTCTAGTAAGGTGTCATTGATCTAAAGTTAACTACATATGCTGCCAAATGTCACTACGAAATTTTAAAATAGTGCTAGCCCCCTGTTGTATCTTGGCATATATATGAGAGGCTTTGGATAACCAACGATGTGATCAACCTTGGTAGTCCCAAATAGTTCCGTGGAAGTTATTCTTAGCATGGCTAACCTCCTACCATCGTTCATAATCAAACTTGATCAAATTCTAACTGGCAAAATATACAACAGGGCTTATTGAATATTGCGTTTCAAATTTTATACTTCAAATTTTATACTCTGTATATCTGAAAACTCATGTTGAGACAACAATGTCAAGTGGAGTTTTTTCTCACTGTTATAGTACGGGTATATCTGCTCATTTGTGATTGTCATAGCTGTAAATCTTGAGAAAAAAAATGATTAATATTACTCCACCATAAGTCAACAAATTCAAGTATGACATATCGGGCATCCAAACAAATGAGTGACTTTTTTTATCTGCTCATTTGTGATTGTCATAGCTGTAAATCTTGAGAACAAAATGATTAATGTTACTCCACCACAAGTCAACAAATTCAAGCATGACATACCGGACATCCAAACAAATGAGTGACTTTTAAGCAAACACGGCAACACAACCTTGTGCAAAATGTGAAATGCCGACTTTTTGTGTTGAACAGCTTTAAGAAATTGGCGGCTGCTGTTCCAAAGCAAAGCAATGGGCTCCGTGCACAAGTACCCCCCTCGACGCTCGACGGTAATAAAAGGAGAGTTGGGCTCAAGAGACCACTGGGAGAGACAGGCGCATTGCCCATGACGCCTGACACCCACGCCAAGCCACTTTGGCTGTGTGTACATTCAGAGTTAAACTAGTTGTGCGTACTTCGCGCCTTAGGCCCAAAAAAAAAGTCTCCGGTTTCTGGTATGCATGCGCGTCGCCGTAGCCATGCGCGTCGGCAAAATGAAAATTTTTTTTTTCAATGAAAGATGATGTCTCAAAACCACCAAACTCACTGGTTTGACTGGAATCCTGCTGCTGCACAATTTTAACGTGTTTTTAGATGGGGTTATGATCGAGAATAAGCTTTATGTGGCCTCTCTGGACTCCCATATATTTGCACTAAGTTTAGTCGGGCACCATTTTGCAGTCATCCGCCGACATTTGAAGCCAAAAAAAACAGGTAAAAAACAAAAAAGCCGCGTCGCCGCACCACTTTTTGGGCAGGCTCCATACCAGAAACCGGAGACTTTTTTTGTGGCCTAAAACTAGTTGTACGTACTTCGCGACTTACGTGCGCAAACCAGTCTGCGCACGTGGTTGTCCCATCCCACCCATGGGGCTCTCAAAATTGGTCAAAAAGTGCCCCCTCTTGTTTGCGCATGGAGCCCATTGCGGGAACAGCATGTGTTCCTAGTGAAACATTGCATTCAAGTTTTGAGTCCCCCTCCCCAGAATCAGTTGCTGAATTGTGAGGCGTTCTGGCAAAATAAGAATAAACTGGGCAGAGGTTGAAATGAGGGTTTGTGGGTATTAGGAAAGCCCATAGAGCTATATTAAATTACTAGAGCGCTAACTCTTCATTCTTGCGCGCGGAGACGCTTTGAAGCCGCTCTGGGCGCAGACATTTTGAATTCATGTGCGTGTTTGTAGAACACAATCAAAATAAATGGATTGAATTTTAAAAGTGTATTCTAAATGCAACGCGCAAGTAGAAGATACGCAAACAACTTAAGCGCGTCATGACGATTAAAAAAACGTCCCGGTGAAAAGCATCTGCAGTGGAGGAACGCGCACACGTTGCGCTGTTTGCGTAGAGCAAAATGGCATGCTCATTTGCTGATCGTGCATTTCAGTTTTGGGCGTTTCGGCTTCGATGACGCACCGGTATGGAATACAAATGCAGATATGCAAATAGCCGTACAAAAGCCGTACAAAAGTTTGAGCTTTCCATAGGTTTGTGCACAAACATGGATGCGCCCAGCTGGCATTACTTTGTACGTCAAGTTAGCGCTCTAGTAATTTAACATAGCTCTATGGGAAAGCAATACTGTTGGTTGCACTTCAATCGGAGATGGCAGTTTAAAAAGTTTGGATTTATCGACATGTCAAAAAGTGAAATACTGAGAAAAAGCCTTAAAAGTTGTGAGTTTTGTATTTGTAAAAAATGATAGATGCCATTGTTTTTCCATGAAAACACTTTTATTCCATGATTTATTATACTATTTCTTTATTGATCAATCCAGAAATCGAAGAAAATCCCCCACTTCTGCTTGTGCCCGTCTGAGTTTGCCAGAACACCCCACATTTGAGCCTTTTAGCACACTCTTCTTGGAGGCGCTAAGGATGCTTTTCTTTTTAAACTTGGATTACAGATTTTTTTGGTCCCCTGGTGGAGCGGCGAGCAGGAAAAAAATGCTTAAAAGCCAAATAAAAAAAAACATGTTTAGCTTCCCCGCCCGCTTCCTTTTTGGAGGCCGCCTACTTTTTTTTTTCATTTTTTTTAAACTGATTTTTAAATTTTTTTTAACAGTGACATCATTTTGGCTTCTTTGTCGGTTGCATTTAATGAGTCCAATGGCGGCCATTTAAAAAAAAAATGGCAGCAATCTTAAAAATAGCCCGGTTGGGCGGCCATTTTGGAAAGGAAAAAAAGGGCCTCCCGCTTCCTTTTTTCAAAAAGACAGGATGCTAAACATGTTTTTTTTATTTAATAGCCGATTTTAAGCATGACCACAAAAATAGCTGGAAACCACTCACAAGCAGTATACATCACATTAAAATATTGGCTGGTAACCTGCTTTGGTGACGCAAACTTTGTTTGTGCTTAACATACATGCATGCTTAGCAGTGCAATGAAACTTGTGACAGAAAAACACACACAATGACCCCAAAAAACAATAACCTCCCCCCCCCCCCCACAAACAAAAGAACCCCACGAAACAAATGGATACAAATGACACTGGCAGTGTGCAGAAAGATTCATGATCTGAAATGACGTTGCGATTGGCGAAAGAAAAAGAATACACTACCTTCCACTCAAAGATTGCCCGATCAAACTACAGATGACCCGTGAGCGTATAGCAGGGATGCAAACAAAATAAGACTAATGTTACTCAATCTGCCCTTTTGTTTACCACCTTTTGATTCATCAAGAACTGCTTTTGTGCGACCGGTTCTTTCAAATGTTACAACTACAGCAGTGCTATTAATGAGTCATCCTAAAGTGTGTGCGATAAAGAACACACACAAACAATGGACTACAGATGCGCAAATGGCTTCAGATTATTATTTTTATCGGATGTGAGATAAAACTGCATTTAGGCAGGGACAGGAATTGACACTGATACGTCTAACAATCTACCATGTAGCATGTTCATATACTACAGGGCGGGTCAAAAAGAATTTGACCGGGATTGGTGATGTTTTTCAAAACAAACAGATGACACTCAAAACTTCAGTAAAGCATATATTTAACAAGCACTCTCTCCTGCTTATTAGAAAAAAAAGAATGAAACAAATTGATCATTCCTAAGAGGAGTTATGTCTATTTTAATAAAGGTACTCATTTTGCAAGCTGTCCACAGAATACTTGAACAAACAAATGTAAAGTAAGCATTTTAGCTGTGTACATTAACATTCCATGGACAGCTACAAATATGAGTGCTTTCAGTAAAACAGGCATAACTTCTCTTAGGAATGATCAATTTGTTTCATTCTTTTTTTCAGATAAGCAAAAAAGAATGCTTGTTTAATATGTGCTTCACTGGGGTTTTGAGTGTCAGTTGTTGTTCTGTTTTTAAACAACAATCTTGGTCAACTTCATTTTGACTCACGCTGTAGATAACTGACTTCTAAAGAAAAAACAAAAAAAGTTATGACTGGAATTGCCGACTTTATCTCTAAGCTGGGTGAGTGGGGTGGGGTGAATTAATTACAACATTTTAATAAATGTTCTCTATGTTGTAAAACAAATTTGCAAAAAAAAGAAAGAAAAGAAATTCTGCTATGGATAATTCACCCACCAAATGATCACGGATAATCAGCAAAATTCATCCAAAAACAAAACTTATATAAATATTATATCTGATCATATCCTGTGTCCTGACCATGTCTTTCTGTTTAGTTGGAGGATACAAATTTTGTTTGGTTAACAAAATTGATTATGAAAAGCAGAGAAAAATAGGGGGTCGGTTTAGAAATGACAAATGACGGACAATTTGAAATGAAAAAATTGAGAATGACACAACAGAAAACCAGACTGACTCTAGGAATAATGAAATAAAATGTGAAAGTACAAGATTTTAACGGCTTCATCTGCCAAACAATGGCCGATTGCCTGATGGGTCAAAGGCTACATTTTAATGAGAAAGTTTGCAAAACATGAAGGACAAAGGAAGTGAAAAGGATGAAGACAAAGAACAACAAACACAAATAATGACAGAATAAGTGGAAAAACAGAGAAAGAGACGGAAATGTCCAACAAAGGTTTGGAAAAGGTTTTGCAGATAGAGTTGGGAAAGGGGAGTGCAAAAGATAATATACCACTTGTTTTGTCCCTTGTTTTGTCCCTACAACAAAGGCCTTTTTACACTAGACTAGAAAAGAAACAAGTAGAACCGAAATGGAAAATACAGGGTGTCCCCCCCCCCAAAAAAACGAACCCTCAAAGCCCCCTCTTTTTCACAGCTTACAAATAAATACATCACAAATATCGATACATATTTGGAGAGAATAGTTCATTAGCTTTTCAACAACAAAAAATTCTTTCCAATCGGGTAAATATTTATTGAGTTACGCCAAATCAAAAATGGGGCAATTTTTCCTTTTGTCCGTGGTTTTAATTGTTATTTATTAGGATTTGGGATGAGGGTAGTTTTGCTTTCTTTATTTTTCCATCTTTTCTCTTTATTTGTTTTTTTTTTCTTTTCATTTTTTGCAACAATTGTAATTTCTTCTTTTTGAAGAAATGGTAGTGCCGAAAAAGACTGTTTGGTTAACTTTTTGGACATTTGCTGTGCTGCTCTGTCTCTGCCCTCTACTTGGTAGCCTTTTTCACGGATGCAAGTTTCGGCGCGTGTTCTTGTTGCGCAGTCAAAATATCAGTCGCCATGGACAAAATGAAAAAGCGGTACTTGTATTCAATTGACCATAGCTCAAAAGATATTTACCCGATTGAGAAGATTTTTTTGTTGTTGAAAAGCTAATGAAATATACTCTCTAAATATGTATCGATAATTGCGATGTATTTTTTTATAAGCTGTGAAAAGAGGTGTCTTTGAGGTTTTTTTTTTGGGGGGGGGGGGGACCTGTAAGAGTCGTCTTGGTCCTACGACTGGATATGGATTTCGCCCTGGGGATCGGAACCAAAACTTCCGATTCCAGTCTTGGGCCAAGACTATATTATATGAGAGGTCCCTCCCGCATGCAGCAGAATGACCTTTGACCCACCTGTTTGGAGGAGGCCTTGACCACCTTGGTCTCAATCTGGCCAAACGAGGGCGCTTGGCACGCGTAGGTCACAAAGGTCAGCAGCTGGTCAAAGACGGCTGGGTACATGGTCTGCATGGACGCCGACCCTTCACCTATGGCCTAGATATCCCGGAGGACAAAAAATAAACAAATGAGAAACAAAACAAGAACATTGGTTAACCTGACGGACCCTTCTCGCCTGTCAAACAAGCGGTGCGCGTTGACCAATTAGATCCAGAGTTTTGGTCAGGCGACCAAAGTAGATTGGTCAAACTTGGTCACATGCATCAAAGGTAGGTGGGACTTTTGGCAATTTTGAAAGATTCCCAGCAAATGGTACAGATTTTAGGCTCAGGTTTAAAGTATCTGTTAGCAATTTAACTTCATACATCAATGAAATTGACTGGAGCGGGGCTTGAACCTGTGACCTCCGGGAAGCCATTCCCGTTCTCTACCAACTGAGCTATCCAGCCCTATGTTGGCCCTTCCCCGATTTTGTCAATGTCTTTGAAAAAGGGGCATTAGTCAGAATCCATAAACTTGTATGTGTCATGTAGCCAAGGATTACGCCCAAAAGTCACGATGCTAGCAATATTAGCAATGCTGCGAACCTGGGAAAAAGCAAACAGGATCACTCAGAGAGGATACAGCTTTTTATTACAATTTTCTTCAAATGAACCACCACGGAGGGTTTTGACTATGTGCACGTAGTCAAAATCCTTAGTGGTTCACGAATAACCTTGAAAGTTGGGTTCATCTTACCTGTTGGACAACATACAGACAGTGAAGTACGGCCTCCTGTAGCGGCGTCAAATCGGTGTCCGACAACGACGGGATGATGAAGACCGAAACGTCCGCCTGCACCGGCACGGACACGGCGCACTGCAGCACGCTGCACAGCTTCTGCAGATCCGCCGCCACGAACCGCGGCTTGATGTGCGCAAACAGCGGCGGGAAGATCTGGACCAGTGCCGTCAGGAAGGGCTGGGTCGGGAGGGAGTGAGCGGTGCGGGAGACGGGAGGGGTGGTGCTGGAGAGGCCGATGGAGTGCCAGACACGCCAGGCCGTGGCCCACATCGCTGCGTCGTCAAAAACCGGGTCCGTTTCGGTCGACCTGGCCGTTCCGATAACCTCACTGTTTGCGGATTTTGTTTGACCGTTGCTCTCAGAGTTAGCGACGCCGTTGTTCGTTCGGCTAATGTTCTCCTCTCCGGGTATCGGGAGGTCGGTGCTCTCCGTGACCCCGTTGGCGTTCTGGGTCTGCGACTTGACGGGTGTCTTGATTGCTTGGATTTGGAGGATCTCTTGAAAGCTCTTGAGGGCTGCTAGGGAGACCTCGCTGCTCTGGCTCAGGGACGAGGCCTCGATGTGCTCCAGGAGTAAGGCCCACGCTCGGGGAAAGTCACCTACAGTGTAAATAGTAAAAGACTGTCAGAAGTTTGATACCAGTAAAGTTTGACATTTGCCTGAAGATCAACCGATGTTTTTGTTGGTTTTGATTGTTTACAAAACATATGACTGGAAATCTATATAATGTGTTTTGTTTACTGAGAAAATATTTAAAGAAAGATGTTTGTTTACAACTGATGCCACAGCTACTAATTTGCATACAAATCTTTCCACCAGCATGTAAAGCAATAGCATTAACACCAGAAACTTTCAATGTTACACTGGCACTACATACAGCGTGTGTTAATAAAAATGTAGCAGTCAATCCATAAATATTAAAAAAATACTAGCACTGTCTTTTGCAAAACTCATCTGTAGAGTCTGAAGATGTAGTAAATACTCTACACAATGGTCTTTATCCCATCTCATTTGGACACCGCAGTCTAGAGGTGTCCAAGTTGGGCCACTTTTCAGATTATCTGGTATCTATTATGAAAGGCATTCACTGAAGAAAGGCCAGCACTGAACTGGCTGGATTTTTGAGAACCAAAATAATGTACCCGGACATTTTTTTTACGCAATAATTACATGAAAACTGCAAATTGTGAAGGTATAGTATGAAGTTATAAACCACTTTTTAATTAGCATTTTTTTATCAAAACATTGCTTTCCAAACAAAAAAAGCTCCCATAGACCAATCCGGCGAAGAATATCGGAAGCCATTTTGAGGTGGCACCACGTCCGCGCACATGCTGCACGCGTTCTTAAAGCTATAGTCCATCATTTGCAGCCATCCGAAAAGTAACTGGCGTAATTACTGTTGAAAAAAAAACTTGGTTGAAAGATAGTAAGGGAACTAAACTCCCTGTGAAATTATTCTTTCTGGGAAGCTGTCATTTTGAAGTAATCAACGAAAGAAGGCATTTCCAACGGTGATTCTTAAGAAGCACCGTAGGAAAATTTAAATTAGTAGTTCGTTTTGTTATTCAGCGCAGCGCGCACAAGTATTGGAACGACGCACACGCGCGCGCGGTTGTTATAATTCGTCGGATCAGTGCGCAACGCCGCGTATAGCTGCAATTCAAAACTATTCAAAACATGATTCAGTAACTTTTGATTTGAAATTGAGATCTTAGAATGCTGCTTTTCTCGGAATGTACAGCTGAAGCTTAGCTGAAACTTCATCAGGTTAGTTGTTCAGTATCCTTCATTAGATTTTGAACACTTTTGTTGCTTCAAACGAACAAAATGCACTAATTACAAATGATGGACTATAGCTTTAAAGACAAGGTATGCGCACATTTTGTTAACCATATTGGTTGACGGAGCCCGGAGTGTGTGCGTTCTACCTGAGCGTGACTCGCGCGAGCCCACCTCAGAAAATGGCTGTCTCCGAATAAGCCTCTAACTACTGCCCGATCATTCAAAATCCACTGTGGGGAACTTTGGAGTATTTGAGGAAAAAAGTTCAGAGCTTCAAAAGACTGACCCAACGCCAGCAGGGCGTGCCTCCACGTGTTGAAGACCCTGGCCACGCCCGCCAGGCTCAGCACCTTAGTCTCCGCCCACTGCTTCTCGGCCGTGTCCCGGGAGTGGTGGATCAGGATGTTACCGCTGACCACGCCCTCTACCTTCTCCTGGGCAGCGCTGCCCGAGAGTTTCTTGACCTTGTCCAGTAAGGGGAACAAGACCTGTAGAGGCAAAATAGGACAAAGGTTACATATTTTATTTCTGAAATATCGTCGATTTATTCTTCGCTTAACGAAACAAATTTCGCGCTGCTCGAAGCTGCCATTTGTGGTTGTTGACAACAGTGCGCGTACACTCTGCTGTGCGGCGCATCATTGGTATACCGCGCGCTACGCTCTGTTGACTGGTTGACAACTGTGCGTTTCTACACACTTAATTGATCAGGAACCAGCGATATTTGTTAAAATGCCCGGATGAACACAATAGCAAATATTGTCCTCATCTGAGTAACAATAATTCATATTTTGGCAGTTTCAAGTTTTGAATGTTATCAAATGGTTGCATTACCTTTAAAGGGAAGATACAACAGTTGTAAACATCAAAGAACGGAATGATCAAATTATCACGTAATACCTTACTGAATTGTTAGGGAATGACAGTATAAAGCATCCTTTAAAACCGTGGCTCCTGGTGTGCTGTCATTTTCAACGCTGGTCGGCCGACCAGCGTTGGAGAAAACTGGCTTTTTTTCAAAAACTGTTCCTACTTTTTCATATTTAGTTATTCTGACTTTTCTTTGCAATTGATTACACACCTGTAAAGGGGTTCAAGCTTGCTAGACTTATTCTCTGACCTTACAATTCCTCAAAGTGTTTTAATTGCTCCATTTCATCTTAATTGGGGTCAGGGAACCAGACTACAAGAATATGATAGGTTTTCTTGGTTTTTCCAGCATCTACAAACCCAAAACGTGAATTAAGTCAGTTTAACAATATTTTTTATAACATACTAATCCTCGAAATCCATTTATTTCTGAAAATTGCAGCAAAAGCAAATGTTGTACATTCCCTTTAAAGGTATAGTCCATCATTTGCAGCTATCCGAAAAGTAACTGGCGTAATTATTGTTAAAAAACAAACTTGGTTGAAAGATAGTAAGGGAACTAAACTCCCTGTGAAATTATTCCTTCTGGGAAGCTGTCATTTTGAAGTAATCAACGAAAGAAGGCATTTCCAACGGTGATTCTTAAGAAGCACCGTAGGAAAATTTAAATTAGTAGTTCGTTTTGTTATTCAGCGCAGCGCGCACAAGTATTGGAACGACGCACACGCGCGCGCGGTTGTTATAATTCGTCGGATCAGTGCGCTACGTCGCGTATAGCTGCAATTCAAAACAATTCAAAAACATGATTCAGTAACTTTTGATTTGAAATTGAGATCTTAGAATGCTGTTTTTCTCGGAATGTACAGCTGAAGCTGAGCTGAAACTTCATCAGGTTAGTTGTTCAGTATCCGTCATTAGATTTTGAACCCTTTTGTTGCTTCAAACGAACAAAATGCACAAATTACAAATGATGGACTATATCTTTAAAATTAAAAATCTGATAGGAGTGAAAAAAAAAAAATTGACTTTGTTGTCCTCTTGTATTCTTTAGGATGCAGGATTTTGTTTTGACACCACCAACCTGCCACAGCACAATCTGCCATGTAGACAGTTTCAGCAATGCCCCGTGGGCACTGATGGTAGAGAACAGCGTCTGTCCCGCGCTCTTCCGGACCGCTGGCCGTGGGTCCACGCACAGGTCCGCTAGCCGGGAGTACAGCATCAGCCAGACCGCGTCAAAGGGCGGCACGGGCTGCTCGCAACCCTCGGGCTGGGCCTCGATGTCTTGGGACTCCTTCTCCAGTCCCTCGCGGATCTTGTCGCGGTTCTGGTACAGGTAGTCTGAGATGTTCCACTGTTGGGGGAATTGAAAATAATATTCATATATTGACTGGCAATGAAGTCACTAGTGCACATCCAGCCGAAGGAAATAGGTCCATTATAGATCGTCGCAGTTAAGGTACAGGTATTCAACTGCAAGTGAAATGAAAATAATATTCACATATTGACTAGCAAGGAGGTCACTAGTGCACTTCTACGCACCCTAAGGGGCTACGGGTGACCACAAGAGGGCCTTATTTCCCAAAATCAACTGCTGAGGGAAACATGCACCTCACAGAGCTTGGTACAGGTAATCGGAGATGTTGCAAAGTACGGGGAATGGAAATACAGGGCGAGTCTGAAAAAGGAAACCCAAATGGCGCCCCCTATTTTTTTAAAGAAGTTTTGCATGTAGCACTTTTCAGATCTAGGATGTGAAAGCCCAATAAATAAGCTTTCATTATTCCAATATGCCGTTCAGATTTGCATCAACAAAAATAGATCCAATGAGGGTGCTGTTGCCCACCGAGGCTGCCAATGACTATTATTCTGATACTGTTTTCATCATATGACATGGTTTCATATAAATGTGATGCCACTGACAAAATTATAAAACTATGTTTGTGTTCGAGCATGGAAGTTCGTTTCCTGTCCCATTGTTATATCAATTAAGCTCCTGATATGAGTTCTTGTGATCAAAGTCCCAAAAAGGTATCTCTTATTTAATTTATGTTTGTGTTATTTAGTAAATTCCGTAACTGGAAAAGCACATGAGTGATCTGTATGGTTCTTTTACTTGAAGAAAGCTTATTAATTGGGCTTAAACATCCTAGACCTGGAAAGCGCTACACGCATAACATCTTTCAACAATAGGGGGCGAAATTTGGGTTTCCGTCTGTTTGTTTTACTCACCCTGTAGTTTTTTATTTATCCCTAAAAGAATGAGATCATTGGTCATCTGACAGAATGGGGGGTTGGGGGGGGGGGGTAGATTTTCGTCAGTGCAAATGGAAAGTTTAGTTCAATCAGAATTTTTTTATAATCATGAACATTTAACACTGTTGACCGTGAATAAGTGCAAATATAGAGTTTCTTTTCCTATTCACAGTCCATGGAAAACACAAAGATTTGTTTTTTTTTTGGTACTCCCGGGCGAAAAATTTGACATTTTGTATAAACACTATGTTCAATTTGGATAAACATGGGATAAATGTGGATAAACATTAAAATGTCCGCAAGACATCAGACTACTAACTCATTAAGGCTCGACATGAAAAACAAAATGTGGTGAGGATATCAAAAAAAAATTTAGGGGGAGGGGATGGATTCCCCTTTTAGATTAAATCCCTTCTTCTGATGAAAAGTTCATTAAATCTAAGCATACCAGAAGCCCAACAGCAGTCAGGCTGATGTTCAGCTCCTCACGCTGAAGGCCAAACTTGGCGGCCGTGGTGACGCTGATCTGCAGACAGTAGCAAGGCATGATGGGAAGGAAATCTGCCACCACCAGCTGTAGGCTCTGGAACGCTGTCCTGATCAAACTCTCGCTATGATAATGACAGGACAATAAGCATGACACTCATGCAGAAAAAATGACTTAATACATGGCACCTGATTAAACAAACATGACGGGCAGCCATATCAGTTAGGTAAAAACTGTAAGAATATATGTGACCTGTTCTGTCAAAATCAGACTTTTCTGGGCATAAGATCAAAAATGAGATTTTTGCATATTGTTAAAATATGTTCTTTTTCCTTTTAATAAGTGGTTTAATTTTTGAAACCGGTCGTTCCTGGGCAGAGTTATGCTATTTTGAAGTTCATTGTGTCGAAAAGTAGAAAACGGAGAAAATGGTCACGAACGTCACAAAACAGTGATTTCTTTAACTGTTATACCTTAACAAATCATCAAAAACACTATATTTAGAGTTCAAATTTGGGTTTCAAACTTTTATAGTATATTTTAGACATGTTTAGGATTACAAATATGCAAAAATTTGAAAATCGCAAAAAAACCACCCCCACAGCGTTTTTTGGCCCTATCTCAATTGCAACCTGTGCCCAGAAGCGTCTGCTTTTGACAGAACAGGTCACATATGAGAATATTAATTCCACCTCCCCGATGCAAATTAGTGGTTGAGATCAAAACAGTCACATGTTAAGATACCTGCTGCTTCATCTCATTATCATTATTAACTTATTTATTCGGCCAACAAATGATACAAGCACATGGACAAAGCAATTAGATATCATATAAGTATCGTAAAAATGAATTGAGAAAAAGGAACCAAAATAAGTGAAATACAAATCTGACAAGGCAAGACTGAAGGATGCAAGAAGCAATGAGGGGAGTAGGGGACGGGAGGGGAAGAGTTAGGGGGAAAAAAGAAAGAAAGAAAGAAAAAGAGAGAGCAGCTAGAAGGACTTGAAACAAGGACAGTAAAACATTCTAAGCGTGTATACATTCACAGGGACAGGGATATACACGTAGTGCCTGCTATATAGATTTGTGCACAAACGGCGCTGTTTGTTTACATTGTAGTGTATGTATTTAATAGCTACGTACGTGGCTCTATCGGGGTTTGCTCTCAAAAGTCTTCCACAGTGGTATTCTCCTTTATTTAGTCTTTCCAATGGTACTTTACTTGATTCTGACTTAACTTCCCAAGATGACGAAAAATCCCACAAAATGCGACTCTTATTTTCGTTCTGATTGAGACATTTATAAATATCGCAATCAAAGGTAACTTTTCGGAGGTGTTTCTCATCAAGTGTCTTGCCGAAAAGTTCACAGTCCTATCTGATAAAAAATTATTGTCCCTTTTCTGTCGATTTATTGTGATGTTTTTAATATCAAAAACTTATTTGTAATATAAAAAAGTCATTGAAAAGACGTCCTCCGGTGAGCTCTTTTCACGCAAAACGTAACTGGATACAATTCAGTCCCAAGAGGGCGCTTTATACTAGCTAAAGCAAGGACATGCGCACAAACCTAATGTCGCCCTGAAAACAGCCGTGGGGTCTGAGCGTTAAAATCACACAACTGGATTTGACGCATCTTGTTGTTAGCACACTCTAATACAACTACTACTACTACTACTACTATTTTGTTTCTCGGGAATATATCAACAAATACATGTAAACAAATGACTAAAGTTACAACACAAAAAAACAACAGCTTGAGATACATAAACAAACAAACAAAAACAAAATACCATTCAGCTCCCGAAGGATTGCCCAAAAGAAACAGAGACATGACTACGTTTGCCATTTACTGGCTGCATTAAGGAATCAAAACCCAAATTCAGTCACCAAGACTTCTATGGGTTCAATAACCACAATTGTTCTCTCACCCTTGGTCTTCAGTAACAGCCCCGATGACCCCCAGCACCAGGGGCCAGCCATGGACCAGCGTCTCGCCGTTACTGGACAGCAGCTGATGGACGCACTCCAGCTGCTTCTGTCTGATGTCTGCGTGGGGGATGGAGGAGAGTTCTTGTAGGGGGCCCAGCAGCATGGCTTGCAGACGCTGAAAGGGTGGAGTGAGTCAAGCATGGTCAGATTCCATTTCAGAAACCTGGGGCCAATTTCAAGAAATGCTAAGATGTGTCTTAGGAAGGGGAACTCGTCTAAACTCGTGACTCACCCTAGGATCGATTTCAACAACCTTACGATGCATTTAACGAGCGTTATAACTTCCTTAGCACCGTGGCTGAACTTGTCTCAACATGCTCAATGAAATTTTAAAGATGCGTTCCGGTTAATGTTAAAGACAGGTGTTGGCCTAGGGCTATAGTTCGAGATTGGTTTTCAGCGTTTCGTTTCAATGACAGTTTCGTCAAGTCGTATTAAACCAAAATGATACAGCAATTTTGACACATCTTTCTTATAAGTATGATGCATTTGATGAAATAGGTCTGAGGACGCATCTTAGCTAGGATCGATCTTAGAGTAGGGAGTCATCCCAAGTCCTAAGCTGAGTCGTAAGCTTTGTGAAATGCGCCCATGCGTACTTTGATACATGTCTTACTTCTTTGAATACCTAGTGTTTATAGATTTGAATCTCTCGAGAACTATATTTTTTTGTTTAGCAACCCCTTCTGATCGCGGAAACACAAAAACAGATTTTTATGAAACTTGGTAGGCTAGTAGAGACTTGAATGCTTAGTAGATATGCAAGGTTTAGGCTGACTTGCTCACTTGGACAAAGCAGTTTTTGCAATTATGATCGTTAACATTCCAAAATGGTCTATGAATCATTGTGTTTTCCTGTACATGATCAACAGGAAAGAAAAGACTTTTCAGTGCCCTGCACCAAAAAGTTGAATACTGCATCCGCTTTTTAAGATATTGGTGCCAGCACATTCATGAAATATCAATCTACAAACTTTGCAAGGCTCAGCCAAAAAAAAAGAAGAAGAATAAAATAAACCATATTTTGATGATGGTAACCAAAAAAAGAGCAGGGGTGGGAGAGGGTAGTTTCTACTGCCTTTAAGGTATCTAATGGGTTTATTGCCAACTCACCAGATTTTGATGAACCGGCGGGTCGTGCTTGTACGCCAGCGCCGTTTTGACTAATGCTGTGACAGCCTCAGCCCCCCAGCCTCTCATCCGGACATGAGGATGGGCGCAAACCTCCAGTAAGTGGGCCGTGACGGGACGCCACAGGACCTCCATGCGGGGCATGTTGACCAGGCCGGTCTCCAGGAGCTTGGCCACGGCAAAGAGGGACGGTTCCTACCAACGAAAAATTAAGGAGAGTTCCGCAAACAGAGTAATTATTGATTCAATCACATAAATAACATCCATTCAACACTGGAACAAGAGGTTCTATCGTTATTGTGTCTTACTAATCTGCAGTGGTTTCAAACCCACAACAAGGGTCGTGGTATTTGTGTTCTTGGGCAAGACGTTTTACTACAATTGCCTCTCAGTCAAAAGTATAAATGGTATACCTGTGAGGGCAGAAAACAGTAAACAATGAAAGGACTTCTTTCATAGCCAAAAGATTTATATTGTGCTCCTTGCATAAACAGTCCTTTATCACAAAAATTTAGAAAACTTGGGGGGCCAATAAGCCATATGCGAGTTAAATTTGAATAAAATCGGGAACGCTGACTTAATCCAATGCTTTACGTTTTAACTTTGCATTCTACTGACCAAAGAGACTGTTACTATATCACGTGATTCGGGGCAAGCCTAACGCTAGCAACCCCCAGCTCCAGCATGGTCTGGTGTCTATGTGCCATTCTCACCCATTGTGAACAATGTATTGGTGCTGAGCGTCTCTTATGTAACTATGCAAGAACTTGCCCCGAATCATGTGATTAGCAAAAGTGTCTTTAGTCTGGAGAATTCAAGTATTTTTTTTTAAAATTCGGTGAAGGCTTAAATGAGTACACGCAAGCGTTGACACGAGGCACACGCACTCGCGGTTGCTATTATTCGTCAGATCAGTGCATGATATCGCGTTGCTTCAATCGATTGCATGAGAACGTGTCCCAGACGCTGATTTCAGGCTCAATTCAAAACATGACTTGGCAACTTTCAATTGAAATCAAGATCCTGAAATATTGTTTACTTGGAATATATAGCATTCACTGAGCTGAAACTTCATCAGGTTAGTTGTTCAGCACCCTTCTTAAAATTTTGAGCACTTTTGTTGCTTCAAAAATAAAAAAAATGCACAAATGACAAATGATGTACTCTACCTTTAAGTAACTAATTTCTCACCCTGTTTGAGAAGGCCATATCCATGGCCTCCGTGGACAGCTTGCACAGCGCGTCAATGAGATGATGCAAGGCCACGTCATCCAGATACTGAGAGCTCTCAAAGAGGCGCGATAGCATGGCCGACAAGACAGGCAGCTCAGCCATGACTGCCGTGGTGATGACCGTGTTGGGGGCTTCAGCGGCTCCACCCACTTCATGGGTAACAGAAATTTGCAAACATTCAGAACACAAATGTCAAATTATTATTAACCCTAACCATCCCAAATCCTCCAAAATCCTTTTTGCAAATTGGAGAAATTTGCAGGATTGAGGTTACATGGCAAAAGTGCGTTGCTGATTTTGGAGGACGTACTGTGTCAAGGTCTTGGGCCGGACCTTGTGTTGTTTATGCTTAGCCGTGCATAAATATAGGCCTATATTATACTTGAAATCCTCCGCACTGCTCCAGGATGTCACTGCCTCTGCCTTAGCCTACTGACAGTCATAGCCGGAGGATTTTGCAGGATTCAGGCAAAGGTCACCCCTCCATCGACCATATTTAAGAAATAACGGAGGAATTTGCAGAATTGAGGCTATATGCTAATTTCCCATGAGGCCAATTGGAGGATTTTGCAGGATTGAGGCTACATCCTAGCAAAAAGGCTTAGGGAGTTAGGGTTAAAGAGCCTACCTGATTGTAAAGAATTGTTCTTGATTGTATTACATTGCACAGAATATCGTATACAAGTACCGGTAGGTCAATAAGCCATTTGCAAGTTAAATTTCAATAAAATCTGGAACGCTGACTTAATCCAATGCTTTGCACGTTTCAACTTTGCATTCTCCCGACCAAAGAGACTTTCACTACATGTTTATCACATGATTCGGGGCAAGCCTTATGCTAGCAACCCCTAGCTCCGGCATGGTCTGGTGTCTTGGTGCCATTCTCACCCATTGTGAACAATGTATTGGTGCTGAGCATCTCTTGTGTAACTATGCAAGAGCTTGCCCTGAATCATGTGATTAGCAACAGTGTCTTTGGTATCAAGAATTTAAAGCATTCTGAGCAAGTCAATGTACCAGATGTTTTTTTCAAAATTTTAATTCCAAAGGGTATAAGTCACTCCCAAATGGCTTATTTGAATTTCATTTTCAGAAAGAAATGGGCACTTTGTTGATAACTTTGGCTAACCACCGTTTCAATAATTATTTCTAGATTCATGTCACATGTCACTGTTTAACCTGTTCTCCAGCCGGAAAAGGCTCCGATCAGCGTTGGCCTAGGTGTTTCTACCGTAGAAATAATCCATTTACGACTGGCGAAAGAGATTTAAACTAAGCTCAGGATAATTTTTACATGCCGTTTTCATGGACTTTTCATCATTTTTTTGGGGAAATTAACTTAAAAAAAAAAAAAAAAAAAAAAAAAAAAAATCGAATTTTTGTGGGACGAATTGTGAAAAAAATCGGAAAGTTCGTTGGAAAAGTCAAAAAGTCGGATTACTGATTAAAATTGGCAACGTTTCATTTCTGATAGAGTACATGCATTGTGGTGCATGTTGCAATTTTAAAATCAAAAACAATTCTCTTGCAATTATGTCTAAACGTCTTTTTCTTCTGAAGTGACATGCCCGCTACAGCAAAACAGGTGATGGAAAGAATTTCATACAAGGCCACCACTCAGACCTCCTGCACAAAGTATTATCAAATAATTTTTGCACTCCTAAAATAGTGTTTCTTCATCAGATTTACAACGTTTGGTACTTGACAGGTCATATTAAGGAATATGAGTGGTGGCCGTGTATGGAATTCTTTCCCAGGTGACAAACTGCAATTGGGCAATTCCACGGTTACTCACATTACATTTTTGATGTACTTTTGAGTTTCCTTGGGCTGTAATAACCTTACTGAAAAGGTTTATCCCCATGGTAGATAGAGTAGACCTAGACCTACCTAAGCACCAAAGATGACATCCAGAAAAATGTGTTATGTACATTGTGTATGATAAACAAGACACACAAAATCGGTTACTCACGTTACATTTTCATAACGTGAGTAACCTATTTTGTGCGTCTTGTTTTTCATACATAACACATTTTTCTGGATGTTATCTTTGGTGCTTAGGTAGGTCTAGGTCTACTCTATCTACCATGGGGATAACAGTTATTAAACCTTTTCAGTAAGGTAATTACAGCCCAAGGAAACTCAAAAGTACATCAAAAATGTAACGTGAGTAACCGTGGAATTGCCCAAATGATGAAACATTACCTTTCAGGCTTCCCCCTGAGGCTGGCTTGAGGCCCAGTATCCAGACGAGGTGTTGCAGGGTGGTCAGCACCAGATGCCAAGCCGTGCCCAGGATGGAACCATGGCAGTGGGCTAGGCTCAGGATGGCCCGCATACACTGGATGTTCTTGGCTGTCAACTGTTAAAGGGAATATACACAACATTTTCAAACATCACAAAACGAAACGTTGAGTCCCTCCGGTTCTTTTCAGAACCACACATACTCACAAAAGAGATTTATTCACACGGCGCTACAGCAAACTTATCTTGTCTTAGTATCTTTCCACCATGCAAACCTTCAAATCTCATCACAAAACGAATTGATCAAATTATATCGAACTACCTTTACTGACTTGTTAGGGAATGACAGTATAAAGCATCCTCAAAAATTGTGGCTCCTTGTGTGCGACATTTTCTAGAAAAACTGCCGCCCGACCAGCGTTGCAGAAAACTGGCTTTTTTTCAAAAACTGTTCCTACTTTTTCATTTTGGGTTTGATATGCCTTTGAGCCCGGATACCACGACACGCAAGTCAAACACCGTAACCATTGGACCACCACAGCGCTCCATGTGTACAGCCACACAATAATTCAGTTCTCTCAGGGTAGACTAGTTCCGCCCCCTATCAGCAGGGACCACAAATCGGTCTCCTCCCAGGCAAGGGCGGATCCAGGGGGGGCCAAAGGGGGCCATGCCCCTCCCCCAAACGAATCCAATTTTTTTTTTTTTAGTGACTTCGCAATAAAGGCAGGCAATGAGTACACCAACATCTTTTTCTAAAAAAAAACCCCAACATTGGTTAAAGTGGTCAGAAATTGCCTCAGATCGCACCACAGAGCATCTAGAATCCAAAAATGTTTCGGGTCCCTTAAGCGGGCCCCGAACCCCACGCCATAATTTATTGGGACACACTTTTTGGGGACCAACATTTTTTTGGGCAACCCCCCCCCCCCCAAAAAAAAATTGTGTTCTGGATCCGCCCTTGCTTCCAGGACGCGCCAAGCAACCCAAAAATATATCCCTTTCTCAGAGGGTTGCAGATGCCTATTTAAATAGACCAAAGTACATTTGTGGTTAAAATAAATCACACTAGTTGAAAATTTGTTAAGAGGAAAAAAAAAAGGAAATTTGTTGGAGAACATTGAGAGTACATATTTCAGCGAGGACTTTTGACCTAGTTTATTTAACATGCATGAGTGTACGTGCACTACATACATGTACATCCGAGGACAGACAGACAAAGGGACAATAGATTCCTAGCTGTCCTCGAGCGTTCATCTTTTGTTGAAAATGGTCCTCGATCGTGAGTTTGTTTGCTAAGTCTATTGGGGAGTGTTATATTATTGGGACAAAGGGAAAGACAATGCCTTGTCCTCGAGAGTTATGTAAAGTGCGACTGCGTGCGTCGTTAGCACAGAGCGCAATAAAACACACTTTCATTGATTGCGTGTTCAGTTTTCCGCATATCAGTTTCATTTCAACTCGCATTGGTTTTGAATATGAGCACAGATATGCAAACTACCTTACAAAAAACAGAAAAAGTTGAACTTGCGTTAGGCTTTTATCGCAAACACTGATGTACCCTACAGGCTACACTAGTTAGCTCTTCGGTAATTTAATATACCTCCATGGTTGCAACCACCTTCTTACCATGACTGGCCCCTGCTGCGTGCCTACCACCGTTGCCAGGGGTGTCCCTACGGCAACCACCTGGTTCCTCCCGTCACCTGACTCGCTGGTCCCGCCCTCGGGCCCCTGGGTGCTCTGGAGCAGGCTGTCGCGGCTGTGTGAACGCACATGTCCTGAGAAGCAAAAACAAGATTACGCGCTCTGAGATTGAAAAATGAGCTCTGAGGAGGTCGGGCACAATTACAATGATGGGCATAACTTTCTGAATCCTCTCCTTACATTTCTCTTTGCACAGACCTGAAGAGTCGTAGCAAGATCATTTTTATTAGGATGGTAACAGGCTTTTGAAAAGGGCACTCGCACATCCATGCTGAAATACAGGGTGAGTCAAAAAACGAAACCCAAATGTAGGGACCATTGTTTTTGTGAAGATCTGCATGTAGCACTGTCAAAGGATATAAAAGCCCAATTCATAAGCTTTCTTTCAGTACAAGAACCACTCAAATCACTCATGCACTTTTTAAGTTACGGAATTTTAAACACAACCACCATTTTCAAATTCTGTCCACGGATCACAGAAAAGGTGTGCATTCTTTCAGCAAAACGAAAACAAATCACATAGGGATGTGTGTGAATGTGGACAGAACTTCAAAACGGTGGTTCTGTTTAAAATTCCATAGCTTGAAAAGTACATTAGTGAGTTAAATGATTCTTGTACTAAAAAAAGCCTATTAATTGGGCTCTCATAACCTAGATTTTGAAAGTGCTACATGCAGAACTTCACTAAAACAATAGTCCCAACATTTGGGTTTCATTTTTTTTAACTCACCCTGTACAGACAGGTTTTTATTTTCTCCGAACACTTGGTCACCGTAAAATAGAAGGAAAAAAAAGGGGGGGGGTACCATTGGATGATGGCTGGTACCATTTTCCAATGGGGACGATGTTCAAACCGGATGATCATGCACACTATCTGACAATAAATGGCACTTTTCAGGGCGGCACAATTGCCGACGATCACGCAAAATTCCAAAAAGGGCACTCGTAAAAGGCCGCTGGTAAAAAGAGGACACTTGTTTCAAACAAAAGAGAACTTGTTAAAAAAAACACAGGCGACTTCTTTCAAATATTGGGGGTGAACGCTGATGAAAAAAAGGCCGCCTGCATACTTTTTTTTTTGATAAACCTAGAACTCTGGTATAACTGAAAATCAAAAACAGAACAAGCTAACCTCTTTGTGCACTTGATGGAGTCTGCGGCGCGGCGATATTGAGCACCGTCAGCGCATAGTGAGGAGGCAAGGAGGCCTTACACAGTGAAGTCACAAAGGCATCTCTGGGTATGGTCAGGCCTAGCTTGCCGCACAGGCTAGCGTACAGCTCCTGGGACTTCAGGATGGACTCAGTGGCAGACTCCTCCATGCTGAAAATTGATAACGTGGGAGACACAGTGATAATCCATCAGAATCCAACAAATGAAAGTGTGGGAAAATTGTGAATCCAAAAGGATCCATTAGGGTTTAACAAATGGAAAGTGTGGAGAATTCTGAATCCTATGGAATCCATCAGGGTCTAACCAATGCAAAGTGTGGAGAAGTAAAAATCCTATGGAACCCATCAGGCTCTAACAAATGCAAAGTTTGGAGAATTCTGAACCCTACAGAATCCATCAGGGTCTAACCAATGCAAAGTGTGGAGACTTCTGATCCTACGGAATTCATCAGGCTCTAACAAATGCAAAGTTTGGAGAATTCTGAACCCTACAGAATCCATCAGGGTCTAACCAATGCAAAGTGTGGAGACTTCTGATCCTACGGAATTCATTAGGGTCTAACCAATGCAGAGTGTGGAGAATTCTGAATCTTACAGAATCCATCAGGGTCTAACAAATGCAAAGTGTGGAGAACTGTTATTCCCACGGAATTCAACAGAATCTAACAACTGCAAGGAGTGAAGCCTGCTGAACAGTTCAATGTTGAAACGCAAACCAAAAATGGTTGGGTTCTTGTTGGATTAAGGAGGGTTACGATTTCAAATTGGCATCTGAAGATGGCAAGGCGGATCTGGCAATAAAACCTTTCATGCATGAATGCATACCGGTACATGCTGTGAAATAACACCCTTCCTTGTCAACAAAGGAAAGAAATGTAGAATTAAACACCAGAAACTTAAAGATTGGCTGAGAGGCAACGGTATATGAAAATGCTGATGAAGTACAAACGATTTGTGTATGTTTTGCAATGTATATTGATGTGGGATTTACAATGTTATCAAACATTAACCCTCCTATGCAAACACATTTTCTGTGCTAAATTCAAACAAGTGACTGTTTTCAACAGTTAAGAATTCCCAGCCTTCATAAAGCAGGATTGACTGGCTGGGACTGTTTAAGTAACTTGATACAGCTATGCTTTGACTCCCGGTGAGTGATAAAACAGCTGTGACCACAACTTGCCTGCTTTGTCTATTGACCCAGTTTGACTTGTCACAGTGCTTGCTTGAGATATTATCTGACTGTTAGTGACTAGCTTTTGTTAAAAGTATAGCAGGGGAAGTGGAACTGAATTTTGACTGTCTGTGACTGTTTAAATAGCCGGAGGTTAGTGCTAATAAACAAACAGGAATACTGTGGTTAGTTTTCACGTGAATACTTTGTATGGAATGAAAAATGAAGTTCTATCATGAAAATTAAATCTGTGATGATCGAACAATGGTTGAAGTATGAAGGAAAACAAAAAAATATAAACCGTGAAGTGACACCGGTAGGTGATATGATTCCTAAAAAACCCAGTTGATGTGAAATGGAATTTCAAGGCTGCCAGAAGTTGACACCAAAAAGCCCTTTCGAAACCCAAACTATTTGCAACTGGTGTTTTACCTGTCAATTTGGGTAACGGTGGAGCGAAGTTGCGAATTCCAAAAGGGCTCACTGCATTAATGGATCATTGCGTATGAAAAGAAAGATGCGAAAAGACTCCCCGTCTCTGAATAACTTCAAATTCCTTTGCTCAAATATAACCTAATTCATCTTCTCCTGTGATGTAAAAACAATTTCAAATTGCTTTCTTCCATGATCTTAATCACTTCGTGCCAGGATTATTGTTTATGCGGTACCCGCTGTTATGTACATCAGATTTGAACCGGCCAACCGATCCCGTTAGCTCGGTGGTCGAGTGGTAAGACATCTGCACTAGAAAGCAGGAGGTCGTGGGTTCGAGTCCCACCCGAGAGATTTTTTCCAACTTTCACTCGGGAGGTAACACACTGAGTATACATGTACAGTGTTTGAAAAATGTCGGTGAAGGGCAAAACCTACTTTGATTTATATCACCCCGACGCAAAATTCCATCTTATAATAGGATTATTGTTGCTGACAATTTTATTTTCACAATAGGCACAATTTTCCAGCCAAATTCTGATATATAGCTTAGCACCACAAGAACTGATTTGCAAGTAATTTCAACAGAATTTGTGTGATATTTTTTTTTGGCCGAAACCTCATATGTTTTAATTCTTCGAGGTGTACACTGGAGCGTAATTTGTCGAACAATAGGCAGTGCACAACGGCCAATTCAAGATCAGCACACGGTCCACCTCCACAGACCTCATGGACTTTGTGTATGTGTGTACAAAAGGCACGAGGGATTAGCGAGTTTACACGTCACCCGGAGGCGAGTCAAGGCAAGCTCGACGTTTTAACCCATCAGCCGTGCCTGTGTATAAAAACAGCCAGTGCGTGTGAACACGTCCTCCGACGCGAACTGGTTAATTCGGATTTTGGAAACTTTGTGGGTTTATGAATTTGGGTTGAAAATATTTGTAACTTTGTCCCGTGTACAATATTAAAGCTATAGTCCATCATTTGCAGCCATCCGAAAAAGTAACTGGCGTATTATTGTTGAAAAAATACTTGGTTGAAAGATAGTAAGTGGACTAAACTCCCTGTGAAATTGATCTTTCTAGCAAGCTATCATTTTGAAGTAATCCACGAAAGAAGGCCTTTCCAACGGTGCGTTTTAAGACGCACCGTAGGAAAATTTAAATTAGTAGTTCGTTTTGTTGTTCGGCGCAGCGCGCGCAAGCACTGGCACGACGCACAGGCGCGCGTGGTTGCTATAATTTGTCAGATCGGTGCGCAACATCGCGTATAGCTGCAATTCAAAACAATTCAAAACATGATTCAGCAACTTTTGATTTGAAATTGAGATCCTAGAATGCTGTTTTTCCTCGGAATATACAGCTGAAGCTGAGCTGAAACTTCATCAGGTTAGTTGTTCAGTATCCTTCATTAGATTTTGAACACTTTTGTTACTTCAAACGAACAAAATGCACAAATTACAAATGATGGACTATATCTTTAAAGTTTTCACTGAGCGTGCATAAAACTGTAGCACATTTGTGCAACACTCACAGTAAGGCAACACTGAAAGATGGTTTCTACTCGGAATGAAAATATATGCTCAATTTTGTGACTATACATCAAGTATTCCCACTGCGGAAATTGCAAAAGATGAACCACCTCAGACCCCCAAATTGTGCCGCAAACGTTTTGTGACTTCAAATTTATTGGCAAATTGTGCAAACTATGAACCAGGTTCAGAGCAACACATGATATGGTTGCACTACAGATATATGCCTGCGCTTTCTCCCATTTTCACCACTAGAGGGCGCTATACTCATGGAGGCCATTGCTCTTCATGCTTACCAAGCATCGAGGAGTAGCGTAAGCGCGGCCAGGACCCCGCACCAGGAGGAGTTGACTATCTCTTCCCACAGTTTCCTTAGACCTGCAAGACACAATAAGAAGTGAAATAGGAGGTAAATAAACTTGTCTACAGACTAAAATGCTGAATGAAATTGAGAAGCCATTACTGAGGTGCTCTAGTAGCATTTCTACGCACCCCAGAGACATAGATAATCACAGTGTACCCTCCGACGCAGAAAGCCCATTTACTAACACGCTTACAGTAAGATATTTAGCGCCTTGGTTTGAGGCTACACAACACTGTATCTATATGTACACAATCTCGACATGTCTGTAGACTATAAATAAGGAGGTCATTGACAGGAAACAGATGTTGTATACATAGTCTGTGGTCAAGCCGTGCACTGTCTACCCGCAAGTGACCTTGTTTTGTGCACGTGTATATGGGCGGTTTGTCGCCAGCCCAGGTTGTCAGGCTCAGATATGCCTGACCTGGGGTCACATACTAAAGGTGACTGCATATATCCGTAGAGTGTGTCTCTGGCTAGGATTAGATGGAAGATCACCAGAATTTGGTTTGAATTTTTTTTTTTTTTATTAAGGTAATTAACAAAATTGGGTCCCCAAAAGGGCGAGTTTCTGCGTCGTCGGGTTAAAACATCACCGTGTAATGGTCCAATGGTAGCATGGCCAATGGTAACAGCACCAGACTCATGTCCAATGGTATGTGAGCTTGAACCCTGACAGGCTAGGGCACATGCTGTATGTGCTCTTGGGCAAGGCACTTTACTACAATTACCTCTCTCCACCCCGCAGTACAAAATGGGTATCTGTGAGGGTCGAGAGAAGATATCCATATCTGCTGCAGAAGACTGGTCTCGTTGCCTGATGAACATGGGTAATAATTGTGAAACACTTTGAGAATTTTTAGAATAAAGCAGTGTATAATAACCATGATTTTATTATTGTTATTATTTATATCGGATCATTTGCTTTCCATGCATTTTGTTCCAGACCGATCTGTAATCCAAGTAAGTTTTTTGATGACAGTTCAGTAGGTTACTTTTGGGATAAAAGCAAATAATCCTATAGTTGTTCCGCAGGACTACCCTGCTAAATCCAACAGAGTCTGACCGGAGTTTCCCGCTCAATCCACTGTGCCTTATTTTCAGTTGTCTGCTGAATCCAACGGAGTCCAACATGGCATTATAATGCGGTTCAGTTGCCTGCTGAATCCAACATTTTGCATGAGGAATGTACACAAGGGGTTAAAGATATAGTCCATCATTTGTAATTTGTGCATTTTGTTCGTTTGAAGCAACAAAAGTGTTCAAAATCTAATAAAGGATACTGAACAACTAACCTGATGAACTTTCAGTTCAGCTTCAGCTGTATATTCCGAGAAAAACAGCATTCTAGGATCTCAATTTCAAATCAAAAGTTGCTGAAGCATGTTTTGAATTGTTTTGAATTGCAGCTATACACGATGTCGCGCACTGATCCGACGAATTACAGCAACCGCGCGCGCCTGTGCGTCGTGCCAATGCTTGCGCGCGCTGCGCCGAATAACAAAATGAACTACTAATTTAAATTTTCCTACGTTGAGTCTTAAGACGCACCGTTGGAAAGGCCTTCTTTCGTTGATTACTTCAAAATGATAGCTTGCCAAAAAGATTAATTTCACAGGGAGTTTAGTCCACTTACTATCTTTCAACCAAGTATGTTTTTCAACAATAATACGCCAGTTACTTTTTTGGATGGCTGCAAATGATGGACTATAGCTTTAACTGCTCAATCCAACAGGCTCCATCGGGTATGTGACATAGTTGGATCCTGTTGGATTCAGCAGGGTTAGGGTTAGGCTAATTTGTCTGTTCTTCTTGACCAACCTTCGTCCACTCTCTGCAGTAGACTCTCCTCCTCCTTGTCTCCCTCTTCCTCCTCTGCATCCTTGACCTCATTATTGACGATGTGCAAGGCGCGGTCCCGGGCTTGGTTGCGTAGCCGTCGTTCCTCCCCTTCCATCTCCTGTGTGACTATTGTCGTCACGCCCTTGACGACGTCCAGAAGACTCGCAAAGGCGACAGAGATCGCGTAGCCATCCGGAATGGAGGGCGCGTCGGATTTATCCAACATCTCCAGACTTTAGAAAAATAAATAATAAGGAGTGCCTCTTGCATGGATGTAGTGTTTACACAAATTTAAATATGAAATGATAAAAAAATATCCATTTCCACTCACAAACTTTTCCAAAAAATTTAAACAGAACCCAAAACATTTTAAAGAGGTTGTGGAATGCTCGAAGACATTTACGTCATTTTTCGAGTATATGTAGCCTAAGGTGTGATGAAATAAAAACGACTATTGTGTCTGTCATGAAATGAGTACAAAAGGTACTTTTGAGAGCTGTTTTTCAGGTCCTGTTTCGACCCGAACGTGCAATTAGTGTAAATGTCGTCATTGGGGGCAGCAAACAAAACATAGTAAATCGTGACGTAATAAAACGGGACTCGTTTATACTACGCTGCATCGGGAGTCCTGTTTGTTACGTCATGATTTACTATGTTTTGTTTGCTGCCCCCAACGACGACTTTTACTCAAATTGCACGTTCGGGTCGAAACAGGACCTGAAAAACAGCTCTCAAAGTACCTTTTGTACTCATTTCATGACAGACGCAATAGTCGTTTTTATTTCATCACACCTTAAGCTACATATACCCGAAAAATGACGGAAATGTCTTCAAGCATTCCACAACCTCTTTAAATTCACACTTTGTTGTATTTTGCGAATAACCACTACTGTAACTTATTAATCCTATTGCATTACGAAGCATTGGAAGCACATAAGCACTTGACCACATCGAAGAAGTTTTATTCATACATTCTCATTCACCAGAAAATATTGGCTCAACCTAGATCGACCGTGTTCCTGTTTTCGAGGCATCTAGTTTTCGAGGTTTGGCCTTGTAGCGACGCACACGCGCAAATTCGTACCACACACGACCAGTTGATTTGTTGTGTGTGTGGTGCGTGTTCCACCGCCAGCCCAAAACATTTGGAAACTGAAGCCTATGTCGGTGTTTTTCGGTGCTTGAAATAAATCCTTACACCCTCGAAAACCAAGACATCGAGGATAAATGCTTTACAATCATATGTATATGTAGTATCAGTGCCCAGTGCCTCTTCTATGTGCATACAGTCGTGTTTTACTATACTCCCGAGGACAATGCTTTGTATTTCCCTTTGTCCCTGTAATATACAAATGTAACACTCTCCTATAGACTGAGCACACAATCTTACTACAGAGGACCGTTTCCAACAAAAGACCCAACTCCCGAGGACTGAAAGGATCTGTTGTTCTCCCTTTGTGTGTCGGTCCTCAGGGGGTTATGTAGAACACGTACAACAGCACATTATACTTGCGGCAGTCAATAGATATTATGTAGCGTGTTGGCTAAATGTTAATTTAAACCACTATCATCATTCAAGCGGCTGATGACACTGAACTAAGAGCAACACGGGGATGTTAGTTTGGTGCAGTGGTTACTTTCCTCGCCTTCCACCGCTGTGGCCCGGGGTTCGATTCCTGCCCGGACCACATGTGGATTGGGTTTTCAAGTCCCTACCTGATTCTGTGGGTTTTACACCAGACGTTCTTCTGGGGTTTTCCTCCCACCTCAAAAAACCCCTGTAATTTCGTCTCATTGCCTTCCCTCTACTGGTTTATTCAGGCTTACGAGCTAAGGAACCTAGGGAAACTTTTGAGGAATCCTTGGTTTCATTACCAGAAATTTTTTTTTTTTTACTTTATTAGGTTGTTACACTTTTCAATTTTGTTTTAAATGTGCTTCAGATTTTTTTTAAACCTCTTTTTTTTTTTACACTTACAAGACAGGTTTAGCGATGGAGACAGGCAGGAGTGGTATCCAGACTCCCTTATAGGAGAATGCTGTGTGTGGGGTGATGCTGCCGCTGTTGGCCATACTGCCTGACTGCATGGATGAGTTACTGCCCATTTCTTTGCTCTGTTTGTCACCTGTGTAAAGAGAAAAATCCTGTGATAAACTTGGGCACTAAAAACGTAATCACTAAAACAGTTACTGAAAAAATCCAAACCTGTTTGTTAATGTGAATTGAAAAGTTGTGGAAGTTTATGATCACTAATTTTAAAGAAAGGCCCATCGACAAAACTGTGCATGAAATATTTGTGTTGGAGCCAGATTGAACCCCGAGTTTTGGCAACCCTTTTGAAATTGCAAAATTCCAACACAACTTCTTCGCAGGTAAAATTAACCCACTGGTCGGGATCAGGGGTTGAGCGGCTCTACCCGGGTAGAATACCTCAAATCTACAGCTGACCGACCCATGTACTATACCAGACTTCGAGTCACCAAACATAGAGTTTGAATCACCTAACCTCACAATGATTTCCCAAATCAATGTATCGGAAACAAGCCAGCCGCACGCGCTGTGTATGTACAGTACTTAGATGTGCGCTTTTTTGCACCACGCTGACTGCATTGCTAGCTCAGGAAAGGATCGTCTTCAAAATGTAATTATATTGTTGAAAAAATAAGTGACTAAAAATATATGTTGAAAATATGTGTGGAACATGTAATTTTGGTCCAGGCGTGGGTGAAGCAGGTCAAGTCCCAGTCTGAGTCCAAGTCTGAGTCCGCTGGCTCAAGTCTGAGTCCGAGTCATTTGTCTTCGGTCCGAGTCCAAGTCCGAGTCATGAGTCATACAACTCTGCCATGTACACACTGGTATAAGTGTCAACAGTATATACCTTGTCGACCCATGTTTAATCGAACCCAGAGTTCCAGTCAATAGAGTCGCATTGATTTCAACACTGGTAGGCGAGACGATAGTGTGACAAAGCCGCTAAAACTACACTTACTTGCAATACTGGATTGTCTCTCCACTACCGGGTTGACAAACAGCGACTGGATGAAGGAGCCCAGGGCATTGACGATGTTGGCAAAGATCTTGGTGGAGTGGGGCTTCATGTCGTAACTCTGACAAAAACACCTGCAAAAAAAACCACAATCAATTAAAACTGTGACTTCTGAAAACAATAGAGAGGTTTTACATGAGAACGGCTTGTGATGTCATGTGCAGGAGCATACATGTAGCTACACCACCTTTGAATGGGGGTCGGGATGTTACAACAAATTAGCCAACAGACCATCCGTGCTAAAAGGTAGACAGGATTTTTGTCCCTTTTTTCTCATGTTTCTGTGTTTCAAAGCAAGATTTGCAGCACATTATTCTTGAGGCTTTCAGAGGAGGCTGCCATTTTGGACTGCTGCTCCCTCTGGCAATGGTTCCCCACGGTTATAAGTGCATGCGTAGTTGCGTACACAAAACAACAGAATGGCAAAATAACAATTACGGATAGCTAAACGTATGCAAACGCATTGCCACTGGCATGTACTTGAAATTGTGCATACTTGTTATGGCATATTTCCCTCTTCTTTATTATTCGTTGCGCAAGTTGTAAACTTAGCTTGTGCCATGCGATCCTTTTGTAAAATTTTTCATAACTTTTTTGCAGCTACAAAGTTTCAACCCAACTGTGGTTCATTGCCGAAGGAATGTGTGGAAAATGCAAGGAATAAATGTGTGCTTGGCTGGTTTTAAACACTATGTTTAAGACCGGATGGAGTCTGGATGCTGATAATGACCCGAGCCAAAGACGAGGGTCATTATCAGCATCCAGACTCCAACTGGTCTCAAACATGTGACGGGCTCTCGACCAATAGAAATGGGTAACCTGTCTTAAGTGTTTATGAATGTAAAATAACTATACCCATGATGACATCATCATAACGTCACTTCAAATTTCACATATTACTTATACCTGTCTATGTACAAAGTTTCAACCCCAATCATACTTTTACTTTGTAGATATTGGGCTTCAATTTTCACCAATAAAAGTTGGCATAAATGGAGGTACACAATTACAAGTTGTGCGAATTTGGTTGCTGAGTGATCTTTGTTGACTCACCTGAGTAGCTTGGGTTGTGAGCAGAGTTTATACATGACCTCCAGCGCTAGGACTCGCTGCCACATGCACTTATCGCTCTCCATGAACTTGACCAGAAGGGACAGAAAGATCTCGCACTCCGTGGCCTACAAGCAGGGGGGAAAAAGACAGTCATATTTATCCTAACTCGCCAGTCCCTTTGTGGTTAGGGTACGTCTCAATTCATATCTGGGACAAATTTCCGGACAAGTTGAGGGTAGAATCATTCACTTTGTTTGGAAAAATCTGCATTTGTCCCGGACATGTTCCGGGGAAATTTTCATTAGCAACTTCTCGACTCACCAACACTGATAACTTCAGTGTGAGGGCAGAGATGGTTATTGTGATTCATTGTAGCTGCTTTGCGCCGAAATGGCAGTATCAAGCTGTAACTCCCCAGAGAGCTGAGATTGTGTTTGGAATGTTTAAATGGCCCAATGAGCAGAGGTAATAATGACGTAAAGCGCTTTGATCTTAGTTAAAAAGCACTATATAAGAACCCGTTAAAATTATTATTATTATTAATTACCCAATACAATGTCCCCAACTTGTCCAGAACTTGACCCAGATATGATTTAAGATGGGCCCTTTAATACAAACGCTTTGTCCTGGTCCTTATTTCGCATTTGTTTGTTTTGTTCAGTTTGCCAAGGCAATAGAAGGCTGCAATTTTTAGGCACATACATGTACTTGCATAATTTTCAACATTTATTCCTGTCACATTAATTTGTTGTGTGATTACCATACAGCACAAATTGACTACTGCTCAACGGTATTGCACTGCACTTGTTGATTATAAGTGCAGTGCGGTAATGTGAAGTGATTCTTGTCGACAGGGCTAAGGCTAAGGCTTACAATCAGTGTGTAATAGTTGTTGTTGACAAAGGCTAAGACTAGGGCTCACCAGTTTGCTCCAGCATATATTGTTGACAGGCTGAGGCTAACCAGTAGCGTGTAATACTAGTAGAAGACAGTCTAAGGCTAAGGCTCACACGTAACATGTACTACTAGCTGATGAAAGGCCAAGTCTCAAGTCTGAGGCTACAAGTACCATGCATTACTTTGAATGGCATGCTGAGCCCAAGGCTGAGGCTATGGCTAAGGCTCACCAGTAACATGTAATACTAGCTGATGAAAGGCCAAGACTCAAGGCTGAGTCTAACACTACCATGCAGTACTTTGAATGGCATGCTGAGCCTAAGGCTGAGGCTATGGCTAAGGCTCACCAGTAACTTGTAATACTAGCTGATGAAAGGCCAAGACTCAAGGCTGAGTCTACCACTACCATGCAGTACTTTGAATGGCATGCTGAGCCTAAGGCTGAGGCTATGGCTAAAGGCTAATGCTCACCAGTAACATATAATACTAGCTGATGAAAGGCCAAAACTCAAGGCTGAGTCTAACACTACCATGCAGTACTTTGAATGCCATGCTTAGCCTAAGGCTCAGGCTATGGCTAAGGCTCACCAGTAACGTGTAGTACTTATTGATGAGCACAGACACCACTCTGAGTAGCCGCATGCTGATGGGGAAGGAGGGCTTCTCAGGGCTGGTGGGAGGCGAGGGGGCGGAGATACCCTGACGATGCTTGATGCTTGGAGAGAAGAGTTTAATGACCAAGGGACAGACTCGCTCCTTCAGGAGGAAGCTGAACTGTTTGTGCTGAAGAGCAAGATGGAAGACAGAAATGGTTGAGATTTCATGTAGGGCTATTTGAGATGGGTACCTGAAAACCAACTATGGATTTCAGATACTAGTTCCATGCTATCAGTTCCATTATTCCGGACTTACTTTGTGAATTCAGAACTTACGTATACATCAGCAGCACATTCTTTAATATATTAACCCTTTGTAAATGTAAACTATAAAAATCTAATATAGTATTCTGAAATAACTTAAAGGGAAAATACGACATTTGCAAACATCAAAAAACGAATTGATCAAATTATCACGAAATACCTTACTGGATTGTGAGGAATGACAGTCTAAAGCATCCTTTAAAATCGTGGCTCCTGGTGTGCTGACATTTTCAAGAAAAACTGCATTTTTCCAACGCTGGTCGGCCGACCAGCGTTGGAAAAAACTGCCTTTTTTTTCAATAACTGTTCTTAAATTTTCATATTTAGTTTTCTGAATTTTCTTTGCAATTGATTACACACCTCTGCAGGGGTACAAGCCGGCTAGACTGATTCTCTGACCTTACAATTCCCTAAAGTGTATTAAGTGCTCCGTTTCATCTCATTGGGGTCAGGGAACCAGACTACAAGAACATGATAGGTTTTCTTGGTTTTTCCAGCATCTACAAGCCCAAAACGTGAAACATGTCAGTTCAACAATATTTTCTATAACATACTAATCCTCCAAATCCATTTATTTCAGACACTTGAAGCAAAAGCAGACGTTGTACATTCCCTTTAAAGATGATAGTCAGGTTCACAATGTATTTTCGTTGGGGTTTTATGGGGATTAGCAAAACTATACATTTTTGAAAACGTTATGATCTACTGAATCCAAAAACCAATGTTTCCATTTTTTCCGATGCCATTATGCCGGCCATTTTGTGGGGACGCGATAAAAGGGGGCAGATCCAACCCCAGCACTCTAAGATCTTGGCCGTGCCATGACAGATTTAATTGAAATTTGGTATGCTTGTGAAGATAACACTGCTAAGCACATGTGTAGAGTCTCAGTTTAATAGAACAAAGCACGCTGTAATTATCTTTGTTTATAATTCACACTACAAATTATCCCTTTATCTAGCCTTGGTCAATGCTCTCGTCGTTATTCGTCCCGTACGCGGTCAATCGTCCGCATATATCCTCACGCGCTATGCACATGCATGTAAAAATACAGCGCGAACAGCGACCTCATGCGGCCACTATTTTTTTATGCAAATCAGTTGAGGACAATCTCGAGCCTTGGTTCAATCGTCGGCAAAAGCTTATGGTTTCCTTTATTTTGCGCTGGATTTCTAGCGCACGACCTCGTATGCGAATACAGATAAGTGTAGGCGGGGCTAATATGTGGAGTGTCCAATCACACCTTGGTAAATCCGGCCGTCATCAAATTATTTGCAGCTGTTCGCTTTTCGCGTAGGTGACATGAACCACAGTTTTTGTGCATTGGTGCCGTGTGCAGAGACACACAACGTGTTGTGTATGGATTATGTACGGTGCCACGTTTCACTATGCAAGTTTCCACGCAACGATCGACCAATAAGAAAATGACATTTAAGGTCAGCTAAGGCTATTAACATAATGAGCACCACCCCCAAAACCTCACATGGACGATTGAACCAAGGCTCGAGATCGTCCCCAACTGATTTGCATATAAAAATAGTGGCCGCGTGAGGTCGCTGTTGGCGCTGTAATTTTACATGCATGTACATAGCGCGTGAGGATATATGCGGACGATTGACCGCGTACGGGACGAATAACGATGAGAGCATTGACCAAGGCTACCCTTTATCCTACACAAACATGTATTCAATGAAAAAAAAGTTACCATTTTACGATACCCTGCGTTTGAAATTGACATTTTGCAATAAAGGTAGGTCCGAATTTTGTAAAATAAAGTGTCGCCTTGTGCACATCACATCGGCTTAAAATTTTGTTTCATTTAGGCTGTGGACGACATTTTAAAAGGCACATAACGTGAAACGCCAAAGTGTCCTCGTTCCAATGACACCTTGAGTGTGTGTCTGTCTGTGGAGCATTCATTGTTATTCTGTCAAGGGTCAAAACCTGTACTGGGCCAAGTTTTACCAGGCTAAGATTGCTGGCTGGTTTGTTATGCAAAGGTTGAAATGGACTAGACTTCGTGCAGAGCTTTGTGTGGAAAGACGTGGTGGCCACGTTGAAGGCATTGGACCATGAGGGGTCAAATTCGACAATAAGAGCGGTTAAAGCCGGAGTCCATCATTTACAGCTATCCAAAAAGTGACTGGCGTAATTATTGTTGAAAAACATACTTGGTTGAAAGATACTAAGAAGACTAAACTCCCTGTGAAATTATTCTCTCTGGCAAGCCGTCATTTTGAAGAAATCAACGAAAGAAGGCCTTTCCAACAGTGCGTCTTAAGAAGCACCATTGGCAATTTCTGTTAGTAGTTCGTTTTTTTATTCGGCGAAGCGCGCGCAAGCGTTGACACATCGCACACGCAGTTGCTATAATTCGTCGGATCAGTGGGCGACATCACGTACCTGCAATCGGCTCAGTGAGAACGTGTCTCGGACGCTGAATTCAGGCCCAATTCAAAACATGATTCGGCAACTTTTGATTTGAAATCGAGATCTTAGGATGTTGTTTTTCTCGGAATGAACAGCTGAAGCTGAGCTGAAACTTCATCAGGTTAGTTGTTCAGGACCCTTCTTTAGATTTAGAGCACTTTTGTTGCTTCAAACGAACAAAATGTACAAATTACAAATGATGGACTATACCTTTAAATCACTGTGTCGACATTGAATAAATTGTTTTGAAGAAACATGCCCAGAACACCAGTTACCCTTTTGCACAAACTTGGCCCAGTGCAGGGGATGAACAATATGGGAGGAATGCCTTTGTACCAGTTCATCTGAATAGCTTGTGACTTGACTTGTGACTGTAATAGTTGAATGGGTTGTTTACTGCATCCCACTAGAAACTGTGGATAAGATGTGGCTGGCCGAGTACTGTCTACTCACCCTCAGGAAGATCTGAGGAAAGCTGTTGAGGACCGTCTCAAGGAGCTCCAGGCCAAACGTCCTGGTCATCTCTGTCATACCGGTCAGCCAGTACGGGGAATCGCCATTCAATAGGTAACACAGGTCCTGTGGTCAAGGGAGGACAAAGGATGGTCAGTCGGGGCTTAAAATATCCATCGCACCATCGGACTGAAGCAGTTTTGTTTGTAAACATTTATCTTTAGGTGACAAGAGTAGGCAAGCCTACATGTAGTAAAGATGGTCCGTGAGTGCACAAAATTCCATTCAATGGGCCTTATTCACGAGTCCGCCATGTTGAATTGAAAGTGAGGTAAAATCTTCATTTTTGGAAATTGCGAAGAGAAATGAAAGCAAGTACATTACAAAATAGTTCAAGTATGTTAAGAGCTCCCAGCCTACATAAGTAGGATTGACTGGCTGTGACTGTTTATGTGGTTGATACAGTTATGCTTTGACTGTAGGTGATTGATAAGCCAGCTGCCTCTACTTCTTGCCTGCTTTTGTCAGTTGACTGATTTCGACTAGTCACTGTGTTTGCTTGATATATGATCTGACTGTTGGTGACTAGCCTGTATAAAAGACATGGCAGGGGATGAGGATTGATTTTTATTTTCACTGCCTGTGACTGTTCAAACAGCAGGAGGGGTAACTTTACAAAAAAATCAAATTGTTTATTGAAAACTCTGACAATTTTTCCTATTTCACATTGGACGTGACTCAAATCTTGGTTTCATTATCTATTCAAATATTCAATCAAGTTTAAATTTACCAATGAATTATTCATACTGTTTACTCCTTTCATTCTGTCCTTACCTGAAAGAGAAGGTATGCATCAGTGGCACACGGCCTGAGAGATTTAGGTGCTGCCTTGCTGCTGGAGTTACTGGATCTCAGTTTCTCAAGATCCCCGTCAGACTCGGCTCCATCTAATGAAAAAAATTCAAAATGAAAGGTGCATGATCGACTCAGGCAGTCTACCTGTTGGATTTTGGCAGTGCAGTGTTTTAGTTTTTTTTTGCTTCTTCCGGGCATTCTTTCGGGCATTCTATCGATAAACCGCCTTCCAATGAAAGTGGCATGAACACACGGACAGGCAGGTTTGGTACAAAAAAATGTCAAGACTTTATTATATCTAAATAATAATTACATGATGAAAAAGTGACGAACACCAAACGGTCTCAACATTGTGATCAAATCGAAATGTTTATCAAAGTCGAGACAATTCAATGTAGAAACTAACTTTCGGCAGTTAAAATTCTAATGCCGAAAGGAAATAGGGTCTAAAAAAAAAAAAAAAAAAAGAGCCGATGACATTTTGAATAAGATGAAAATGGAATCAAATGAACGAAATACGTTTGGGAAGGCCGTCGGGAACGTACCGCCTTGCTCTTTAACCAACGCGATTTAAAATATTGTAGTCTATATACCATGACTAACCCTAACTCCCTAGGCCTTTTTGCTAGGATGTTGCCTCAATCCTGCAAAATCCTCCAATTGGCCTCTGGAAAAATAGCATATAGCCTCAATCCTGCAAATTCCTCCGCTATTTCTTGAATATGGTCCGTGGAGGGGTGACCACTGCCTGAATCCTGCAAAATCCTCCGGCTATGACTGTCAATAGGCTGAGGCAGAGGCAGTGACATCCTGGAGCAGCGCAGAGGATGTCAAGTATAATCAAGGACTAAATTTATGCACAGCTGAGCATAAACAACACAAGGTCCGGCCCAAGACCTTGACACAGTGCGTACTCCGAAATCAGCAACCCACTTTTGCCATGTAACCTCAATCCTGCAAATTCCTCCAATTTGCAAAAAGGATTTTGAAGGATTCAGGACGGTTAGGGCTAATGAAGCATGGAGATACCCGAGCGACGGCAGGTACGCTTACTCAGCGAACCAAACTCCGCTGACTCAGCCGTCATATCAAATTAGAATAACAATGGCCATTGTTATACCATGCAAATGTGACTGGAGGGCTCACAGCTGGGCAGTAACTAAGGACCAAATTTAGTTCGCGAGCTCCGCTGAGTCAGCGAACGGTCATTATTGACTAAGGGTATATAAATGACTGGTTAGAAACCTGTCATTGCATCACATCAATTTATTCAAAAATAAAATCTGCTCATCCGAGCAGTCGAAACCAAAACTGATCAATCCAAAGGAGCTGATCAATCAGTTGCATTCGTCTTTCCGTAACACCTTCATACCTGCATTGGCCTCATCCTCGGCTAGTACCCTTTCCATCACGATGGAGACGACTTGCTGTACGATGGCCGACGCCGTGTTACTTGTGGTGTTGTCCTTGGAAAAATGCAGCCGAAAGCAGACCACGATCGTCTGTGCAGAAATATCACAATGATCTATTTCTAGAAATCGACTTTAATGCACGCTGCCATCTTTGTTATATTGATTCAAACAAAATAACAAATGTACAATTTTTAAAAATCCGATTATACAGTTCAGATATAGACTTTTCAAAGCATTTATATAACAAATAGTTAGCGGTTTATTTATACAGCTTTGTATATTTCTACTTTTCTACAAAAATAACATTGTGTAGAGTTCTTGCAAAACGAGATGGAACTGGGCACAGACCGTGGTGGAGAAAAATACAAAACACCTAATCGGTATTTTTTTCCGATACTCAGATTGATTAGTATTGGTAGTCTTTGATATGTGTACTACACATAGTTTAAAGAAATGGTATAAAAATTGAAGCCTGAAAGTGTTTTTAAGGAAAAACAATTGGCACGTTTCATTTACACGACTACAGAACCTGAAACTTTGAAGGCCTTTTTCTCAGTATTTTTTATGACATTTGAAAAATATGCAAACTTTAAACAGGCACAACTTCTCAACAGAATGTCCAATTGAAGTGTAACAAACATTATTGGAAAGACAATGTTATTCTGCTTCCTAATACTGACATTTGGACCTCTGCCCAGTTCTGTCTCATTTTTCCAGAATGCCTCACATTTGTCTCATTTAGTCATTAAATAAATGATTGAAGTTAAGAGCCACGTGTGGTCTAGCAGTAGGGCACAAGATTCGTGATCGTGAGAGTGTGGGTTCTAGCCCCGCCGTGGCCATGAGTGTTGTGCCCTTGAGCAAGGCGCTTTACCTCCATTACTCCTCTCAACCCAGGTGTTAAATGGGTACCGGCATTGTTCAATGCTGGGAAGGTAACAGACTCGCTGTGGAGGACGTGTGGCGATCCCCCCACAGCAGCATAAGAGTCTGGCCCAATCGCTAACGAAAGAGAGATGGGCACTCCGTTCCTGTTAACACAGATTCTTCCCCCTCAAGAGGCAAGGTACTGACCCGTGCTAGCGCCGGTCCCCTGACTATGGTGTTGGTTGTGAGTATAACGACCGCCGTCTGCAGCACCTTGAGGTCCTCGATGCCACCTTCCATCAGATTCCATAACATGTTGATCACATTGCTGGCAGCCGCCTGCAGAAAAATTAGGTCAAACAAATTTCTAGCGCTAAATCTCAAGTTCTGAAACTAAAGAGTTTTAGAACTAAAAAGTTTACACTATGTGAAAAAAACCCAGAAATATGCTGATGCCTCTATTTTTTCCCCATTACTTTCTACAGTCTTTGTCACTTCAGGAGAAAGACAGTGGAGCGTGTGCACGTCTATTCTTTTTTAACATCGTTCGCGGGCACGTGTCGACTCCCATACCAAAGCGTGTAGAGTGATGTATAATCCCTTAGGCCCTGCTAACGAGGTGACTTTTGGTCACTTTGTGAAAACCCCGAAAACAACTTTTTGTCAAATGTTTGATTACGATAATTAAGAAATGAACAATATTTTGTCTTGAAACTTGGTCAAATTGTTCTTTGTGTCAAATGTAATAACATGAGCCAGCAAGACTGAAATTCGAAAAAATGACCGATTTACCAGGTTTTTGTCACTTCGTGAAAACACCGATGAACTGTTTGGTCTATGGTGGTTTTTTTACATGTTCCAGTAGGATCTTGTCCAACTAGACAGACTTCTCATTTTAACAAGCGTAATGTTAAAGCAGGGTTTCTAAAAAATAAAAAATTAAAGAAAAAAAACCCTGCACTTACGACAGAAAGCGCTTCGTGGGTGATTAGCCGCTGTACAGATCCCAGACACAGCTGGACAATCTTGAGGTTCTTGGTGTCGCATCCTAACAGGAATGGTTGAAGAATCTCCCCGCTGCATGCAACTAGGGCTGAAGATGATGATAAAAATGGGGTTTACACAATCTTTTAAAAAATAATACGTGTTTGGCAATCCAGGTGAGTAGGTAGGTACGAATTTTAACTTAAAGTACAAGTATGTTTATCTTTCTGTGACATTTATAAAAACATTGTTTTCTTCTAATTACATTGAACCTAACCCCCCTGAGTGAACCTTCCTCACTCTTGCAAACTATATGGTAACTCAACACCAAATTATTGTGGTGGTCTGCCTGACAGTTTTTCAGTTGGAATATAACACAAGCTGAACATTTATTCATAGAAAAAATAATCAAATTTGTTGTAGGGCACAGGGAACACAATGGTAACCCCTAACCAAGTTGAAACTCCCCTGTCCAAACCACAATAAAAACTCATATAAAAAAAAATACATGAGTCTGAACAGTTCCATTCATTAAAATTTTTTAGTCTGGTTTATTTGGTGGTTTATTTGGTATCTATTACGGCCAGGTTTTGACAACATGAAATAACACGATGTTGCTCGTTTGGTCTTTGGTTTTGAATTGATTCTATTGGTATGGGCCTTATTCACGAGTTAGCCATTTTTGTCGAGTTCCCTTAATGTATTTCATTAATTGTTAACTGTTGATTGGGATGGCGCCAGACTATTTATGCAGGCACAATGCAGCCTTATTTTACTGTCATTTTTTTGTGTAAATATGGCTTTAAACATTAGGGAATGTTTAATTACAAATTATAAATTATGCATTGAAGCAGCCTGGAATTTATTATAAATTAAGTTGCTTTCATTTCCTTTCGCATGTTAAACAAATTAAGATTTTACCTAACTTTCAATTCAATATGGCCGACTCATGAATAAGGCCCATAGTGCGGTGTTGCATGCACATTCTCATGGTAGAATGGTTGTTACATGTACATACATGTATGTGGCTTTTATTAATTCCTGGACCGTAACAGTATCCACGACTACCGGTAGTTTACACAAAAAGCTACATTCACCTCAGCCCATGCAATGCAATGTAAACAAGGAAGAAGGAAATCATTTTCTATTTTTTAAAAAATCTCCACAAGGTAACATTCAGGATCTAGACGATGAACATTCCTCTTGAAATGGTAAATACTGATTATGTCATGCATACATGTACATGTAAATGTACAATGTAGACTGATTCATGCTTCAGTCTGGTAGTTGCAATGTAACTTTATTCATTTAAAATTTATCACTGTTCTTAAACTTTTATCTGTTTTTTTAATTAATGTTTTAAGTATCCTTTTAGTTCTTTTCCCTGTTATTTCTACTTTATTAATTAATCCTAACCTTCCCAAATCCTCCAAAAACCTCTTTACAAAATGGAGATTCTGCAGGATCGAGGTTATTTGGCTAAAATGTGTGGCTGAGTTTTGAGAGTGAGTTAAGGTGTTGGGCCAGGCCAACAGGTTTTGGCAGTTATTTTCCCACTTTCAACCCGGTTCTGACCTGGGTAATGAGCTCTAGCCGGATCGAAATCAACCCTGGGAGGGACCAGGGTTGAAAATCTCAACCCGGATCGAAATTGCATTTTTCGGCGTGAACCGTGTCGAAAATGACAGTGTGAACCGCCCGGGGTTGAGTCACTCGCGGCCAATCTGTGTTGAGTTGAGGCCGACATTCTACCGAAAATCTGACACGTTGTGCATATTTCCCTCCACCATCATTGCCATCGCAAACACCGATCACGAAACAATCACTCCCTAATTATCATCCAATAATAATTCGGAGTATGGAGCATCCTTTACCGAGTCTGGGCTTGTATTAGGTCCGCAATATGTACCCCAAAAAAGTACATTTCTAACGTTAAATAGAACGAATCGTCTAACGAAATGACCGGAGCCATTTTGGAAATATTGCACTCAGCTCACTGGTGTCATATGTGGAAATCGGACTCCCATGCAAATCGGATTCCTTTACACTCTTATTGGTCCGCAATATGTACCCCAACAAAGTACATTTCTAACGTTAAATAGAACGAATCGTCTAACGAAATGACCGGAGCCATTTTGGAAATATTGCACTCAGCTCGCTGGTGTCATATGTGAAAATCGGACTCCCATGCAAATCGGATTCCTTTACTCTCTTATTGGTCAAGCCCTCTCACGTGACAGGTCCTTCTCCTAATTATCATTCTTAGGCATGCGCAACACTACCAATGAGTCCGTATTTCACAGAGAAGTAAATTCACCCTGCACACCGGCCTGTCCGTTAGCCTCGTGCGCGCAACCACGTATGTCACAATGCATTCTGGTATTGAGAAAATCATCACAGCGCCCCATGCCGAATGCGATCCGTGTTGAGAATTTGTAGTGTGAATACACAGGGGCCGTAGTCGGATTGAACGTTACACGGTTCACGTAGCGGCCGTTTTTCATAAAGAACAGTGTGAACATTGCGTCTCTCCAATCCGTGTCGAAAAATACTCGGGCTGAACCGGATGGATCCGGGTTGGTTTCAACACGGTTCGAAACGGAGATAGTGTGAAAAGGCCTTAACATTTTTATGATGGTCCATTGAAAATTGTCCTCAAGGTGACATGGCTACCGCCAGTAAATAAAGTTATAACAAAAAATACTAATTGGTGATGACATAGCACTTATACCAAGGGTCTCAAAGCGCTTCACAATTACTACCCCTGTTCATCAGGCCATGAGACCGGTTTCTGCAGCAGCTCGAGATCAGCGCATTCTGGTCTCTACCTTCACAGGTTCCCATTTATACACCTGGGTGGAGAGAGGCAATTGTAGTAAAGTGTCTTGCCCAAGAACTCAAGCACCATGTTCCCCGTCAGGGTTCGAACCCATTTATTATGATTGTAACGGCACTCACCTGGCAGAATATTCTTATTCCTGGCCGCTATGGTTCGGATCTTGAGAATACCTGCCTCCGCCGCCTGAGTTTTGAAAAAAAAAGAGAGATGTAAATTTATGCTGAAATCGATATTTAAAGAGAATATACAACATTTGCAAACATCGAAATATAAAACCACCAAGTTTTTACGAAATACCTTACTAGGATGTTGGTAAATGACAGTCTCAAGCATCATGTAAAATTATGGCACCTGGTGTGAAGTCATTTTCAAGAAAATGGTATTTTTGTAAACATTTCCAACGGTGGTCGGCCGACCAGCGTTGGAAAAACCTAACTATTTTTCAACTACTGCTCCAAATTTACCATTGTTTAGTCCAAATTTTGTTTGCTATTGGTTACATGTTCATGAACGGGTGCAGGCCAGCTAGACTGGTTCCCTTGCCTTACAATTTTCTATCATCTATAAATTGATCCATTTTATATTTTGTGGAGTCAGGGAGACAGACTACTTGAATATTTTTGTTTATCTTGGTTTTTCCAACCTTTTCGAACACAAAACTTCAAACATGTCAGTGTAACAATATTTGATCTATTATACTAACCTCTCAAATAGTTCATTTCTGAAAATGACAGCAAAAGCAAATGATGTACATTCCCTTTAAAATAAGGAAATGTTGGAGTTCCTTTTGTTCTTTGGCAGTATGAATGCATTTATAATTCATTTCAATAAAAAAACTAAACAGAGTCTGACATTATAACCAGGGAGCACTGTTTATGATAGAGTGTACACACTGACATACACAGCACCAAAGCACTTTCACGGTAAAATGCGCCATCTTGCTGACAGGGCAAATTTACACGCATTGCTGTGTACGCATCGTCAATCGAAAACTTTTGCGCTTCCAAGTCATCATGCGTTCATTCCAAAATGCACCCGCGTCTAGCAACGCGTGTTCTTTTTGCCCCGTGAACAAGATGGCGCATATTACCGTGAAACTGCCTATTCCAATGCCCTTTCTAACAGTTTCTATTGTTATGCTAATTTTGAACCACAATTTTCAGGCCTCTTCTGTTAACTACGCTCCCCCTTTTTTTGAAGGGGGTGGGTTGGGGGGTTGGGGGGTTCTTGGGAAGGGCTAAAGCCCCCTGAACACCCCTTCATTGGATGCCCCGATGCCAATCTTTTTTTTTTTCAACATGAAGTGATTTGTTTACCTCTTTGACAGGTGGGAATTTTCTCTTGCTTTCGTTGGAGAGACCCCGCAGGTCAGTCTGTAGGTTTTCAACCAGTCGCTTAGTCACGACCGTCTCACCGGCACGTCCCGCCATGGTCTTGAATAAGCTGATGAAAGTGAAGAGAAGATGATGAATGGATTATACTTTATTGACATGAATATTACAACATGTAATAGACGAATCCGATGAGGGATTACTGAATTTGGCCATGGAACTATATCTGAATTCGGCCATGGAACTACATCTGCAATAAACCCTAACCCCCTAGGCCCTTTTTGCTAGGAACCATCCTCAATCCTCCAAAATTTTGCAACAGCGCCTAAATTCTTCAAAATTGTCAGACGGTCCTGCCTCAAAATGCATTCATCCTTCAATCCTCCTCATCCAAAAATTTTGCAACAGCGCCTAAATTCTTCAAAATTGTCAGACGGTCCTGCCTCAAAATGCATTCATCCTTCAATCCTCCTCATCCAAAAATGTTGCACTTATGTTCAAATGAAGGATACCCAGCCCCTCAATCCTTCAAAATCGTCAGACAGTCCTGCCTCAAAATGCATTCATCCTCAATCCTCCAAAATCCTCCTCATCTTCAAACACCATTCATCCTCAATCCTGCAAAATCCTCATGTGCTTAAAAACACAATTCATCCTCAATCCTTCAAAATCCTCATGTTTTCAAATGCAATTCATCCTCAATCCTCCAAAATCCTCCTCATCTTCAAACACCATTCATCCTCAATCCTCCAAAATCCTCATGTGCTTACACACCACTCATCCTCAATCCTCCAACATCCTCATGTTTTCAAACGCCATTCATCCTCAATCCTCCAAAATCCTCCCAAACCCCAATGAGGGTTCTGGAGGATTGAGGTGGGTTATTGAAGGCATTTCAATTTTGTACTCATTTAAAGTTTCAGTCATTGACTCATTGTCATCATGAAATATGCTTCACTTTATCTTTCGCATGAGTATAAACTGCCCTTAACATGCTTAAGGCCATAAAATGCTACAATTATAGGCTAAGGCATCTTTTGTGTGTGCGCATTTTAGAAGTATGCCAAATATTTTGCGGTTATCTCTTTTATCAAGCTGTGTATTGTAATATTTTTTGAAACAAGAAAACTAGGGCTCTGCAGATCTGTGTGTATTCTACAACTTACCTACTGGCCAACTAAATAAAATAATGAAAAACAAATGAAAAAAAAAACCTCAACAAAAACAAACATGCCCTCACATGAAAAAAAAATTGTTAATAACAAATTAAGTAATTAAATAAATAATTAAAAATTAATTAAAAATAAACATACAAATAAATAACTACCAAAACAAAAAATACCCCCCCCCCAAAAGCCAACACCCCCCCCCCAAAAAAATGTCAAAGGCCATGAAAAGCCCATGAACATGATAAATATAAGAAAAAGCTTGGTGTTTCTACAGAAAATGTGGTATCCTGTTGTGTTCAAAGTTGTATTGAGAGAGTCATGAATTATTTGAAGCATTTTCTTCCCAGAAATATTTACATTAAAGGGAATATACATCATTTGCTTTTGCTGTAATTTTCAGAAATGGATGGAATTGGGGGGTTGGAAATATATAGCAAATATAGTTACACTGACTTTTTTGAGGTTTTGGGTTCGAAAATGCTATAAAAACCAAGAAAAACGATCATTTTCCTGTAGTCTGGTTCCCTGACTCCATATAAGAAGAAACAGAGCAGTTTACATACATTGGGGAATTGTAAGGTCAGGGAACCAGTCTAGCTGGCTCGTACCCGTTCATAGGTTTGTAATCGATTGCAAACAAGTGCGATGGTCAATTGGGGCCAGTATTTGAAAAAAAACCCAGTTGTTTCCAACGCTGATCGGCCGATCAGCGTTGGAAATTGATACAAAAATACCACTTTTCTTGAAAATGACAGTATACCAGGTGCCATGATTTTACAGGATGCTTTACACTGTCATTCACTAACAGTCCAGCAAGGTATTTCAAAATGATTTGGTAGTTTTATTTTTTGATGTTTGCAAATGTTGTTTTTTCCCTTTAAGTCAGAAATGTTGGTTATAATCCGAATCGTGTACTTTAGGACCCTACTCCATAAGAGAGCGAAAAGACACTTTTGTGTTTTGGGACTTCTAAACATTTGGCTACATGATACAAGCAGGAAAAGTCACTAATTTTTTATGTGTTTGGAATCATCGAAATTATATGGTTCGCTAAGATACCATGTTGATATCAGCGAGATTAATTTTGTGAAAAGATGGCAGGGTTTTGATTTGTGAACCGAACTATTTTTACGAGTTCTGTTCAAAACTGACTTTTGCAGCTATGACTGTCCAGTACCAAAGTGACTTTTGCAGGCTAAAGCAGTCTTTTTTTTTTAGATTAGCTCATGTCTGTTGTAATTTGGAAACCCACTTTCAAAGAAAAATGTGACTTTGTAACCTTTTTTTTGCAGTCAGGCGTACCTGGCTTTCCACAAAATTAAACCTGCTGATATTCAGGGTGTCATTACCAGCTGTTCAAATGTGTCAAGAAATATCAGAATGTCACTTTAAATGTCATTTAGTCTGTTTTGGTGAGTCTTTTCTTTGGCTGTGCCTGTGAACAAAGTCTATGGAGAGAGAAAACGGTGATACTACAATCTATGGAAAGAATTCCAAGTAATCCTTACTTTTACTTTTTAGGACCCCATTCCCATATAGGCTAAAAGACTCACCAAAACAGCTGACTAAATGAAACTCAAAAGTCACATTCTGATATTTCTTGACACATTGGAACAGTTGGCAGTGACACCTTCTTGAATATCAGTAAATTTGATTTATGAGGGGTTAAAGACGACGATGACAAACAGAAACTATATTTAAAAAGCAAGATGGCGAACTGCAAAAAAAGGTAGGAAAGTCACATTTTCTTTGAAAGTGCTTTCAAAATGACAACTAACATGAGTTTATCTGAAGAAAAAAGACTGCTTAAGCCTGCAAAAGTCACTTTGGTACTGGACAGTCATCTGCAAAAGTCAGTTTTGAACAGAACTCGTAAAAATAGAGGTGTCCTAAAGATAAGGATTACCGAATTCCATACCTGGACTGCATCACTTGACACCCTCTGAAAAAAAGTGTTTTCTCTGCATGCTCAGTCATGTCACTGTCAGTTAGGCCTAATTTAGCCCGACTGCGTCTGGCCGTACAGTACTATCGCAAGCTCTGTAGTACGGCCAGACGCTGAATGCTTCCAAAAAGACTGAATTTTTTTGGCCGCTAATGTAGCGATTTTGCTACATCTTTTGATCGAGATTATCTTTTCATCCAGGACAAAAATTTCCACAGTTAAGGTTCTTAGTCGTAGAGCAACTCATACCTTTTCGAAAAAACGTTCTTTGGTCTCAATATTTTCATCCATCTGGCCAAAAGACGACTTTCAGTCATCATCTTCCACGAATATCGTCCCGAAAATGCTCCCCCATGCGATTTCAAAATGGCGGCCGCGCTGTAACTCATGAATATGCATAAACAGTCTGTGACGTATGACCTCGTGTTTTTGGACGTGCGTGCGGCGGCGCCGTACGTACATTATGTACGTGCATGCACACCGCCGCGCGGACGTACGTGTGCGTGCACGTACTGGGCTGTTGTCTACAAGTAATGTACATGTACGTACATGTACGTACGGCGCCGCCGCACGCACGTCCAAAAACACGAGGTCATACGTCACAGACTGTTTATGCATATTCATGAGTTACAGCGCGGCCGCCATTTTGAAATCGCATGGGGGAGCATTTTCGGGACGATATTCGTGGAAGATGATGACTGAAACTCGTCTTTTGGCCAGATGGATGAAAATATTGAGACCAAAGAACGTTTTTTCGAAAAGGTATGAGTTGCTCTACGACTAAGAACCTTAACTGTGGAAATTTTTGTCCTGGATGAAAAGATAACCTCGATCAAAAGATGTAGCAAAATCGCTACATCAGCGGCCCAAAAAATTCAGTCTTTTTGGAAGCATTCAGCGTCTGGCCGTACTACAGAGCTTGCGATAGTACTGTACGGCCAGACGCAGTCGGGCTAGGCCTAATTGCTTCAATATTTTCCCTTTAAAACTGTATGTGTCTAAATTTGACTTTTTAGGACATGTTATCGCTTTCTGATTAGTGATGGCCCCATATGGAATTTTTTCCCAATCTATCTGGATCTCGAATATTTTCTCTTTTTGCTTTTCGCAAAAAGGCGACGTGGTCTAATTTCATCATGAATCAATGATCATCATCATCACAATTGCACAGCCAGTGGCATTTGCAGTTGCAGTGCTGGGCGAATCCCCTCAAAATCCGTTCATTTTTGTCCCATCAAAATATTTTCAGACTAATTGAACAGGTCAAAATTTCTCTAAATACATCCCTTCATAAAACAATGGCAATGATAGGAAAAATTAGTTTCAAGAAGCAGGTGAAAGTTACCTTCAAATTTATGACGAGATCATCTGTTTTTCGTCATCATAGGGGCGGCCATTTTGCCAACTCGTACCACGTACCCAGAAGACTGTGCGGTTTAAAAAGGAGTTAGACTCGCTTCAAGTCTTCATTCGATGATGCTACGAAAACGTAAACAGCATCGAAAATTATTACTATCGACGATCGTCAATGATCACTAATTTGCAACCTCCATGTGGTTTGAGGTCCATATTTCAAGGGGGCACATGGGGCCTCATTTTTCCGGAGAAACCATAGTTTTCGGTCATTTTAAACAATGCAAGGTTCCCCAACCAAATTCTGAGCGGGCGGCCATGCAGCATGCACAAGGGGCGGGGCACGGGCCAGGGGGCGGGGCGGGCGGCGGAGGGGGGGGGTGCCCATTATGCCAATGCTGGTTACACTGACGAGTGGATGGTTGAGTTCTCAATGGGGTACCAACCGTGAAACGTGAAAAAAAAAGTTGTTTGATTGTCTGCCCGACCCAAGAGCGTCCCTATTTTACTTTTACATCGGCCGAAGGGGGCGTGTTTTTTTAATGACATAATAGACGGCGCCCTTAATTGAATCTGCATGCAACATTAATTTTATGAAGTGACGGCGAAACGCTTTTCAAACTGGGGGAAACACCAAAAGGGGCACTTGCTCAGAAAAAGGGGCACCTTCCGTCGGTGTGAAAGTGAAGGAAAAGTATACTATAAGGTCCCGTTCACTTCGCTATAAACCTTTATGACGAGGAACAAATTATGAATACGTTGTCCACTGGCATCTTGCTCTATGTGTTTCTTCTTCTATGTAGAGAGACCATTTTTTTTCACCGCGAGAGGGGCACTGTTGCTTTTGATGGCCAGTTCAGTGACCACTGTACGTATTCGCGTGAAGAGGGGTCAGTCCATCTTAGGGGGCACAATTTTAATGTTGCGAGCGGGGCACCGTTGTGCTTTCGAGGGGCAGGTTTCCACAGGCTCGAGAATTAGTTATCGCGAGAGGGGCACTATTGTTTTTGATGAAATTTTATTATTGCGAGAGGGTACTGCTTTCAAGGGGTAGGTTTACATCTCGAGAAGGTGCACATTCTTGTTAATGCGAGAGGGGGTACTTGACAATTTTATTTGTAGCGCGGCGATCATAGCCTACTACGTTTTTACAGTGTGAGTTTGAGGGACAGTTTTGTTTTCATCTCGAGGGGGCACATTAACTGCGAGAGAGGCACTTTTGTTGGCCTGGGAAAATCTGGGAGGGGGAGCGTGATGCCCTGCCCCAACCCCCACTGGTTCCGCCGCCCCTGACCACGGTAGCAATGAGAGAGAAGCTGACTTACTTTAATGCAGGCAATAAGGGAACGAACGCGATCAGGGCGTAAGCAGATCAAATTAAGCGGCAAACACAATTTATGCCGTACAGACGGACTTCAAATTGAGCAAAAAAGTAAAGGGTCGTCAGTGTCATACAATGTACATGTACATAACTAGCGGGTTAGCATTGAGAGCATTGACTCAGTGCCTTGGATAAGTCGGATATGCATGTTAATTTGATATTATATTATTTGGATCAAAGCATGGAGTCAAACACAGGCCACCACCACAAGTATGCACGCATGTGCATGATCAGAGCAAAGAAGCGCATGAAGTGCATAACGGGTCAAGAACACTTCCCCTTCAAATTCTGCTGGTGCTTCAAAGTTTTGCAAGGCCTAGCAATTAATGTACCAATGTACTTCCGCCTCAATTGCCCACTATGCGCATGCGTGCATTAATTATAATTACATGTACAAAAGTGTCTCGAACTAAGCAGGAAAAAACGAAGCACACACTCGCAAAAATCAAAAACAATCAACAACGGCCTTGAGAGAACGTGATGCGTGCCTTGTGGATTCATAACGGGTCAGTGCTCGCTGACAATGAATAATAACGACGCTTTCTAAGTGATCGATTTCATCCCTGCGCTACCTTTGAAATTTGAGAGAGAGAGACAAATCGAACTTTTGTTTCAGATGCGGTGCAGGGAGCAAGGTTACCTGATATATGGGGTATACGCCTTGTAATCACTTGGAAACGGACCGAGAGAGAAAAAATTACTTAAAGTGAACGGTGCGCTTGCCCCATTATTCCGCCTGATTCAGTGAAATGGTATTGAACGTTCGGGGACAAAAAAAAACAATCATAAAGGGTGCGGTGGTTTTAAAGGTATAGTCCATCGATCATTTGTAATCCACATTTTTCCCTTTGAAGCAACAAACTTGCTCAAAATCTAAAGACGGGTGCTGAACAACTAACCTAATGAAGTTTCAGCTCAGCTTCAGCTGCATATTCCGAGAAAAACAGCATTCTAGGATAATCTCGATTTCAAATCAAAAGTTGCTGAATCATGTTTTGAATTGTGCCTGAATTCAGCGTCCAAGACACGTTCTCACTTAGCATACGTGCGTTAGTAACGGAATCGAAACCCCGAACATATTGTGCATTTGTTTTCTCAAAATCTGGCATTAAGCTAAAATCGTCACCGTTTTCACAAAGAGCCACATAATGTGGATTTTGAAGAAAAAGCGTTTTCGAGATAATCGCAAATGAAGTTTATCTTATTTCAAAACTGTAAAAAAAACCTCCTCTTTCCAACAACTTTGTGCAGTAAGGAAACCTTCACATGATTTTATGAGAGCTTAAATTAGATGGTGATTTTATTCGGAGAACGTATAGAAATTTGAGAACTTTTTTTCTATAACAAATACTGGTCAATTGGGAGCGGGGTGGATAGCGATCTCAACCGCCCCCTTGTTTCGCCTTTCGGACACACGGGGAAAGACCACCTCCCTTGGGGCCAATAACTGTGTTCCTTACTCCGTCTGTCCCCCCCCCCAAAAAAAAGCTTAAAATTGGAGAAGACAAAACAAGATTAATTATTGGATTGGGGCGAGCTATAGAGGTCATCACCCCTTTCGATTTAATAGGTGACTGTCCAGGGAGTGAAGATATGCACATTTGTATGTTTTTAAATCGATGTTGTAGTCTATTTCTTTCAATCTATACGGATCCGTGCAATGATACATGTACAAGTATTAAAATAGAAAGGACCAAAATGGGACGAAAGAGCGCCCCTAACGTCAAATGAGGCCAGCCCCCTCCCCTATGGATGCACCCCGTATAAAACATTTCCTTGGACAGAAATCCCCATACTTCAAAATTATTTTTGAAATGCTCACGGAACTCTCACAGGTGTTCAGGCTGCACAGGAAAATGATGATCACCATGGCAGTCATCTTTCATTTTCTTTTCAATTTCCTGGTGATGGGTTGACTGATGACTATTTGGAGAAATTCTCACCCACAGAAGACCACCCCTAAAACGAGCGATGTTTCCCAAATTGGAAAAGTATATAGCTATTTTGAAAAAGGATCCCTCCACAACATGGCTAAATAGCGCCACTTTCGGACCCAACTGCATCCAAAATGCTCTTGGAAGCCCCATCCGATCCAGGCCAGAGGTGCAGTGTGCCAAGCTTATGTCTTCAATTCCCCAATTTCATGGCTCTCAGAATGAACTCTCTAATGTAATAATTTGAGTGAATAAGCTCGGCGGACGAATTTTTGTCCTATTTACTGGGGTGTACCCATTTTGGTTCCCGCCCTCATAATGAAGTCCGAATGTTAATGGAGGGACCGGGAACCAGTCTACCTCCTACTTTCAGAAAATTTGTTTCTGGATACAGCAACTATGTACGGTACCCGCTGCTATGTACATCAGATTCGAACCAGCCAACCGATCCCGTTAGCTCAGTGGTCGAGTGGTAAGACATCTGCACTAGAAAGCAAGAGGTCGTGGGTTCGAGTTCCACCCGAGTGATTTTTCCAAACTTTCACTCGGGAGGTAACACACTGAGTATACAGTGTTTAAACGTCGTTGAAGGGAAAAAACCTAGATGTAATTTGATGGATACAGCAACGATCAGGACCCCATACAGGGTGAGTCAAAGAAAGCGAAACCCAAATGTCTGGACCACAAAAAAGGTGTGCGTTCTTTCAGCAAAACGATCCGTGGACAGAACTTTAAAACGGTGGTTGTGTTTAAAATTCCGTAACTTGAAAAGTACATGTATGATTTGAATGATTCTTGTACTAAAAGAAAGCTTATGAATTGGGCTTTCCTATCCTAGATTTTGAAAGTGCTATCATGCAGAACTTCACTAAAAAAAAAATGGTCCCGACATTTGGATTTTTTTTTACTCGCCCTGTAGTTTCCCCACCCGCATATTGGACCGTTGGCAGTTGACCCCTGTGACGACAGTGAGTCCTACCCCATTCCATTTTAGCCTATCCTGACATAAGGAGGCGGGGTTATGCTAAATATTTTCAAATTACGATAATGCTTTAACATGAGTAAAGAAATATGATTCAAAAATTTTGTTGTGCAATGATATATTTATTGAAAAAAAAAAATCACTAAGTGTAATGTGTGTAAAATATTTCATTAATTCCGTTATAATTCAAAATGTGCAAGGCAAACTCTTTGTATCGAAATGTGGGCCGATTAAGAAGTGACTCTCCCAGTTATTATTACATCTGAAAATCAGCTGTCATTTCGTTACAAAGTTTCCAGATTTTTACTCAATTTGTTTCTCGGTCCCTATAATGTACAGGGCCCATTCCAAGACAAATATTCCTTAGAAGTCACTACAAAGTGAACAGTTTAAAAAAAAAAATACCTGTTGTGACCTCAAAAGCCATGCCATGTAGGGCCTACAAGGAATTTCGTCAGTGAAGGTAACCGAATTCGAAAGTTCTACCCTTGAATTTGGAGCAATTGCCAAAAAAACTAAAACATTTTCACCATTCATAGTGAAATCCAAGATGAGTTTGCAATCTTATAGAACCCATTAATTTTACCATTTTTTTTTTAAGTATGTAGCTACAACACGTCTATAACTATTTCACAATTAACATTTCAGATTTGTCCTTAATAAATTTAAACACATGACAAAGTACAATAAATTCACAAATTAGGACTGGTGTCGAAACCATTTCTGTACCTACTAAAAACTAAAGACAAATGCTATTTTTGTTCACTAAACACTGCATACTAAAATAGTGCTCCATCAGATTTTTTTTTTTTTTGCAGTTCC